ATTCTCCTATATAACTTAGCTTTGTGCGGGATTGAATCCTACTCTTGATTTATAATCGGACTGTATGTTAGCTTAGAGTGATTGGTACAATTCTATTGCTCCCTCATTAGCGAAATTGTCAGGTACCATCAGAAGTGAGTTGTACTCTATGCAGACGGATGTTTGACTAACAGAACCAAATAATTTATCAGTAAGACGTGACTGCGGAGTCTGGGAGTGGTTTGCTGATAACCACTGTCATTCTTCAGCACAAGCAAGCTGTATTACTGTGTACGATTATGTGAGCTTCGATTTTATTTCCAGCTGTTTTTAGCACCTCAGCCTTCACTTTTATGGACCCAGTAATTGAATGATGGAAAATGCTCCTTTGTCCCACAGTGAAGCGAAGAAGTGAAATAATGCACCTGTTTATTGATAACACTGCCAAATAAGTCTTCATTCTGACCATGAAACTTGATTTCACCTTGACTGTTCCTCATTACTGGCAACAAAGGTTCTGGAAGAAGCACTATTTAGAACCGTACCGATTAGTCTTCCAACTCACTATTGGCGACTGACAAGTCTAGACTAGTTACGATTATTTTAAATTATACTATAGGAAGGAGAACTTTTGACTGCCTAGTGACACCAGCACTCCTCTGTCAATTACTACTAACCATTTGTTCTCATATGTATGCACACGAATAAATTTCTTCTATTTTAATCATCAACTACTACTGTTGTAAGCTGGTCAAACAAACGTAGTCCTAAGTTTTGCCAATGACCCTGGATTAAAGATTGCGTGAGGAACCGATCATTCTACCAGAAAATAACTCAGGTGTAGAAAGTGTTAACTGCTAGGATATCGTCGGCTGTTATCCAGTAGCCAGCGACGTTATCAATCTTGAATAATAATTTATGAGCCAATTCTGGCTCTCATACTGCCCTTTCAGCTATTTTAAATGACGAGGCGGAGGTAAGGAGATTGATTCACATACGCTGAAGAGCGGTCTAACTGCGTGAGATAAATGGGAATCCAAGAATGAACTAATGGTCGGCCTTAACCAGACTATTCACGTTTCTCCACAATTCGAGATCTAATGAAGTTCTCCACCTCTTTTATGAAAATCATCTTTTTAGCACACCAATTGAGTGTGACGCTGGTAGGATTTTCGTAATCCATGAAGTAAAGTGTGAACTATTCGGAAGAAAAGATCTTCATTTCATATCCAGGAAGTTAGAAATGACTTCTGATGAATCATCCATAGGGCTGCACTAAATCAACTCAATTAGTTTGGCGGCTACCCATGTGGATGTACTGCACCAAAGGCCAGTAATAACCTGGAACTGTTTATTAAGATCAGGAATTATTCAATTTTTAGGAAACAAACCCTTCTCTTAGTCTTTAAGATGGCCCAAGGAGCACGCGAAAAACCCACCTTCTTGTGAAGAAGGAAAGAAATTTATTTCAGTATAGCTGTGTTCTCTGAGCTGGATGGTTTGGCCGAAATACTTTCATTGTCCCATCATGTCGCATCCTCAGCTTATGCATCAGTTTAAAGCAGGCTTCATGAATTCTCAACCGGTTTATCACCCATCTCTTCTACTAGCCTTGAATGCGCCCGGTTACCTCTGTATAGGTTCTCATTCCCTAGTCCACTTGGTGTTGCCTTACTGCATATCCCTGTCAACTGTATCGTCGTAGTCCGCTTTTCTGGTGGTTTAATAACAATTTATATTTTTGTGTGCCTTTTAAATACAACCCTGAATCAAAAATTTCCCCCGGTGTACATATTATAGGCGGCGTTATATTCTTGAACTGTGCCACATTTGCTGCGCCCTGATCAGGAAATTTTATTTGACACATATATGCGCAATGTAATCACTTAAAGGGGCGGTAGGCTCAAAAGTTAAAGGTCTATTATTGAATTTTCATAAATTCGTGGTGGTATATTTTGTCCTATTCATTAAAACGCCCTCATACTCACCGCATAAAGGTGGCACCATCCCGAAAATTAATTATTTTGTTAACCAGAATGTCGAACTTTCGTCCATAGGACCTCCTTTCTCCTGACTGGCGGATCTTATCTATGTTGATGTGTCTGTTGACCACAGATCCATCTGCATACTGGGCTCCTAAGAATCCCCGGGCATTTTTGTCGTTCTCCATGACTGGGATCTGCACATTGCCCCATTCAAATTGGTGTCCTTGGCTACCTTCATGAACCAATATGAGGGAATGGATGTCATATATTATGATGTCCAGTTTATGTCCATGGATGCAAGGGCGAAGAGGGTATCATCTTCATAATGGTCGGTCCCACACTGGCTTCGAATAGAAATGACTGTTGTGATTTTCATGTGGCCCACAATCCTGCTAGATCTACGCTTTGGTTACATTGCCTGCTGACTCTTCACCTGGTCCACCTTATCTGCAGGCAAGACTGTTATTGACACCTTGTCAACTAGTGGAGGAAGAATACAATACATTCGGCTGTCCAGCGATGTAATTATTGTCCATAAAATAAATACAATGTTGGGATAAACTATCGCATCAAAACGCAGCGACCACGCCCTAGTCCCTTGGGAAACCATTTGTCCACATTTTGATTCGGTCAACACAGATCTCTGAAGCTCACTTAGGTTGACTAATTTTTTAAACCCACTACAGTGGCGCTTTTGTAGATCCCAGCGCACTATTCAAAATGTCTCTCGACAGTTTAGTCGAGTTATAAATGTAACTAGGTGGGATGGTTAAGTATCTGAGTTTCGAGTGGTCAACACGAAGCCCCAGTTATCCAGTTTCTCAGCGAGACACGTTTATTTCATATTTACGACCTCCTCTGAACCCGGGAAAGCAAGGAACAGGTTAAAGCGTACCTCCGATTGTTCATTATTGGCAGATGGTCTGGCATCAAATGCGTAGTGATGCCTTAGAGAGGCTTCTTTTCGGATTTTGTATTAATCTTGCACAAAGGGTAATCACACATGCACTGCGCTGGGAGCCTTGCTCTGTGGGCTATGTCGAGAGGGCATTCCAAGGCCACTTTCAATGGAATTTCCTATTAGTGGTCCACTTTTTTAATAATTTCAGGTGATGATGAATTGAAAGCGTGAAAGACTGAATGAAGTCAAGGAGATTTCTCTAAGCTGTAGGGTGACCTAACTGTCCCGCATAGACAAGTTATCGTAGGTGGCCGATGTTTAGAACAGTCCCCTTGTGCATATCAGTAGCACAGAGTCTCTTATCCTTCATGTAACTGAAACCCACCCTACACAAATCAGGATACGATCCCCATTTACTACTAGAGGAAATTTAAAAGCAGGCGCAAACCTCACAGCAGATGAAGTTTAAGCCTCTATTTCACTCTGCCTTCTGCTCAGGTAACTGTGTGCTCCTACTCCAGAGACGTTTGCATATCTGCAAAAATGTCTGCAAGGTTTTCCAAATAAAAACGAACAAAATCGTTATTGGGCCAAAATATCAGATATATGATGACCGAATCCAGCGACTTAACCTATGCACCTCTATCTACTGCGAAACCAGGGTGGCGTGACAACAGATCATATGATATTGAACAGCCTGAGTCACATGAAAGGGCACATTCTCCCTATTAATATTATGTGGTGTTAACTGCTCCTCAGAAAGTGGCAACACAAACAGTCAGTAATATGATTTCTCTTAGGAAATACATTCCAAGGAATTTATTCATCCTTAAAAGTGGCTGTTCCTCGGTCTTTCGAAAAATTTGGCAAAAGGCTAGACGGTAGTGCACTACCCTCGAGCAATTCATAAACCTACCAACAGAAGCTATCGAAGTAAATCAGCCTACTGCTTTTAACAGAAACTGCTAAGGTCGCGGGACAGATAACTATGCCATAGCAGATCAGAAATACCCCACTGTTCCAATACATCAAAAAGAAAACTCCAGAGATCAGCAGGTTCTGACGGGCTGGTCGTGAAATGTTACATATTCGGTTCAGATTCAGGATTGTGAACGTAGATAGGAGGCTTCGAACCAGTGTAAATCAAGTATTTATATTCATGTGTCCCCTTCCCAAACCAGTCGACTTCAAGCGAAGAATACTTCTGAGGACAAGAGTAACGACAGTCACTCACACACTGGAAGGGCTTTTACTGCACAAAGATATGGTTCATCCCTATAAACTTAGTCAATGACTACTAACAGCGGAATCTGGGATTTCGTCCACCTGGAGACTCATCACCCTCGTGCGCGTCTCTCCTCAATGGCAGTTTGAGATAAGAACTCTGCTTCCACCACAAGAACCAGCCCTTTTACAAAAGGCACCAGTCATTATTGGTTTTAGGTGAATTTACATTTCTTGTTGATTCATTATTTCCGAATGAAATTTTTCGCTTCTCTAAGCGTGTTGGTCCCTAGTTTGGACATGTTAACCCCCAGGCATTGTCAGGGCATCCATATTGAGAGCCGACATGCTAACGGAGATCGAGCGTTCCAGTCCAACAAATTCTATTGTCAGAAAATGCAAATTGACTGGGAAACAAATAGTTCATCTTTCTTTTGGAACTCTTCTGCTCTTTCTTATGTGGTGCTTCAGCCTATCAGAAGGGAAGAGAGAAGATCGGTCACATCAAAAATCGTATGTTTAACATCGTCTCAGACGTTACAAATGTACGTGATTCATCCTCATGGTAAAAGATGAATGCTTGGGTGAGGTATCCCAGTTCAAGCCACAGAAAGAATGTAGGTGAAATGTTGAACACCTGTCTTATGAACATAAAACTTGAATGCACACGTCTTTGTGCCTCGCTACAAGAATTCGTCTTCAATTCAACTAACCCATGACAATCCGCCTCTGTTTTCCTCTATTAGAAACTGTCTAACTGTATTGATATACCACCAAAAATGTTGGTTGGTTGTCGATGTTGTTATAATTGTTACAGTACCTATCGTCTATAGTGACCTCAAAGGCGACTTTTTGAATATTTTTAAATGAGAGTAGTCAAATAATTATTCAGAAGTTGCCAGTTAAACAAGATGGTCAGGTTTCTCCCTATGTCATTGCTTAATTTCATTCTTTGTAGAAACCATCGAAATCTAGACGTAATGTTAAAGGATTCACGCAACCTAGCTTCATGCTGCCAACTTTTAATGACCAACGTTGCCAGCCATCATGGAAAACAGATCTTCCAAGTTTTTTGTCGAATAGAAGAAGTAATGTTGGTGGTGAATCCCAGGTCGACATCCTGAAGGAAATAAATAAAAGTAAGAATTCTGAATTCAGTTACACAAATTAATTAACAATTCTATAGAAGATAGTAAAAAAAGGAAGTATGATGTCCTAAGATCATTTGAGATGAACGAAACACGAAAAGCCAAAGAAAGTTTCCGACTAGAGCTTGTAGATTTGATACTGTATGTTTCCCTTTACTAACTTAGTTTAGTTGAATTAGTCGCGGTGAGGAGGCAGATAACGAATCCATCGAAACACCAGGATTTTCAGCTTCCAACTTGGGCTCAATTAAAGGAATTGAGGATAGAGAGAAGAACATACTGGTACATATTATGTCTCAATTAATGTGTGAAATTTCAGCGCTATTACTACTATATCTACAATGGTATAAACACAGATCATGTGGCTCCTATGGATGAAAAATGGATGAAAAATATGGTTTCTTCAATCAGGCCAGATGTTTTGGTCAGTCTAATTTTCTTTTCAATAAAATCAAGAATTATAATGACATCACAAAAGAATATTTGGGTTCAGGGAGGTGTTTTGTTGACTCCTTGGTAGAAATAACTTCTTTACTTTACAAACACTAGTAATCTTGAAATTTCCGTAGTTTAGGATTGCGAACAGAAAATCACAGTACGGCTTACTTATAAGATGGCTCCTTTGAAAAACTCCTTGATGAATTAACTTCATATGCAACTTAACAGGCATAATTATGCTTAGATAAATTTGAGACTTAGAATGGAGACTGAAATTTTTACGCTTCTTTCTTAGTTAGATTCAGATTCAAATGATAAGGATAGAAGGCTCTTGTGGCCTGTGTTAATCCTTGCAAAATGTGTCTCTGTAGAGATTTAACCTCTCTTTGAAAGCGTTCACCGATGGAGCTCATACTACTGAATCAGGTAAGGAGTTCCAGTCGTTGACCAATCTGTCAGAGAATCTAAATTCTGCACGTATTTTTAATCGTCCTCGGTTTGAGCACCTTTTGACAGTGGCCCCGTAAATGTACCCTAGAAGAGAAGAAAAGGTTAGAAAGTTTAGTTCCTAAATTACCCTTAAGTATACGGTATGCTAAAATTAAATCACCTGTCTTCCTTCGGTATGATAACGGGAAGAGATTTAAATGCTCCATCCTCTTATCATAAGGAAGATGTGAGATACCACTAACTAATTTCGTTCCTACCCTCTGTACTCTTTCCAGGATATGCGCCTCCTTTTTGAAGCAAAGACTCGCCGCTTGTTCGCAGTATTCTAGACGAAGCCTGACATATGTTGCGTAGAGTACTTGGAACATACCCTCGTCTAATCGTTTGAAAGCCCTTCGAAGTACCCATAGCATTCGAAAAGCCTTAGCTGCGGCTGCATTGCAATTTGCAGTTGTTTTCAAATCATTGCTGACAATGATTCCTAGGTTCTTCTGTCCGTTAACATCACGTAGTTCTCTGTTCCCTAGGCAGTACGACGTATGTGACTTCTGACCTAAGTGCATTACCGCGCTTTTCCTAGAATTAATTTCCAAACTCCACAGGTTCGACCACTCAGCTAATTTATCTAGATCAGTTTGTAGGGCCGACCTATCCTCGTTATTATTCACCGTTTTCCAGATCTTAATGTCGTCCGCAAATAATAATGAAGATGAAGTAAGAATTCCCGGTAGTTCATTAACGTACACTAGGAATAGCAAGGGGCCCAATACAGTTCCCTAAGGCACTCCACTGGATACTGCTTTCCATCCTGATAGTACACCGTTAACTCTAACCTTCTGCCTTCTATCCATTAGGTCATTTGAAGTCATTTGAATACATTCTGTATTGCTCATGCTCGAAGTTTGTGATTCTTGTATAACCGAACAAAGAGCAAGCTTCGTAAAGTTGAGAAGTTGCTTGAATATCATTACGAAAGTAAATTACACTTAAAAGTTGATGCTATAAGTGAGGTTATTGAATTGTACGACACCGAAAGGATAAAATTAATGTCTTTAGATGAAGCCACATTATAAGCTAGGTTGTACTTAGTACATTCCAAGTGAACCCCAACAACGGTGAGAGTACTAGTTTTTTTGTTAGCACTGTGAATAAATAATCCTGCTTCTCACCCACTGCTCAAAATGCCTTACATCAGAGAAAGCCGATTGTGTACTGCATAGAATTTACCAGGTGCCATCATTTTACGAACAACTGATCGATTTTGTTTTATTTGAAAGCTCAACATCTTTTATTAGTGTAGGCCCTCGTGGTTCTCTTAAGTTACGATTTGTACTCTTGAAGACTAAATATTGCAGCACCTCTCACTTTGAAAATCTCTCTGATTATTAGAGAGTAATTTTTGATTTAACGGTCTTGATTACGTACTGCAAAGATCCCTGCAGAGTCATGTATACACGTCCTTATTGGCAATTTTATGATAGCATTAAATGTAAATTGTATTACATTTTGAACCAAAAGTCTTGGTTTTTAAAGAATAAGGGGAAATATTGGTATGGTTAAAGGCATGCTAATTCAGTGAATATGTGTCCTGTCTTATAATCTACATTATTGATAATATTATTTTATTTACCCAAAATACTCGGAAGACAGTGTGATCCTGGTTGGTATACAGTGACTCGGGAATATTTTTCTAGATATTCAATTATAAAAGAATTATCACCAACTTGTTCACGTAACATTACGTCTCATACAAATCAAGAAAGCTTCGTTACTTCAAATAATCAGGAAAACATTACTTACCGAACTTCCTTATTTCCTGTTACTCATTTAATTGTATAAGATGCTTCTATAATTTTCGTGTTCTGATTCTGGGCTCATTCGGTAGATGATAACGAACGATAGGATCCAGGAGGCAAGTTTTATCCTACTTTTGACTATGTTTGCACCTCAATAAATAACGGTGTTTTGATTGGGAGCTGAACCTAGTGATCACTATTTTAAAAGCTAATGTTTCAATTCCCATTAGTGAAACCACTACTCACTAAGATATCAAGACATTCATTTGACGAGTTTAAAGTAGGAGGAATCGTGCCCCCTTGGATTTCAGCACTATTCAGGACGTCCCGAATATATTCAGAATGGCATTTTGAGTTTTTTTAAAAGTCATTTGCCACGCTAACCTGTCTGATCCGAAAATCTCAATATATATGATTACAGTTTCAGTGGTAAACAGTTTTGAAAACATTTACAGATGAATTTTCTAAGCTTGGCTAAGTTGTATCCAATTTGTGCTCGAGTCATCACTAAGTTTTTTGTCTAAAGAATTGGTTTTGAAAATCTGTTGACTTTTTACCTGCATTCATGCTTCATTTTAAGACATGGGCTCTTAACATGGGTTTCTAAACTTTCATATCATTTTTCGCTTTGTAATAGTTTTGATTATCTGAAGTAACATTCCAACTTTATCTTCATCAACAAACGCGCTGACTTTATTATCACATTTTAAAGGTCTCAAGTTCTACTCTTACATGTACAATTTAATAGCGAGTTTAAATATAGGAATGTTTATGTCATGCATACAATTGCATATAGATTGCGTCACAATGGAGCTTAGTAGTCGCCTATGATATTCTCTTCTTTGTTCTTCTTATTTGCTCAGGTAACTCAATGGGAGTTATGACTGAAATGCAAGCTGGTTGACAACAGAAAACCATTTTCTTTGACGCTTAGAATTTGTAGAATGATGCGAATAGATAAAGTTTTCCAGTATTTCGAAAGGCAGTAGCCTTAATTTGGCCGCTTATCAGATCTTATCTTAGCACTATATTCCAGTGTATCTTCATAACTGTTTGTCGTGCATGGTTAATGTATCCAAGATGTTAACCATTCAGTACAAAGAAACCGTTTAACAACAAAATGCATAATAGGCCGATTTTATCTATCACAGACGTTTATAAGCAATAAAAGTTCCACAATAAAGTGAAATTTACGTCTTGAATCTAAAAAAGTGTTTTCTCCAGTACAATAAAACCTCCTGTCATTGCATTATTTCATGCAATTTATATCTCTGAAGTTAAACAGAACAACTTACTGCTTGTAACACTTTGTAAAATATAAGAACATGTTTGTAATGACTTTGTTTAAGGCACATACACAGAAGCTCTGTCACGATACGAGTTGCTGCTGTACATTTAAAATCTCACTGGAGAGCATGTGATCACAGTAATTCAATTTGGATTATTTTTTTCTAATTACGTAACCACGAATTTAAAAGGAAAGCATATTCGGTAAAACTCCGAACTATGACCTAACACTCATTTCCGTTTTCATCATCAGTTGTACACCGCTGTCTTATTATTATTATTGTTCCCTTCGGTTCCTAATGGAACATAAGGCTTCAGCTACACGTCTCCACTTGCTTCTGTCTTCTGCTGTACTTTTCACCTACATCCATGTTAATCCATACTGTTCCAACTCCTCTTCCCACGATCTCCTCCATGTCACCCTTGGACGTCCCACTCGCCGCTTTCCTTTCGGGCTCCACTCGAGCTATGGCCTGACGCGCGATGTCACCCAGCGGCCTCCTCTGCGAGTGTCCAATCCATCTCCACTTTCTCCTGCATATTTGTTGGGCGATTGGTTCTTGTTTTGTTTGTTCCCATAGTTTCTTGTTGGTAATTCTTTCTGGCCATCTGACCTTCAGTATAGAGCAAGGCCCTCGGTGAAATGAACGACAATGGTGAACTCTTTTCAGACTTCTGCACCTTCAATGATTTGGTGATTGCTGGCAGTGTGTTCAAACACAAGAATATTCACAAGGCGACATGGATTTCACCAGATGGACACACCAAAAACCAGAGACACTGCTGTCTAGGCAAAGTGAAAATAAACACAGGCAAAATCATTTTAAATCACGAATTGTTTACACAGCGAAAAATCTACTTGAGAGATACAAAGTTTTCAATATCATTATAATATTATTATTGCTCCCTTGAGTTCCAAGCGGAACATACGGCTTCAACAACACATCTCCACTTTCTTCGATTTTCTGCTCTTCTCTTCATATGGGTTCACGATTGCCTATAATCTATCATATCCTCCATGTCACACTCACACCAACGACCCGCTCGTCGCTTCCCATTGGGATTGCACTAGATCAGTGGCCTGGCACGTGATGTCATTCAACGGCCTCCTCAATGTATGCCAAATTCATCTCCATTTTCGCCTACATATTTGTCTAGCGATCAGCCGTTGGTTGGTTTGTTGCCAGCCAGAGTTTCTTTTTGCTAATTCTGGTTGGCTGGCTGGCCATTTGATCGTTAGTATGGAGCCGGAGAAGGCGGCTGCTGATAAGTTTGTTATATGCGTAATCAAATTCACCACTACACAAATTCAATCACCTTCTAATATGTATGTATCCGAATGAAGCTGAAAAATTGTCAATTAACCTGATAAATATATGCAAAAGTCTTTATATTACCTTTTAGAATATGTCATTCTATCAGTATTTGTGATTTATAGTATTACTGTCAAAATCAACAGATTCAAGTTTCATTCATCACTAGAATTAACAAATTTTGATTTGTTCTAGTTTAATAACAAAAATTCAATGATATTTTAGAAAGTGTTTTCTGTCTCCTTTTTTTGTATTCAGGAAAGTGCAAATATGGCATTATTAGAAAAATTGGAAGACGAGATACGTGAAGATTATTTATTTAGTGTTAAAAAGGCAATCGTGAATTTTATTATCAATGATCCATCAGATAAACAACAAGCCTTAGGTGGATCACATATAACTTGTGATGAAAATAATGAAGAGTGTAAGATTTCAGAATCTCGAAAAGAATTAGATATTGTACCGAAACCATGGCATTCATCATTTTTATCTGCTTATAGATTCTGTCAAAGAAATTTATTTGTAACCAATACTTGTATGCTTCAGTTATTAGATCTATGGCATACAACATTTGCGTAAGTGTGTTTTATTGAGAATTGCAGTAAACTATTTGATTTTAATTCTCTAGTAAAATTCTTAATTGAATCAACAAAGTCGAATGTGTCACGGAGGTTGTATCTTGACAGCTTCTCTTTCACCGGCCCGAGAACCTTCACCAGCCATTTCGCGATTGTGTGATATGGGGAATCTATCATATCTAGTATCGGGCGGAGTGGGACGTCTTGTTTGTGCACTTTAAGTAGGCAGTACATGCACGGCGTTATGGAACCAGATGGACGCAGTTGTTCGTATAATTTTGAATTGATAATGAATTCGTCATTCATTTTCTTAAATATCTTTGTTAGCTGGAGCTCCGTCTGTTCAGTGACTTGCTGAGGCGAATGCAAAGATTTTCTTCTTGAAGAATTGCCTTGAGAAACATGAATATCCCAAAGTATTTTGGAAGCATCTCAGACGAAATCAAATATCCCTTAACTCACGTACACTGAAACGACACACTCTGAATTACATCGATGCCATTCGATCAAGACTACCTGAACTGGAGCAGAATATCTCAAAAAACTCCCACGTTCTCTGTGAGTTATCTGAAGACGAAAGAACATCATTCGGAAACTACTCCAATACGGTTACAAAGAAAAAAACAGATTATGTTATAATGAAACTAAACCAAAACCTTAAGTCCGTTACCAAAGAAACCGTCATTCCTACTTGTCCATAAAAATACGTGTTCAATTATTCTAATGTTCCACTGTCTCCAATTCAAATGCAAATCTTAGCACTTGGACCTAAGTTTTGTGATGCAACGTCAAAAGTGAATGAACTGAACACGAAAGTCTAATTCGAGAATTTAATCGACCAGACGAAAGATCTGATCCCAACCTCATATGACAATGCAGACCTTTTCAAATCAACCATTTTAATTTGCTATCTCGATTACATCAACAAAAAAACCAAGCTTTCGTAACGTACTTTCCAAAGAACATCGAAAGCAGCTGAAAGAACTGAAGGATAATGAAAACTTGATCATCACACGACGAGATTAAGGCTCCGGGATCGTCTTGATGAACAAATCAGACTAGCTAAGCAAACTCTCGATGATACTATCTGATGATAAAAAAGTTTCAAAAACAGTCTCCATAAAAACATCCCACCGAATAGACGGAGCTCCAGCTAACAAAGATATTTAAGAAAATGAATGACGAATCCATTATCAATTCAAAACTATACGAACAACTGCGTTCATCTGGTTCTACAACGCCGCGCATGTACTGCCTACCTAAAGTGCACAAACAAGACGTCCCACTCCGCCCTCTCTAGTAAAACTAAAAGATGTTGTTTTCTGTATATTAAAGAAAATTTGAACTTCTGAGTTGGTGCAACATCCTGTATGGTCACTTCTCACTTTTAGTTACGGAATCAGAATCAAGCTGTGACCTTATTCTATACTAACTGCCCCTGATGCATACTAATGCATAGCTGAATAAAATTCTTTAGTCAGTAGTATTACAATGGCTCTAAAATCCTGACAGCGACACCAGTGCGTCGGTGGCATAGCGGTCAGGACGCTCGCCTACCATGCACAGGGTCCGGGGTTCGATCCCCGGCCGACGCACTCCTTTACCTCGCTAAGCCCGAAATAATGCTGGTGAGGAGGAAAGGTTGGGCATGAGGCTAGCAACCCCATCCTGTAAAATAAACACTTCTACAGAAACTTCAAGCCACTAGCTTGAAGCCCTATGTTCCATTGGGGAAAATGAAGGAAAAAAGATCAGTCTAATCTACTGCAAAAGAGGTAGACTGACAGTCTATTTATTTCAAATGTGTAAATGCTTTTATTTCAACCAGGTAGACGATATTGCTTATAATTACTCTATTTAACTTATCTCTCCATGCAAATATTTGAAGGAAATACATCAAAGGAAAGCTAGTTAACATGGATATAAGTCGTTTCCAGTTAACTCGACTAATATGCGATACTTTCAAATGGAGTGTATAGTTAGCGTAAGTCGATTTCACTCACTAGAGGCTTTATGCAAAGCAGACAGATTGGTAATGAATTAAGGTTCCATGTGAATGAAAACGTGTCAACTAGGCCTTTAGTTTGCTCACTTTGTGGCATTTGAACTACTACATGCATAAAGAAATCAGTCAGCTGCACTACACAAATGACAGTTAAAGTCTTATTACTACTTAATTCAATAATAGTAACATTAGCTTTATTTTGAAAAATGCGCTTATGGACGATACAGAATTTTCAGCAAGTTTCTTATTGCAAGATATTTACCTTTTTTTATTCCTTTACGTTCCTAGTGGAACATAGGACTCCAAGCTAGAGCTTTGGAGTTTCGATAGCAGTGGTTTTATTTTCATGGGGCGGGACTGCTAGTCTCACGCCTAACCTTCCCCCTTTACCAGGCTTATTAGCAGCTAAGTGAGGTTTGCGGGGTGCGTCGGCAGGGAATCGAGCCCCTGACCAACTGAGTGACTAACAAGCATTCTATCTCTGCGCCATCGACGCACCAAGATATTTAGTACTCGTAAAAAACCTTCAAGTAATATAACAAACGATAATATATCGACTGAGGCATACTCTGATAATTCACAATGTTTCTCCCTCAATTTCCGTCAGAAATTTCTTAACAATAGGCTGAAACTTTATTGAAAATGTGCCTGTGTATACATCTGAGACTCTTAGACGTAACTATATGATTTAAACAATATAAAATGAAGGATACACGATGCATTCAGGTGGACAGAAAGTTTAGGCAGTCCAATGATTTGAGCAGGCTACCAAACAGCTACATTGATCACCAAAAGAATAGAATTCGGACATTGTGGTTGAGTATAACTCCATCATAAAATAACTTCACTTGATAAAAAAACAGTAATGCAGTATTATTTATTGGGGAAGTTTTGAGCAAAATTTTTCTCTCATAATCATCTCAAGGTGACATTACGATATGGTGTATTGTGAGCAGTAAGTGATGCTTGAAATGCCATCAGTAAATAATATTGTATCATTGTGTATTTTGTCAAATAAAGTTGTTTTATGACGGTACTATACATTCATCACTGATATGTCTTCGTCAGTCAGTCCGTCTTGTTAACAAGACAGTGGAAATCCGATTGATTTAGCATTAAAGTCTCTTGTTTTACTCATTATCTTAGGTTTGTTGGATCAAATTATCGATACAATTTCTGCAAGGGAAGTATTTCCGCACGGATACACTGGATAAGATGAAAAGATACTGTTTCATTACACTTCACTTAGTCGCATTACCAATTTTTGCCATATCTTTAAAAAATTAAAATCATGATAAATTAGTACAATTGTCATGAAACTCGTGTAATTTATTTATACATGAGTTTTATTGTTGCGAATTGCAGATTATCCTGTTTTTTAGAGATAGACTTAAATTTGTCTTATATTCTACTCCAATGCGTTAATGTGTAATATTTGGGATTTGCTTTTCAGAACAGAAGAATACAGATGAACTGGAAATCTAATTTATATTGTGTCAGATGATTTAAAGCTTCTCATAACTGTTCATGCAGCATGATAAAAATCCATAGTAGATTAAAGTTTCCATTACTCCCTCTTCGTGGCTATTGTATTATATTATTATTATTATTGTTGTTCCCTTAGGCTCCTAGTGGAGCATAGGGCTTCAACTACACGTCTCCACTTGTTTCTGTCTTCTGCTGTACTTTTCACCTGCATCCATGTTAGTCCATACTGTCTCAACTCCTCTTCACACGATCTCCTCCATGTCACCCTGCGACGTCCCACTCGCCGCTTCCCTTTTGGGTTCCACTCGAGCGTTGGCCTGACGCGCGATGTCACCCAGTGGCCTCCCCAGCCAGTGTCCAATCCATCTCCACTTTCTCCTGCATAATGTTTGAGCGATTGGTTCTTGTTTTGTTTGTTCCCATAGTTTCTTGTTTGTGATTCTTTCCAGTCATGTAATCTTCAGTATAGAACGAAGACAGTTGTTGATAAAGGTCTGCAACCTGATGGAAATATTCTTTGTGACCCACCAAGTTTCTGATCCGTATAGAAGAACTGACTGACTTGATGTTTGTATTGAAAATCCGAATTTTGTTGTTGATGTTGAGTGACGAAGAATTCCAGATTGGTTTCAGGTTGATGAATGTGTTTCTCGCCTTACCGATTCTCGATTTGACATCTTCGTCCGTTCCTCCTGTGGTTGAGACAATGCTCCCTAGATAAGTGAAAGAAGTAACCTCTTCCAAATCCCTCCCGTTGATGGTGATTGGCTCTGGATGTTGCTGCTGTTGTTGTTGTTGGTTGGTTATTTTCATAACCTTCGTCTTGTGTATGTTCACCTGGAGTCCTGTCTTTGCTGCTTCTTCGACCAGTTTGTCGGTTTTCGCTTGTAAGTCTTCGATTTTGTGTGACACCAAACATAAGTCATCTGCGAAACCCAGGTCTTCTAGGTTCTTCACATCGGTCCAGGATGTCCCTGTCTTCTTGTTTCGCACTGTCTGACGCATAATCCAATCCACCACAATTAGGCTATTATAAAATGACCAAATAAGCTTGTTTGGAGTCAGTATAAGTTCTAAAGATCTGACTATATAAATTCTAAAGACTTAGCAGTTTACTAATTTCTTGCAGTATTTCTTAATCATTAGAAGATTCTCTTTCATTTCAGAGATCTAAGATTAATTGATGTACAAGAATTATATTCAAAAACATCAGCTATGGAACTGTCGGCATTTCAACAAATTTGTGTCAAACACATTGAAGCAACGAAGGAAAGATTATTAAAAAAGTAAGTTGACCGACTGATAAGTTTGACCATGCTTTCTTGAAACAAACATATTTATCTCCTTCGGATTATTATTGTATTTATCATAAGAGTAATAAATGTTTCATGGAAATTTATCTTATTTCACAGCTTCGAAACGTGTAAGTTTTGTACATTGTTCCCTATCAGTTACATGAGGGACTATATTGTGTTTCCTCTTTTTGACATCATCTGTATGATATAGACCTTTATTGAAGTGAATTATGTCGTTTGTGTTCCATATTTCACTTCTTTTGAACGAAAAAATTATGTGTAAATAGGTAAAGGTGAAGTATTTTGCACTTCAGGATAACTTCAAATGACAACTTGGTGAAGTTAAAGTATCATAGCTAAAGTCAAAGTCATTCAAAAGTTGACCTTCAAGGACCCATCAGACACAGGGAATGCTATGAAATGTTATTCCAAATGACATCATGGTCTGACTTTTTGCAACTGGTGAGGATAAATACAGTATTCTACTTATTCCCTAGGTACTTTTTCTGCGAATCTGTGCTGTTAGGTAGTGTTATGGCTTTTAAGATTGAGGCAGAGGAACTAGCGTTAAGGTTAGGTTTAGGGTTAAAGTTAGGGTCATGGTTAGAGTTATGAGTAGGTTGAAGAATAGTGTCAGAAATACCAATGGATCTCAAAGTACCATTACCTACAGTCACTTGGATCAATGCATACAACGCGCATAGTACGATTTCTCTCTAGATTGTCTGTGTATAGACTGGGAGACATTCTTACAACACATAATCGACAACTACACAGTGCAATATCATGTTAACAATATGTTTTAGTGTATTTTTCAACGATTATGCTGCGACTTTTTTGCATCTGAATTCTGATTGGTTGTCCAAGGCCACTATAGTTTTGCCTATGATAGTGTAACTTTGCCGTCAACTTTATATGCCTTTGTCCTCCTTCTTTGAAACATTAATTTTATCGAATAGTACAAAATATTCAGTTATTGAAATAAAAGAATAAGTAAAATAAAGATCAACAGTCTAGTTGTATGCTAACACCAATGTTTTTTAAAGACCTGCTATACCGTTGGGAAATATAATATAGTTCTGTGTAGCTCAAGGCCATAATTTGCTCATCGGTATTTCTATTCTTCGAATATCAATACATAAGCAATACAAAGAAGATTTAAAAATAGTTTCGTCTTAAGTCGTACTTATTGATCAACTGTTTATCATTAACATAGATGGATAATATCTCCACTAACTGTAGCGAGTGCTACTGATAAGATTTATCAGTAGTATATATATATATATATAAAGAGATGTTCATCGGCATAAAAAACACCAAATAGCAGGGAGAAGGCAAATGAGACAGCATTTTGAAGGTACATAGGAGACATGTAAGGGACACGAAGAAAAACAACATGAAGTCAGGAAGTAGCACAACATGAAGATCTGTGCAAATGGTGCGTTGAAGAAATGGTGTACATAATTTGGCTAAATAGAGATACTAATTTCCAAATAAACACTCCTTTATCGAGTCTTTCGTCTTCTACCGTTTCAATATCAATATTTCCTGCCAAAATCCTATAGAAACAGTTACTATTGTGGTGAGAGCTGTCTACTAGCCAAATTGGTAGACAGTAATTTACGTCAATATTTACGTTCCCAAGATTTGTCGTGAGAAAATGTGAACAAAGACCACAGCAGACTTTGCGTAGGCGGATGCAGTTAACATATAGAGGATTTAACATTCAAGAAACAGTCACAAATAGATGAAAGATTAACTTTACGTGAGAAACAACCAATCGTAAGACAGTGTTTGTTTGTTTAAATAACCATAGTGATGTACATGAAATATATAAATATGCGTTGATTTCCTTAATAAATGATCTGTTGCCTGATTCTTGCCTTCTGTCGTTACACTATTATCACTCCCAGAAGAGTCACTAATGTGCACACTACTTTTAATGTACTGTACTGTGTCTAAATGACTCACGGACCCTAATCAACTTTGAAAATTTTTGTTTTCAGTATATTGACTGTTTCCTCATTTTCTTTCACTTGCAAACTATGCGCCTTTAGTTAATGTAGACTCATTCATCCTATTTCAGTGATTAATCTCGATAAGCATGTTTATTTTCAAACAGATCAGCTTATATTTATGTTCAAGTATTGGTTACATGGAGGATTTCATCATGAGCTGGTATCTGTTAGAGAACCACTGAAAAACCTGGGAGTACTGGACAGCTGTTTCGTCAGCTTAGTTTGGGACTCTTCATCAGCACGCACTCACCGGGATTCAAACCCAGGACCTTCTGGTTACAAGGCCAGCGAGCTCGTAGACCGTTGAGCCACTGGTACTCGATCCAATGACCAGCCCATGAATTCTAACTTCTGCCAATCCACGACATAGCGCGACCACTTCGCAATGTCTTCTTCGATGAGTTACTGCCTCATCTTCAACCTGCTGTACCCTACTGGTCACGGCTTTCTACTAGAACCCCAGGTTAACTACCTGAATAGGGCCAGTCACTAATGAGCATATTTATGTCTCTATCTAAAATATCACAGAAATAAAATATAACAACAGTGGTGTAGATTTAATAACGTGCATAACAAATTACCAATTACTAATCGCATCAACATTTTCTTTACCCTTCCTTTAAGATGGTTAAATGAAATACAAAATATATTTTATCAAGGGAATAAACGCAAACTTGTTCCAACACATGATGAACCAGCTAAACTGGAAGCCTATTATCGTTGTGCAGCTACACTGATGACAGAGAATTTACAAAATCTTGGTTTATCTTCAATGTCAGATTACAAGGATCTCGTATGCCATCCACCGGTATGTTATCCTAAGAGTAATTTGGATTATTTCTCTGTTTTAATGTTTACATCACATTACATTACATCGACTGAGATGGTTAGGACATGTGTTACGTATTCCTAGTCATCACCTTCCTCGACGGGCAATGTTAGCTGATATAGGGCCAGGCTGGAAAAGAGCTAGCGGTGGTCAAACGAAAACATGGCACCAGTCAATGAGATCCACAACAGTTAGTCTAAGCCACGTAGGAAGATGTAGACTTCCTGGTTGGGGTCCTCGGGACGGTAAAAACCAATGGTTGGAAACAATTGGTGACATGGCTCAAAATCGTTCTCAGTGGCGCAGATGCATCCACTCTTTGTGACTTATGATTTCTAATTAAACTGTTTTGTTCTCCGTTATTACTATTCCTTTGTCTCACACCTCTGTTTACTGTCTCTAATATGCATTTCTCCTACTTTCTTCTCTTGCTTTGTATGCTACATGGAGTGTGGCGACTTGAACTACCGCACATATGTGCAAAGTTCTATGTCGAAAACAGACAGACAGATAGACATCACCCCTACCTTACAATTGAGCGCTACTGTTTGTTATGATGAATAGTTGTCAGACACTTATTTTAGTCAGTAGTATATATCGCGTAATATTTCTGTTTACCTTCTTGATGTTATTTATAATACCAAGATAAGCAAACAGGATGACCTAAGTTGTTGTTGTGAAATTTGATCTCGAATACATTTCCACGTTGAAAAGCTCAACTGAACGTGCTCATATGCAACGAAGTTATTCATTTCTTTACGTAACTTATTCGTTGAAAACAATGAACGATTTTAAATGCATTGATGATGTATGTGTGTGGTTAGTTTGCTAGATATGCTGTTATAGTCAATCTGTGTCATTACTGACTGTCCTTCTTTTATGAAAAAAGGCAAAGTGACCGAAAGAGAAAGGAATCTCTTACAAAAACATGATACCTAGGTTTTGTTCACTTGCTGTTTTCACATAATTAATTGCGTGACAGGAAAAGTATATCCATTAAAAGAAGCACATGTTATCAGTCAAATTTTACTCTGATAAACTCCTTCCAGATTAATTGACTAATAGGAAATTTAATATAAAGATATGCATCTATAAAAAATATAAGCATCCATCGAATGAAATGTTTATGATAAGTCTACACATAGAGACGTGAACTGTATTCGCTAAAGCAGTTCATGTTTTTGCAGAACAAGATTATATTACTTTACATACTAAATGGTAACCATCATTTCTTCAGATGGTTACAGAAAACCAGTTATGATGCATCAGAGCTGAATGGGCTTCTGTCTTAATTAACAAAATGAATTTGTCATTTTATATTTCCTCATAGCATTACACAAAGAGATCGCTATTTCCTTGGGTTCCGAGTGAAACACATTCTCACTTTGTTGTGTTTTCCACTCTCCTCTTTAACTGGGCCCACGATTGCTCACAATCTCTCATCTCCTCCTCGGTCGATCTTCTCAATGTCACCATCGCACAGACGACCCAATCGTCGCTTCCCATTCTGGTTCCACCCGAGCGATGGCCTGGCGCGATATGTCATTCTACTGCCTATTAACGTATGCCCGATCCACCTGCATTTTCTACATATCTGCTGAGCGATCGGCTCTTGGTTGCTTTATTGCCAGAGTTTCTTGTTACTAGTTCTTTCTGGCCGGCCATTTATTATTCAATATGGAACCAGCGAAAACAGCTGTTGATAAAAGTTCATAACTTGTTGGAAATCTTTTCCATTACGCGCAGTGCAAGTTTCTGATCCGTATAGAAGCAGTGACTGACCTAACGTTGGCGTTGAATATAATCCGAATCTTGTTCTTCACTTTGGCTGAGTGCAGAATATTTCCATACTGGTTTCAGACTGATGAAGGTGTATTTTGCATCTCCGATTCTGATTGGCTTCGACATCTTCATGCGTTACGCCTGCCGTTGAAACGATGCTTCCTAGATAAGTCAAGGCAGGAAGTAACCTCTGTTAAATCTCTCCCTTTGATAGTGATTTGTGCTGGTTGGTGTTGTTGTTGTTGTTCGTTGGGTATTTTCGTCATCTCCATCTTCTCTGTGTTCATATGGAGTCTTGTCTTCGCTGCCAACCTCTTCTGCCAGTTTGTTGGTTTTCACCTGCAAGTCTTTGAGTTTGGGTGACATTAGATATAAGTCATCCGCGAAATCCAGGTTCTCTAGAGTCTTCTCATCGGTGGTCCAACGTATTCCTGTCTTTTCACTCACACTGCACAGTCTGATGCGTAATCCAGTCCACCAAAATTAAGAATATTATCGGTGATAACAGGTAGCAGTCCTGTATTACTCCTGTGTTCACTTCGAACACCTCGCTGAGATTTCCGTTGTGGATCACCTGACTGACTCGTGTCATTGCCGTATAGCTGTTGAACGAGCCTGATAAAGATTTTGGATACTGCACACCATAGAGTTGAAGTAGTTTCCAAATTGCTTCTCGGTGAGCGCTGTCTGTCGAAAGCCTTTTCGAAGTTGATGAAGTTGAGGTAGAAGTTTGACTGCCATTCTGTGCTTAGTTTGATGACGATGCGTAGAGTTGAAATTTGATCAGCACATGATGTGCCTTTCCTGAATCCAGCTTGTTCTGACCGATGGGGCGAAGTTCTGTATCCAGTGCATCTTTTGTTCTCCGCAGGATGACGCGACTTAGTATTGTACTTGGCGTAGACAAGAGCATTATTCCACGCCAGTTATTACAGACGCCTTAATAAATCGCCCTTCTTTGGCAGCTTGACAAGGTAGCGTTTCCTCCAGTTGGTAGGTTCCTTTCCTGCCTTCCAAACCTTTTGCAATAATGGCGTCAGCTGTATTCATTGTAGAAATTTTAATTTAAGCACTTTTAACACTTGTTTGTTCCTGATTTTCTGTAGAACATTGCTCACAAATTTATATAATGTTAAGGTTTTGATGTATGATATCATATTTTTTAAACTAATGTGCGACATCATACATTAAAGTAATTGGATTGTTTTGTCACAAGACCGCCTCATTTTCTTCACTCAAGAAAATTAAACACAGACTCACTCTCTCTGAACAGACTCGTAACCATCATCACTAAAGGTAATCGTTTCGAAGTTTTTTTTGAGTATCTTTGAGTTATTTAGAGGAAATTAAAGCGAAATAGAACTTTTTCTAATCGCTGTAGTTGTGTTTCATTATCTCCAGCATTGATTTTTGGGTTTCATGAGTATAACTGATTTTAATATAGATCCCATAACTAACCGGCACTAATTACGAAACCACTGAAAGTAGTGATAAGTGGCATCGTTCCATTTAAAATCTTTTAAGCAGTGCATAAAGAATGGAACTTAACAGCATTGGATTACTATATAAATACACAAATAGATACTCAGTAAATGGACTAGAAATGAAATGTTCATGACTTCCAGCTTCTATCAATCTGCTTTACTATGCTAAGTCATTTGTCACTTGATGAAAAAACAACAAGCGATCCAATAAACACTCCCAGACTTATAGTTTACTTAAGATTACATTCAAAAATAGACTGCCCAAAGTTATTAGGAAAAGTTTCGACTCTTAAGATTCATGGATTATGTTGACATTTACTGGGTTCTAGGGAAAATCCTTTTTCAAGAAAATGAGTAACGTTAAATTCATACAGCTTCTTTTCTCACTCTTAGTAATTATAATTTTTCTGAATTTTCCACTAACTAATTCTACCGGATCGAAATGCTCCATCTCTTATGATATAACAGCATCTAGTATGGACTCTTCAATGATGCCTTGAGGTTAACTAGACGTTATTTAGTTGATAACGACTAGCAGTAGAATTAAAGATGCCTATTTTGAGTAGATAAGGCTTGGATTTCTTAAATAATGGATGCTGGGTTTGAGTCTCACTGGTAACACCAATCACCGGAACTAACTTACATATATCTGATAAGTCATACAAAGGACGAAACTCATAACATGCATTCCGTCAACCAAATGAAATCTTAATAGTGGTAGTGAGTTAATGTGGGCAAATAAAACAAAACTTTAATAGAAATATAGGAGAAAATAAAGATTTTCATATTTCACTTATGCGATGAATTATAATGCTTAAGAAATCAGAATTTTTCTAAACTTCAAATTAGACTGAAAATGACCAGTACTCCTCGTTAGATAACCGCGAAAATTCTCAGTAACTAATAAAACCAATGTAGTTTTCATAAAACGAAGCTATGTCTAAAAGAAGAACGACTTTCACAAAAAAAAACCATTTTAGTGGAAAGTATCACCCTCTAAGTATTCCTTTCTTCTCGTAGTAGAAACATTTCAACGTAGTTCGGTTGACACACAAACGCTTGTAACCAGCATGTGATGTGTACAGCAGTCAGACTAGGCCAACATGCCATCTAAGCAATTTTACAGTTTCCAAAATATTACACAATTTCATTAAAAACTACTTCTATTCAAACACTTTACAGGTGACACTTCAACAACGGAAAAACTTCACTTTACTACAATAAGCTGACATAACAGCATGCCGTTTACACGCAGTGTTCGAATTGATGTATAAGTGTTTGAATTTCTTAAACAGACTTCCAACAAATTTATAACTTCACTCCTGATAAAATAAAATAATTTACCTTCAAATGGTTTCAAAGAATTTTGCGATTTTTCTCAGCTTTTCATTTGTATGACCAAACTGAGTTTGACTGATAAATACATATATATTATTAAGTATTGGTTTGTAAGGATTTGATTGATTGGTTACAGGATTTCATCATGAGCTGACATCGGTTAGAGAATCATTGGAAAAAACCTGGGAGTACTGGCCATCTGTTTCATCCTAGCTCGGGACTCCCCATCAGTACGCGCCCACCGGAGTCCGAACCCAGGACCAGTCGGGTGCAGCAGGTCGAAGGTGAGGACAAATTCTCGCTGAAGACATTGGCTAGCGGTCGCCCTGTGTCGTCAATTGGCAGAAGTTGGAATTCATGGTCTTGCCATTGGATCGGGTCCCAGTGGCTTGATGGTCTACGGGCTAACCTTCTAACAGAGAGGGCCTGGTTCGAATCCCGGTGGGTGTGCACTAATGAAGAGTCCCAAACTAGGATGGAACAGATGGCCAGTACTCCCAGCTTTTTTCCAATGATTCTCTAATAGATGTCAGCTCATGATGAAATCCTGTAACCAAATATATATATGTTCTGCGCTTATCAAAATTCTTTCTGTAGCACACTGAAACATTCATTCTTCAGTCGTTTAGAGTAAGCAGGCAGTTATAGAACTGATAATGATGTTGCAATATTGAATTTCATGGAACTATGATTTAGGAATGAAAATTACTGTCCTATTTTAATCGTAACCAAAAGTGATTCTTGATCATTTCATTTTATGTAACGTTTGACTGTATTATTTGATTTCTTTTTTAAATAAAACTCAAGTAACTGTGTTGATGAAGCTGTGTCCTACACAGAGAAAGTGTAGGAAAAATCTTGTTTAAACTTTGTAAACACGCTGGGATTATTTCAGATAATTTTGAAACTTGAACGATAAATGTACCAGGATAATCTGAGCTCCTTTTTGTTATTTAGGGGACTCTTGTCAGATTGCTACAACCTGAACAATACCAAAATTATAAATAAAATTAAGGGTCTGAACATGCTGTTATATAATGATAAAGAGTAATTGATTGGAACTAAGAGTAACATTGATCAAGAATAATGTAAGTTGCAGAATACTTAAGAGTGCAAAGGACCGACTATTTATGGAAGAATTGCATCACTAAGCTTGAAAACAAAAGGACAGAGTTCAACAGATGTTTTGTGGGTAGAAACAAAGTTAATCTAGGAAGAGTATAAAAGTAACAGGTTATGAAACCACAGAAAAACACGCCTTTATAAAACAGACAAAAAGGGGGATAGGGCTAGTCATATTTAGACAAAAAAATCAAGGTTTCCAAACAGGACAGAAGAGGACGTAGTAAAATTCGTATGTTTTATTATCACCAAGTCAGTGCAAGATTCACTACCGTCTCTTTCTGCGTACATAGATTTGGTTCTAGTCATTTGATTATGATTACCTCAGCAAAACGAAGCATGCCAGGTCTCTTTTGTTTGCTGATTATTTTGGACGCCTTACAGATTGTCCAAAACATGAACAATGTCCAGTAGATGGAGTGCAATCGCACTGTTTAATGCTTGTGGGTCCTTTAATCTCAGGTTCTTTGGTATGTGTTCAGTGATATAGACAATAATTCTTCTCTCTGCTCTTCCAGTTTATATGCTTTGGCATGTATATGTAAATTGGTAGACACAATTGGAGATAACATGAGGTAGGAGTTTGTCCACTTTTGACTGTCTTCAACAACTGGTTGTTTAATCAACACATAAAAGCTTGGAGGCTGGATATATTCTTTTCAGGGCAGCGTTCAGTCTGCCAATAATCACCCTCGAGTTTTCAAACGCTTAATGAAAATATCTTAATTATATGCTTCATGGTACAAAAAACTAACGAAAATGAAGGAACCTGTTACATAATGAGCAACTGAGCATATAGAACTGTGATACAGTCGAAATTGTATACAGCTTATGCTATGTAGGTTCTGGCTGTTTTCTTGCTCTTTCTGCTTAGTTTCCTCTGAATAAAAGTCTTGGTTTCCGTCAAAACGTCATCTTCAGTACTGTTTCTGGAAGAATGTACAGAAAATTACTACAGCTTATGCATTTCTCATGTACATATAACATCCAAGAATGAGGTTTCTGCTCATGCATATTTTGAAAACTCATTGGTTCTTCTTAGATATTTATGTTAATGTGTACAATCACTAACCTAGGATCACACCGATGTCGTTTGGAAGAAAAAATGTATAGTCATAGAAACATAAATGAGTAGTAAAACATGTTCATATAATGCCACTTTTGAAAAACCAAATCAAATCTATGGGAAATCCAACGAAATATACACAGAAACACCATATCCCACTCCCTAATGATTTCAGTTTTAATGTATCTCACAGGTATATAGTGATACCGAGTGATCACTTTGCATGAATTCCTCATTTTTTGTTCTGAGTTTTGAAGATGAAAGAATATAAGTGAGGTGATAGTTTAAAATAGATCTAACTGAGGCAGTAAACCCGACTACTACAAGTTATCAGTTCCATTTCAGTTACCTAATATTTCATCTGGTGGTGATGTGAATGAAAGTTACGTAATCGCCTACCCAACATTAGCAAAAGGACTTCTTCCCGACTACCTTCAACCAACAAAACATCAATTCAAAATGAGATGGAAAGTCATCCAGCTTACTGACTGCATTGTAAACCTCACTGAGAGAATTCAGACAGCACCTGGATTAAGGAATAGACACATGATGATATGGCTTACACCCCGGTGATCAATGAGTGTGCTTTCGACTCTCTACCTAAATGTCTCTTGCTAAATAAACTCTCTATGACACAAACTGAAACCTGGGTCACTAACTGGTTGCATTCCTACTTCTCTAACAGAATGCAGTACACTGTATACAAAGGCAAATCCTTCTCTGCTGTGCTCACTGAAGATGGTGTCCCTCAAGGTGCTGTACTCTCCCCACTTCTCTTTTCTTTCTTTCTACATGACTTACCACCTTCAAATGACATTAATTTTGTTAAATATGCTGACGAACTGACTGTATCTTTGCCTGTCAAATGTCAGAGTGACTGCTCCAAACTAAATGGCTTTTTATCAGAAATCAGCCAGTGGTCTAAGGAAAACGGTCTTACCTTAAACCCCTCCAAATGTCAAACAGTCAACTTCACCCTTAGGCATAAATCTGACCTAAACAAACTGGTTAGCTCTCACGAGGTGTGCAACATAGATGGCACTGAAATAGAAACCAAGTCGGAAATTATATACCTAGGCGTCATTCTATCTGCCGATCTTTTCTGGTCGTCTCATATCTTGGTGATTTCTAAGAAAATATTCCGTCTTACCTTCTACATCAAGGAGTTAAGACATTCTGGTATAACCCTCCAACCCTTACTCCTACAATTCGTTAACTCTCGCATTCTGCCTATTATTCTCTATTGTTCCCCTTTAGTTTTTCCAGGGCTGTTGAAGAAAGGTTATACCTTATTACGTGGGATGTTAAAGGTTGTTAGCAGGGTAAGCAACGTGCCACTAAACCAGCTTGTTAATATTCTGGTTGACGGGCACATGGACTCATGTGAAAAATGGGCTAAATACATTTTATCTAACTCACACCACCCTCTTCATTCACAATCTCCCCTTGTATCTCATCAGGCAGAACCAGAAGCCTATATAGAAAACTATATGCTCGCACTAGCAAGTACAAAAACTCAACCATACCCTACTTAGTTCGTGTTCTGTGCGATAAAGAAAGCATTAGGCGTGACACCTATAATTCACTAAATAGTCAGTAGTACAACTGGACCTCGTCTTTCCAACTCACATCATTTATAGGTACAACGTTTTCTTTCTTTCGTTTCCTTTTCTCTCTCTTTTTTTCTGTTATGTGCTGCTTTGTTCCTTTCTTCCGCTTACGACAGTAAATATGATACACCTACTTTTCTAACACCTTCAAACACTGTTCAACTTTGGCTTTTCAACCGACATGCCAATATGTTGTTATCATAATGAACTGAGATTTCCTTAATCTATGTAGAATTTATTTATTGATAATGTACTAACTGGATGCAGTACTGTAGTAAAATGCTGAGAATTCCATTGTGTGTCACAAGTACTGTTTTGGAATAAAGCAAATCACTATTATTATTATTACATGCATTACATACAACTTTTTAAAAGTCTAACTACAAGTAAACCTTGCTAGTAACTGGAGAAAATGCATCCATTTTTATGAGTTGTTTGTTTCAACATCTACAGATACAATTTACATGAAAGTATTCTAATTTACACCTGTATTTCTAATCCAACTCAAATTTCTACAGCGTTTAATTGAACGAATACATCCAGAAAAACAGTATCAAGGTCATATAATGTTTGTTAAAAAAGGGGTATGCTTCAGTTTGTTGATTTTAGTTAAATCTGATTTTGTTATACGTAAAGTTGTTCTGAAAATTTTCCCAATTATACCGATAATTATCAAGCTTTTCTTTTTCTAATCTTAATAGATCAGCCCTACTGGTCTACAACATCCTGGATTTATACTACGTCTTGTCTTAGATGAGAATGTTGTAAAATTTGAACCATCGATAGAAGAATTTGAAAGTGTTCTACTGAATATGTTTGATTATATGCATAAAGTGATTCAGAGTATCCCTAGAATTGAAACACGTCTCTATTCTGATTGGGTAAGTTTATGGATAAAAAAAATATGATAATAGTCAGTTTTATTACTTCAAACTATAGACATTTAAAATTTTTAGACGTCCTTATGACCAGAAAAGAGGATGGCACAGTAAGAAGAAGTGTATATAAAAAAACCTGCATCAACGAACTGTCAGTATACTCATTTTCTCAGCTTTGTGCCCTTGAAATACAAATGCAATCTGATAAAGTGCTTGGTTCACAGAGCAATAGCAATTTGCTTGGATGAATGTCTTGATGAGAAACTTAATAATATTAAACGGTTGCTAAGTGAAAATGGTTATCCAGAAAAGTTTATTGATAAGAATATGAATCGAAAATCAAAGCAGCCCAAGTTACCAACAGTTCCAAAAAAGGCCTTATTCTTACAAATGCAGTTCCTTGGGAACAACGTCAGCGAGATACTAACACAGCGCCTTAGAAATGCGAAGAAAAGAGCATTCCCTGCTGCCGAATTACGCTATTTCTTCAAAACCACTCCTGTTTTGCGTTCGGGAGTAAAAGACAAACTGCCTAATTTCGCCTCTTCCATGTGTATCTAACAATTTAACTGCTCCTGTGGAGCTGGTCACATAGGCCGTACAATTAGACGTGTCGAATTTCCGAACATCACCCTGCCTGGTTAAGCAAAGAACAAAAAATATCTATTCGCAGTGCTATTCTGCCTCATCTTGTGGATTCAGAACCCAAGATTGACGTTAACCATGCTTTCAGGGTCATTTACCGCATACCTACGAATTTCAATTTCGCCTTAAGAGTTCGTTTACTAAATATTGTTGAGGTTATGGGGATCCATATTAACAAGTCTAATTTGTGCATCCAAAAGAAGTTAGTTCAGGCATCATTACCTCGGCCATCTACGTTTGAATGATCCTGAATTTTTGTGGAATTTTCCTAATTTTAGTTGATATTCTATTTGCTACTATATCTTTATTATTATTATTATTATTATTATTATTATTTAAGCATCTTTAAGGAACTGTAATTGCATGGATCATACTTTACAAAAAACACTAATATTGTTATTGACTACTATTCTATAATATTCTGTGTATATAAACATATATATGTATAAATGTAGAGCCAGAAGAGGAATTTATCGAAAAGGATATTCTTTGCTTAATTATTTTGTGTTTTAGACATTTAAAATTGTCAAGTGTTATTTGCAAGGAGTTGATTGGTTACAAGATTGATCATGAGATAATATCAGCTAAATAAATATTAGAAAAATAAGGAGTACTGGACATCTGTATCCTCCTTGTCTGGGACTCTTCTGTGGTACGCATGCACCGGGGATGGAACCCAGGACCTTCTGGATTCAAGGCGAGCTAGTAGACCATTCAGCCACTGGGCGACATTCCACTGGCCTACGAATTCCAACTTCTACCAACTCGCGATATTATAGCTCAACTACCGACCAGTGTCATTTAAGAGTAACTGTCCTCGTGGCTGACTTGTCATTTTGTTCAATTATTCTCCAATAAACCTACTTTACTCGCAAAGTAACCTCTTTCAGAATAAATATATTAGGAAAGTATACACCATGTAGTTAACTTGCAGTGTTAAAAGCTTACTTATCAGTCGGATACGTTTATTTATTATATATTTTATTGAAGTTAGAGCTTAGAAGTTTCGGTAGCAGTGGCGTTTATTTTTGCAGGATGGAGGTTGCTGGCCTCATGTCCAACCTTCCTTTCTTTACCAGCCTTATTACTGTCTTAGCGAGGAGTGTGCCGGCAGGGGATCAAACCCTGAACCACATACGTGGTTGTTGGGTATTATAGTGCTGTGCCACCGACGCACGTTTAGAGTCATTTAATTTAATGTAAGAGCTTTTGTCATTTCATCCATCACACACTGTCAGTTTATAACCATTGCTTTAGGAATTGATCTCGTTCCACTAATCAATCCAAACATTGTTCAGACTAAATAATTATATCGCCATCTCTCGTATTACCGTCTGTATTGTTAAAAAACGTGACATCAGCAAAACACTAATCTAGCATACTAATTTATTTCTAACTTCATAGTTTGTTCAGCAACCAGGTTGGGTAACTCTCTCAGTGCAGAACTGAGTGGGCAACTTAAAAATTAACGTAACCCAGTTTCTCAATGAAATTAACACATCTTTTATGAAATTTGGGAATTTGGGAATCGACATCTGAACAAATAGATAAGTGTGCAAAAGAACATAATGATTGTGAAATTGGAGATATGAAAAAAAAAGAAATTTATCTGGAAACCTAGTTACTCTGAGATTGTTTGTATATTAAATGAATAAAAGAATTCAACCAGGAAAACAACGATATAAACGATAAATGACAAGCTCGAAAACATTTTCTTCTTGTCCTTATACCTAACTAAAAACTGGTGTAACTCACATATATTATGAAATTTAAGACAATGTCAGCCAGTAGTGTAGGGATTGATATTCTTAATAAAACAGATACTGAATTCAGAATTTGTTATCCACTGAGTTTTACCTCAGCAGCTGAAATAAGATTAGGTTGGAATGAGTTATGTAGGGGAGGGAAGGCTCAGATGAAAGTAAAGCTTAACTAATGAAGTTTCTGAGGTTTGTCATCGTTTAGTTATGAAAATACGGTATCAGCCTAAAAGTACAGTTCGTTTTGGGTTGTTCAAAATACACTTTAAGGTGTATGTTAACTATCTGGGTTCGTTGTGATGCTAAGATTCAGTAGTTAGAGACTACTGATGAGACTGTTTGTGCTCATTTGTGCAGATATATTTACTTCGTGGGATCATCTAGATTCTGAAATCCTCACTATTCTTCACGCGATCGTCTTTCTCTCGTATATTTTCATACATTGTGGATTCTTTACATTTTTTTTGTCTACATGTATGTATGTACTTTCACGATGTCTGGCAGCGTGACCTGATTCACTGTCGAGCAAAATTCTGCGTTGAGAATTCTGTTTTTTTTTTTTGATTTACAGCTTGATTTCCACACCGTATTTTCAGTACAAGTGTGGAACTTTCAGCATGGATATCGGTTGCCCAGATTCAGGCATACCATAGATATCGGGTGTGCGCCGGCAGGGGTTCGAACCCCGGACCATGTGCATGGTCGGCGAGAGTCCTAACCACTGTGCCACCGACGCACATCATCCTTTTAACTGTACACCTGTGAAAAAAACAAAACTTCGGATGGCCCTTGTCTGTTCTTTTTCGAATCACGATGACAGAAGTTCAGTAACACGTTGTCTAAGTTATCTAGTAGTACGCACAACATAACTAGTTAAAACATTCAATACTGTGTAATCAAAAAGCTGTACAACCTTTCGTATTTTAACAATTTTAGAGAAATCAGTAAAGGTGTAAATACTTTTAGGCACATTTTCGAAATATTAGCTAAATAAAGAATATACACACTATCTACAAACGGCAGTGACTGGTAGACTCAGTAGTGGTGGTTGCAGTGATGGGTAATGAAAATTTATAAAACCTCACTGCTAAGTGATTATGGAATTAATACATGTATAAAACTTCGACACCGTGGTAGTATTTGATTCCATATTAATTCTTTTTATTGGTATATATCACACAGGGAAACAGTAATATTTACTGGATGACGTTTCGGATACAATTTACTGTCCGTAATTGCGTCGGTAGCATAGTGGTTAGGACTCTCGTCGACCATGTACATGGTCCGGGGTTCGATCCCCTGCCGACGCACACCTGATATCTATGGTCGGCCTGCAAAATTTGGGCTACCGATATCATATGCTGAAAATTCCATACATGTACCAAAAGAACGATGTGGAATCAAGCTGTAATCAAAAATAATAAAAAAAATAAAATCAATCAAATCCTCATAAACTCAAAACCGAAAAATTATAATTGACTTTCCTGAAACCGATACACTTCACTGTTTAATTTGTTTTTCCTAAAATTGTCTTAACGCCTTCAATGATAAGCTTTTTGTTTTATAATTATTTGCAATTATATTATTTTTCTTATCTTGCCAAATAGTCTGGTTCACTAGAAAATACAACATTACGTCCAATTATATTAGATGATATTCTAGAAGAGTATAAATATGAAGTGAGAAGTATGCTGGCATCACAGGCTAAAGGACCAGAATCACATGCACGAGAATATGATAAGTATCAATTTTTAGTTAATAGACAAGTAAGCTATATCCTTATTACACTTTTTTTCCTTCACGTTCCCCAGTGGAACATAGGGCTTCAAGCTAGTGGCTTGATATTTTCTGTAGCAGTGTTTATTTTACAGGATGGGGTTACTAGCCTCATGCCCAACCTTTCCTCTTCACCAGCATTATCTCTGGCTTAGCGAGGTTTGCGAGTGCATTGGTCGGGGATCGAACCCCGGACCATGTGCATGGTCAGCGAGCGTCCTAGCCGCTATGCCACCGACGCCAATATCCTTATTACACTAATCTTATGAAATTATAATTGTTAGTTCATTATTTCCTACACAGTAAAGTAGAAATGTAGCACTCTGACTGTGAATACACCTAAAGAAAGAAATATATCTTAATGATGAAAAAAAGATATCACCACATAAAGATATTATTAAATACAGTACCTAGCACAAATAATCAGTGTTTCAAGCTACTACATAACAAAGAAGTTGAAATGAGAACAAGAATTTGAACTCTATATGATCAGACATCCTGAAGTTTCTGTAGCAGCTCTGTTTACAGGGTGGGGTTGCTAGCCTCACGTCTGGAAAGGGGGTTGTTACATCGTTTCAAGTACAGGCGGATGGAACTGACGAGGATGTCAACGCGGGGATCGAGAAAGCAAGGCAAGTTTTCATTTCTCTCAAGTTTGTGTGGAGATCAACAGCACTCACCATGAAAATGAAAATAAGATCCGGATTTTCAACTCCAATGTGAAGTCAGTGCTACTATACGGAACAGAGACTTGGCGCGTCATAAAGAGCATCTCAAACAAACTACAGACCTTCATCAACACCTGTCTTCGCTCAGTACTCAAAATCAGATGGCCGGCCAGAAAAGATCAGCAACAGGGATGGATATCTGGCAATGAGCAAACCAATTAACCCATCAAGAACCGATTGTGCAACAAATATGCAGGACGATATGGAGGTGGGTAGGCGATACTCTGAGAAAACAAACCATCATCAAGTGACATCACACGCCCGGCCGTCGCTCGAGTGAAACCCGAATGGGAAGTGGCGAGTTGGTCGTCAGTGTAAGGGTGACATGGAGGAGGTCATGTGAAAAGAAAATGAAAGGATGTGGACAGACGTGGAGCCAGGTGAAAACGTTGGCAGAGAACCGAACGTAACGGAGACGTGCAGCTAAAGCCCTATATTCCTCTAGGAACTAAAGTAAACAATAATAATGATGACCAGAGATGTCAGAATGAAAGAAAAAAGAACCAAAAGAGCCAAATAATGATGCTACATTTTAATTCCGTACATTAATAATGTTAATAAACATATTGGATTGCTAGAATTTTTATTAGTTTTATCTTGAAAATCTTCGTGCAATTTTAGACTCGAAAACCCTTGGGGTCCTTCACATCTGTAATAAACTTCACACAAGTATCCGTTCTAATTAAACGCCTTTAGTATTGTTATTTATCCTTCACATTCCGAGTGGGACACGTGACTTCAACAGTACATCTCCACTGTACTTTATTCTCTGCTGTTTTCTTTCACCTGATTCTATGATTATTCAAAAGCTTTATTTTCTCTTCACATGATCACTGTGTCGTTCTCAGACGCCAAACTCGTCGATTCTCATTCGAGGACCTAACGTGTGGTTTCCCTCCAAGGTTTCCTCAGCATATATCCGATCTATCTTCACTTGCTTTTACATATTTTACTGGCTATTTGGTTCTCTGCTGGTGTGATGCACTGACTTGTTGTTTATCCTTCCTTTTTGGCCATCTGATCTTCAGTAGCAATTGAAGGCAGCCGCTGATGAAAGTCTGTAACAGTCCACTGAAAATGCTGATGCTGACACAAGTATCAAGTGTTTGAAATACTAACTTCACACTGATGTTACAAATTCGGATCCTTGTCCTTGTGCTAAGTGCTGTAAATCTGCACACTGACTTCATACAAACGAATGACTGTCTTCCTTTCCTCATCCTCCGTGCTGCCCGAAAAGTAAAGATAATTTTTCAGCCAATTTCTCAATCACACTACACCAATATATTATATCCTATAAGAATTTCGGTAGTTAAACTTCTCATATCAGCGGAAGTTCCTTTCTGCTGCAAACTCAGGTCTTTCTTACGCATGCAATATAAAAAGTTGCTATCACATGAAGTTTAGAAGAATGGAATTAAATAACTTTTTCACCTTCTAATAATTCATTAAGAGGACAATAAAATTCATACATAGTTTGTTAACAAATCATTTAGCCTTTTTAAGTATAGTCAAGTTATGGCGGCTTGAGCATATACTTCAAATGATCCCGTCGAAACAAGAAATCAAAAATAATGTTATTTCCGAGGCTGACACTTTAAAAACTTTTCTTTTGATGTAGAACAAGTAGCATCCTTGAATCCACTGATTATCTTTCTGAAATGTCAGTTTCATACAGGCAGCTGTAAAATCAATTCTTCATACCTGAGACTATCTCCTTCGTGTTTCACCACTCTTCAAGCAATTGTTCTATTACAGTGCAAACGTTTTATCCAATATAAATTAGTAATATTACACTATTCAAGAATTAACAGTACATCTAGGTTATCCAAAGTCTATAATTGAGTTTATTTATACGTAACACTAGTCTATTTAAAAAGTAAAGAAATAGAGAAGTGCAAACAAAAATCGTCAAAGTTTATATCAATGTGATTATTTTTAATAATGGTGAACAGAGATGATCTATTTTTGAAATTTCATATTTTAATAGTGTTATGTAAACCTAATTTTGCCTAAAAGCTTAAGATGACCATTTTAAGGAGTTATCGCGCACTGGTGTGAGTCCTCTGTTTGGACTGCTGTATTCCTATTGGCTGTTAATACTTTCAGTGAATCACTGAATTACTGCATTTTCAGGGTCATTGTAACTGTATACAAATACAGAGTTTCTGTTTAGCATTTTGATTGTTATTTGAGATAGTAGAAGCTCTCTTATCAACGTCCAGTTTTTTCTTTTGTCTTTGCCTGCCGGAGGTGTTATTTTTGTTGTTGTTGTTGTCGTACGTTTAAGACAGACTAGCCGGCGCATTAAGTCAATATTCGATCATAGTCTACTAGGTCGTAGTTACGGTCATAACAATTGGCTCACCATGAGATGAAAACAGAATTTAATTTACGAAGCTTTCATTGTCTTCCACAAATACAGTAAACGGATAAATCTGCAATCAATATGTAGGTCAAATAGATTACCGAATAAAGGAAAGTTACATAGGTAAAAGACCAAACACAAAATGTCCAAAATGACTAAGTGAACATTGAGGTAAAAAAAACTCCACACAAAGGCAACCACATCCAAGGACACCATGAAGATGAACGTCCAGTGATGATAACAAAAACTTATAAACTTCATTTTGTAGTTGGCCCGGAATATGCTGTCTGAGAAAACAATAAAGGCTCATCCATTAGAGCATACAGCCCAGAAGACACAACAACATTCTTTATAATTACAGAAAATATATAAAACAGTGGAATTTTTAACAAGCAATAAGTTGGTCACCAAATTAGATTGTGCTCGGTGTTCATTAAAAGATCTGTAGATTAAGATAAAAATCACCTTATGCTCTTCGAGCCTTGAAATCTGAACGTTCACCTTTTCTTAGACATATTCGTATTAGCATTCAAACCTTTATAAATGCCAGTGAAGTTAAATTGTCAAAGCCAAAGCCATTGTCTTTCAAAATTTGACCTTCGAGAACCAATCAGATACAGGGAATGCAATGAACGGTCATTCCAAATAAAAAATCTTCCATGTCTTTCTAGATTCGGAGAAGGTAGATACAGTATTCAACTTATTCTCCAGGTACTTCCTCTGTAAATCTATACTGTTAGGTAGGGTTATGGCCTTTTAGATTAAGGTCTAGGGTTAAGGTTATAATTGGGGTTAGAGTTAGGATTAGGCCAAAGAACAGTGTCAGAAATATCAATAGATCTCAAAGTACCATTGTGGTGACGGCTAGCTGCAAGCCAAAAACTGTAGACATCACTTAACGTCAATGTTACGTCCCGAATCGGGGTCATGAGAAAAAACAATAACAAAGCTTAACTTTGAGGAGCTCACCAACCAATCACGGCAGACTTAACGTGTGAAAATATGATTCGCAGGGATATGGCTTAACTTTCTGAGAAACGGTCACAATGAGTACAGAATAACTCAGAAAGGAAACAACCAATCAGAAGACGTTGCTTCTCCACTGGCAATAATGTACATAAAAATTTATAAATATCTGTTGGTTTTCTCAATAAATGATCTGTTGACTGGTCCTTGTCTTCTGTCGTTACACCAAGACCTACAGTAGTCTGGATGAATGCATCTATCGCGCATTGTATGATTTCTCTACATATCATCTGCGTAGTGACCGGGAGAAATTCTTACAACACATAAGCGACATCTATGTAGTATAATATCATGTTTGCGATGCTTTTTAGGTGCATTTTTCAACGATTATGCGACTTTTTCGCATCTGAATTCCGATTGGTCGTTCAAGGTCACCGCAGTTTTGGCTATTATGGTTTAACTTTGTCCAAATGCCTTTTAACTCCACTCACTTTGTTTATTCCACTTTAATTATTTATTTTATTTTGATCAATATCATTCTGCAAAATAATCTTTTCTCTTCTAGGCTGAGCAAAATATTGAATTATTACTAAATCCTCCAGTTCAAGAAACTGTCGTTCAAGCTGTTGAATCCTCTGAAGGTGATTCACAAGATAATCCTGATTATATGTATGAACAACAAGATGAGACAACGACAAGAAATGTTGTGGAGCAAGCACCAATTGGACCATCTTTTGAAGAATTAACACGTGAACTATTGAAATATCATCGTTTAGTTAAGAAAATACAATATGAGTCTAGACGTACAATTCGTTTAGGATTGTTTGAAATCCACTGTGATGAATTAATTCATTCTCTAGCTAAACGAGCTGAAAATATTGCAGATCGTGTTTTAGACAGAATTCTAGAAGATCATAGAATTGTCAACAGAAAGTAAATATTTATTTCATTATAGAATAATCAATTTATATCGTTCATTTGCAAACACGAGAGAACTCATACTTTATGTTCCCAATTTACAGCGTCAGAAATATTGACTCCTCAGATAGGCAGTGTAATTATTGAACTACGGTGCACCGTATTTTGATGCTAAATGTGTGAAATGGTGAATTCACCTCCTTTTTGTACTATCTGGTACACAAGTTCCCTCTTGATTCATTTAACCGCCATATGAACAGATTGTATGGCAATAAAAATCAGTATTTGAACTATATGGGTTACTGAATATCACTCACAAATCTAACAAGAGATCTTTTCACTAAACTTGCAGTGTTAAACAGCTTTTGAAGAAGACAACATTAGGAATCATTAAGATATCCAAAATAGTTGTGAAAAGACACCTTTTCAACTGATCAAGAACAAGCTTATTTATAGTATTCAAAGAAATTTTAACAATAGTGTTAGATAATAAAAAGGAAGTACACTTTGTTACCTAGGTGATCGAAAATATTCGAATTACTTGTATTTTAACCTAGGGAAAATAAAGTAAAAGCGGCTGGGCTTAAGGTACCAGACATGTCGCTCAACAATTAGAATGCATAAAATAACAATTGAACTAGGATTAGGGTATTTACAAGTCTTTAGTTCAATTTTAGATTTTCCCATCTATTGACTAGACTGAAGTGCTCAAGGAGTCGACATGTCAACCTGAGACCAAGCACTTCGGTCCAGTCAATCGACGGGAAAATCTAAAATTGAATTAATAAGATACGTTAAACAAGAGGTGGCTCTCGTGGCCCAAGTGGTCTAGTGGATAACGCTTTGGTGTTTGGAACTATGAGCACTGGGTTAGAGACTCTTTGGGAACATCATCACTCACTGGGGAATGCGCGTACATCCAATGATGAGTCTCGAATAGGACGAAATGCGCATTATCCTGGATTCCACTGCTAGTCACCATTCACCAACTGACTTCAAGTATTTAGTGAAGTCCTGAACACCTTCGATTCATGAATCTGAATGACTTTGAAATATACGTAATTGTTGCTTATTTCAGGTGAAACCGTAATGTACATCGTCACCAGGTTATGGATTACGTCAAGGTGAAATTTATTACAAACCAACATTAGCCACAGAGTTGAATAAAAACTGAACTGAACTGTATTGTTACATCACATTAATTTACCATTCATCATCGGATGTAGGATGATAATAACTTAAACATCCCAAAGCTAATCAACGCATCATTAAATCTGATGAATCAAAAGTGTTTTTACGAGTTGATCACGGATTGATATCAGTTAGAGAACCATTGAAAACCAGTATGGAGTACTGGACAGCTGCTGTTTCATCCTTGTTTGGGAATCATTGGCAGTACCAATCATACGAGCTTACCTTGTAACGGAAGGTCCTGGGTTCGAACCCCAGTGGGTGCTTACTGCTTATGATTCCCAAACTGGGATGAAACAGCTGTCTATTACTCCCCGGTTTTCAATGGTTCTCTAATTGATATCAATCCGTTATCAACTCGTAAAAACAAATCTGATCCGTACACACCAATCATAGAATAAATAGTGACCTACTGAAAATTGATAAATTTAATAACTATGAAATCATTGCAAGTGTGTTGAGTGCATTCCATCTATTATTGCTTTTTAATAAAATAAAAACAACAGACTAGTAGTTGCTTCCTTTAATTTCAATTACTTGAGTAAAAGAAATATGACTTGAGCAGCTAGCTCTATATGCAGGCAGTTAGATTAACAAACAGTTGACTAATCCATTATAAAATAAAAGTATCAAACCAATAACACGTAAGAGGGGATACTGCACAAATTTTACTAGGATACATACCAATTTAGCAGATCTAGATTAGTCCTTGTAAGAAAGATATAACTTGGTGCTGCCACTGAAGACATTTAAACTCTTAGCTGCTTTCATAAGAGAATGCTCTTCTAAAAATAGTAAACCAAAAATTGAACTTGTATTCAGAAATTTAATTGTACATAAAAATAGGGTGAATGGAATCTGTAAATTTATATAAGAAGTAGTTTGTAGCATTTCAAATAAGATCAAACATTTGATTAATTGCTAAACTGTTTTCTCTATTGTTAGTTCCAGACTAATATTCACTAGGAAAAGATAAAGAAAGGTGTAAATTGCTTCAGCTGAAATCTTACATATGTAAAGAATCAATGGCTAAAGACTCTTCACGACAGCTTAAAATTATTCAGAATACTTCAGAGGCGTATTGACTGTACACGGCTTTTAGAATTTCTGAAAAGTCCACTAGTCTGTATTCACTTCCTTATCTCAACCTTATCCATTTTAGCATTATATCTTTCTTTCCAGGTGCTCCTCTAAAGTGTATCAACTTCAATTGGTGCCTCTGGACTGGAAAAAGTTTAATGCCCGATCTGTGTATCAGTTCACAGACCCCCTATTTAATATTTCTTTGTAGACATCTCCATAAGGAGAAAGAAAGGCTAACGTTTAGGTGTCATTCTATTTCCTAAATTCAGTTTAAACTTTTGCTACTACTTATTTCTGAGAATAAGCAAGTCATAAACTTTGGTTTTTTCAAATAGAAGAGATAATAATGATAATAACAACGGTTGAAACTGTGCAAGATACTTTCAGATTTTTCAGCTGTGTTTCCATCAGTCTACTACAGTTTGAAAAATTTCTAGTACATTTATAACAAATAGTTTGCACCATACTTAAAATAGTGATGAGAAATCACTCAATTAGAAAGAGGTATAATGTAGCAAATAGATAGATGTATTGCTGACACAAGAAAGGTGAATACCTTAAAACTCTTTGTGGGAATCAACGAGCATAGTAATCGAAGTTTTCTTAATTTTGTTGAAGCTAGGAATATCATCAAACAGATTAGATCAGATTTGTGTCCGAATAGAAGCAAATCGCCAGTCTTTCTTTTTTCTGCTAACTCAATTTCTTATCTATCCATTCTGTTTGATTATATAATTTTCGAATTAAGCTTCATTCCGATATATATATATATATAATTTCTAGTTTTTCCTTCACTTGATTTGAATGCATTAAATTACCATACATTTAGTCTTTTAATTATCATACACTTATTGGTCAGCTAATCTTTCTCTAAACATTTTGAATGTCACAAACATAAATCTCCTCAAAGACTTTTGTTCTAAAGAGCACATTTAAAATTAACTTCTAATCACTCCTTGATCAATATTTTTGAATACTTTTAGGAAATTCGGTTGGCAGAGAACGTGAAGACTATTTAACTGCTTCTGTCTGATCTTAAATTTAATCTGTCTGATGTCTCTAGTTCGAACAAACTTCAGAAAACTTGCATTATTATTGATCACCACGAGAGATTTTACAGTGTCTACTTTCTTGTATCCATTAAACTAGTGAATTTATCTACTACATTGCGCCTTTTCCTACCAAGGGGCCTCAAGACATTGCTTTAAGTATGCTAAAAAGTTCTTGTTATTGAATCTTCTTCTTCAAAGTCTAAAAATGCATGAAGCCCTCTCTATATTCCACTGGGAACTCAAAAGGAATGAAACAAAAATTGTTTAGAAACCAAGAGGTTAATCAAATCTCCTTTCTATCCAGGTGATGAGTCCCTAATGGGACGAAATGCGCATCCTGGATTCCAATGCTAGTCACCATCCACCAATTGATTATACTTTGGTAGTTTTATGTGATTAAATAGCAACCAATTAAATAAAATAAAAATTATATTTGTTAAATCTCAGAGGAATTAAAATAATTAATTCCAACGTTGCATTTGGCGAAATCGGTCAGAACTTCATCAGGTGAACTAATCGAAATTAAAATATTAAATGCATACACATATAAAAGGACAAATCTTGTCTTCAGAATCCTTCCCCAATCATTTGAGTCATGAATAGACATCAAAACAAAATGAGTAAAATTGTAAAAACTGTGATCAAAAAATTATTGTTAGTCTATTTTGTTATACACTGTAAATATACATACATATATATATATATATATATATATATATGAATGAGACATTTAGAGGACAAATTTCGCGAGATGATATCATTTCGTAGTTTCTTTACAACCGCTTTACAGCTAACATGATTAATATTACTAAAATAAAGATCATGACAATTACTCAGCTATATAAAACAAAGGTACATACTAATGACCAATCATATTTAGATAGGTCATGTAGTCCAGGATAGGAGATGATTGAAGTCTATTGATTTTTGTACACACAGTTTAGGCTGTATGTGATTAATCCAAAGTGCTTCCATCACCTTCAATAACCTTGAATTACAATTATGTGAAATAATTGTGAAACAGTCATTAATATTTATTTTGTGACCTGACATTAATAAGTGTTTTGCAATGGATGATGCTGGATTTCTATTCAGATTAATCGCATTGTGACTTTCTATATGATTTAGTAGCCATTTTGGAACATGTTCTTTTCGACGACATTGGAACATTCTGTTGGTTCTACCTATATAGGTGTCACCGCAGCTGCAAGTGAAGTTGTAGATACAGTTTGAAGTAGAGTTAACAGAATTTCATCCTTTAATCGTAGGTACAGGGATCGAAAATGTTCGGCAAATGAGAAAAAGAGATACGGCGTAGAATGTGCGTTTGATGGCTGACCTAAGTCTTTGAGCTGTCAACTGCATAATCTGGTCACCCTTGAATGGTAGGTTAATAAAGATAGCTTTCATATGAACTGTAATCAAGATTTGACCGGATAGTTGCAAAATAATTGAGCGCTAAGATTTTACAAATATAATTTTATAAAAGATAGCTTTCTTTACTACAGAAGTTGTCTTTTCGAGATATGGTGGTCTTTCTTTACTGTGACAAGTGATAAAGTTTTCCGGATAACCATTAGCTAATAAAACTGAATGTGTATGTCTAAGCTCATCCATCAATGTGTCACTCGTGCATATTTTTCGGGCCCTTGAGAGCAAACATTTCGCTAGGAAACGTTTATACTGGATAGGAACAAAACTAGTGAAATGAAGATATTGTCCACTACATGTCTGTTTACGAAAAATAGATAGTTGAATCGTTCCATCATCTCTCCTGGTCATAGTAATATCCAGGAAACCCAGTTTGTTATTCGATTCGAGTTTGGAAGCCACTCGGATATTTGGATGAATATGATTAAATAGGGTAATAAAGTTTTCAATTGATTTACTATTATTACCAATAATGAGAGTATCATCTACCTAACGTTTATATAGCATAAATTCTCCAAGCATACCTTGCATTTGTTTTTCCAATTTCGACATGAATATATCTGCTAACAGGGGCCCAAGAGGGCTCCCCATCGCAACATCATCTATTTGTTTATATACCTTTTCTTGGAAGGTGAATCTAATATTTTCTGTACACACTAAGATGATGTCTCTGATGTAAGTGATAGGAATAGGTAAGTTTATCCCAGTGCTTGTGATGTAATCGCAAATGAAATCAACAGTTTCATTAAGGGGAACATTGGTGAATAAAGATTCTATGTCAATTGAACACATAACCTTTTCCTCAATGTTCAAGGTGTCTAGCATATCTTTATTCCCGAACTTATATCCCAAGCACTATAAACGTTTTTATCAAGGCAATGAAAATGCTAGTTATGAAACATAAATGTCTTTCATAGCGTTTACAATGAGAAGTTGTTCTTCAGCTGTGTTATTTCAACCGTGTAGACAATCTCTGAGAGTGAAGACACCAAATACACAAGTGAAGTTTGACGAGATATTTCTATTTCCTAAATGACTATCTAAACATTGTAGAATAACCATGGTGCATCGCTATGTACACACACACACACATAGTCTTGGATTCGACTCCCCGGTCAACACACTCCTAATTAGCTCTGACGCAGTAGTAAGTCTGGAGACGAGGGAAAGTTGAGCATGACACCAGCTGTTTAACCCCGTAAAAATAACATAAGAGCTACTAAAACTTCAATACTTAAAAAAAACCTGAAGCCCTCCCTATGTTCCACTTGGAACTCAAAAGGAACGTTAGGAAGAGGCTAATCAAATCTCTTTTGATAACAAATGATAGCATAATGTACAAACTATTACTGTTTGTTATATGGTCACTAAAGTATTGGAAACCAGATACGCTAAACTATATTGAACGCTTCTAATAATCTGTTATTATTATTATTATTGTTCTCTTGGGTTCCCAGTGGAACATAAGGCTTCAACTACACGTCTCCATTTACTTCTGTCTTCTGCTGTACTTTTCACCTGCATCCATGTTAGTCCATACTGTTTCAACTCTTCTTCACACGATCTCCTCCAAGTCACCCTTGGACGTCACACTCGTCGCTTCCCCTTCGAGGTCCACTCGAGCAATGGCCTGACACGCGATGTCACCCAGCAGCCTCCTCAGCGAGTGTCCAATCCATCTCCACTTTCTCCTGCATATTTGTTGAGCGATTGGTTCTTGTTTTGTTTGTTCCCATAGTTTCTTGTTGGTGATTCTTTCCGGCCATCTGATCTTGAGTATAGAGCGAAGACAGTTGTTGATAAAGGTCTGCAACAGGCTGTTGGAAATATTCTTTGTGACCCGCCAAGTTTCTGATCCGTATAGCAAAACTGACTTGACGTTTGTATTGAAAATCCGAATTTTGTTGTTGATGTTGAGTGACGAATATGTCCAGATTGGTTTCAGGTTGATGAATATGTTTCTCGCCTTCCCGATTCTCGATTTGACATCCTCGTCCGTTCCTCCTGTGTTTGAGACAATGCTCCCTAGATAAGTGAATGAAGTAACCTCTTTCAAATCCCTCCCGTTGATGTTGATTGGCTTTGGATGTTGCTGTGGTTGTTGTTGGTTGGTTGGTTATTTTCATAACCTCCGTCTTGTCTATGTTCATCTAATGATCTAATGATCTGTAAAGGTAAAAAAATAGTAAAACAATTTTCCTGTTTGTTTTTCTTTTCATTTTTTCTCTTTATTAGTTTAATTAAAGAATATGAATTTATTAGTGCTAAAGCATTAACAGTTCCATCCGATATTGCACATATGATGCATATTACTGATTTTGTCAATCAAACCGAAAAAGTTACTATGCATGATTTAGAACGTCAATTGGATCGTTCTAAGGATCGTTTAATATTTCTTATGGATCATGCTCAATTGAATCCATCTGATATGCGTATTAATAGTCAAGTATTTGAATGGCATACACGTATGACAGATGTATTTGAGGAAAGTCGACGTATAGCAAAAATGAAACGTGAAGAATTTGAAATTAGTTTAAAATATAAACGTGAACGATTTATTGAAGAATTAGAATCATACAGAAAACAAGTTGATGAATTTCAAGGTTTCGGTGATATGAATGAAATACACCGGTATTTAAAGAAAGCTCAAGTATTAAATTCAAAATTAGACACTGCATTAACTAAAATAGATGGCTTTAATGCAGATGAAGAAGCATTACAATGGGATACAACTTCTTATCCCCTACGTAATGAAATACAAAATCTATTGAGACCATTTTTAAGCTTATATGAAATTGCAGTGGAATTTACTACTAAATTTAATGAATGGATGGAAGGTCCAATGGATAAAGTTGACCCAGAACAAGTGGAACTGGAAGTAGGCAATCATTATCGTAATTTGTTTAAACTAGAGAAAACATTTGATACACTTCCTGCACCAAGAAAAATTGCTACAAAAGTACGTGGAAAAATTGAAGAATTTAAAGAATACCTACCACTTATTCGTACCCTATTCAATCCTGGTTTACGTGAAAGACATTGGGTACAAATTTCAGAAATAGTTGGTTATACACTGAGAAATGAAGAAGGAATGTGTTTAGCAAAGTTGATTGATATGAATCTTGAACCACATATTCCCAAATTCGATGCTATCTCTGAAGCTGCTACTAAAGAAAACAGTCTTGAGAAGATATTGGATAAAATGCGTAAAGAATGGGCACCAGTAAGTATTTTTGGTCGGGATTATAATTTGCACTTAATTCTTGTAAACCCCTGTAGTAGATGGGACCACCTTTTTATGCCATCAAACCAGAAATATAATTTACTGACAAATATACAAGTACAACTAATTTCCACAGAAAATACGCTAACATAGACAACAGATGCATCTACACAAATTCAAACTCACTCGTATGCGTCGGTGGCACAGTGGTTGGGACACTCGCCGACCATGCACATAGTCCGAGGTTCGATCCCCTGCCGACGCACACCCGATATCTATGGTTGGCCTGCAAAATTTGGGCTACCGATATCACATGCTGAAAATTCCATACTTGTACCAAAAATACTGTGTGGTTTCAAGCTATAACCAAATTATAAAAAATTATAAAATTATAAATTATTTAAGTTACCTCGTGATTCAAGGGTACGAACAGAAAAGAGAGTAAAGGACCGAAAGTAGATGAATATGTAATAGGCTCAGTTGCATTAAACTTAATTTTAATGTAATTTTTATCAAATATTAAGTTGAAATAGAAAATGTATGAAGAAGAGTTAATGTTAGGCAAGACATCTTTCAGTTACTGGGTAGACATTGGACGGTCACTGAAAGATAGGAACAGATGTGCAGAGTAAAAATTCTTCTTTATCACCCTGGTTAAATGTTGCGATAGAATCTCCGCAGGAGTATCTCCCGTGAATTGTAGACATGAAAATAAAGGCGTTTTCTCCACCTTTGCCAGTCACTTAGCTGTTGCGATAAGATCGACTAAACCGAAACTTTGTATCCAAAATGAACACGTTCAGACGCTGTTCCTATCGTGGCTAAACTTGGATGTAAGTTTCTTCTTCTCACCAAGAGTGCCTCTTCTCCTTATCTCCCTTGGCTTTGTTTTTCTTTTTTCTCTTGCTTTGCTTATCATTATATTTATTATTATTACTACTCGTTATAATTTATGCCTTTCATTCAAACATTCTCTCAATATTATCGAATTTTACATTTATACTATTCGGACTTATTAATGGTGATATTGTGGTGGTGTGATACAGACAATAAATTGCAACGGAATATTATTCTTACATATTCCCACAGTTCACTACTGCGTTATCAACAGACTACGATGTATTTGGAAATTCTATTTCACGTCGTTTAATGTAAACCAAAATCACACGCTCGGTAATTGGTTAGAGAATACAAAACTGTATATTTGCAAATAGTGGTTTGATCACTTGAAAATATACCTTGACTTCCTTGTCTTGCCTTCTGCTGTTACAGTATTATCTCTTTCTTCAATATATACCTCCACCTGTTTCATTTCATATGTTAGCTATTTCATGATGGACTTTTCATTGCAGTCTTACTGTCTCCTCTTTAATATACACTACTTTGTTTCAGGTTAGACAACTGATTGACATCAGTTAGAGAACCCCCTGAAAACCTGGGAGTACTGAACAGCTGTTTCGTACTAGTTTGGAACTCATCGTCAGTACTCACCAGCTGGGTGTGGAACCCGGAACCTTCCGGTTACAAGGCAAGCTGGTATATCATTCAGCCATTGGGACACGATTCAGTGGCCAGTCCATGAATTCTAAATTCTACCACTCCGTGATTTTAGCGCCAGTGACTAGCCACAGGACGAAGTTGCGTAGAAGTCGTGACCAGTGGGGTCCATACAGTCAGGAACGAGGATAATGTCCAGCCGATGACACTGATTGGTGGTTGCGCAAAATTTTCAAAGTTTTACTAGCGCTTAATAAAATCACTGATTAGACAGTGTTGAGGTTAAATCCATAGTTATTGAAAAGAGAAGGAAAGTCTGTCGATGGAATTGAATCGGATGATTTGAGATAGCTATGAAGTGTATTGTGTATACACTAAGACATTAAATATATCGAATGCGTGGTGATATTCAAAATAAGGTTAATTTAGGAAAACATACCAAAGTAAAAGTATTATGTCGACGCACGAATTACCTGGCTACTTATTTCAGTTGTTTAAGAAATTGTAACCTGGTGAAACTAACAAATCAGTGAACTTCCCGCCACCAAAGTAACTGTTTAATTTAAATTTTATTCGTACAACTGAATCTACCAGAACTATCTTCTGAATATACTTGAGGATTATTAATAGACTAACTAGAAATCAGTTATAACTCGCCATCTTGATATCTACTTATAGTTTTCAATAGCTCAAGAAATACTCATTTTTAACTGCAGTACTAATAACTATCAAATATTACTGTTATATAGTAAACAGAATTATTCAGATAATTGAACATTTATGTAATTAAAAGTGATCAATAAGATGAACTTAACTAGATTTCACCATTTCCCTTTTGCCTAGATTGAATTCAATTTAATACCATATCGTGACAGTGGTACGATGATTCTTTCTTCAGTGGATGATATACAACTAATGTTGGATGATCATATTGTTAAAACGCAAACAATGCGTGGATCTCCATATATTAAACCGTTTGAAACTGAAATCAAGTAAGCAGCATTTTTCTTAATATTCACTGAATTGAAGGAAAGGAGCATTCACAATTTTCTTCTTGATAAGTTATATTCACACCTCAGTAAATCTGGTCACGATTGTAATTCTTGTTCCCTTGGGTTCCAATCGGCACATAGGGCTTCAGCAACACATCTCCACTTTCTTCTATTTTCTCTCATCCTTATCATCTGGGTGCACGATCGCCCACAATCTCTAATCTCCTCCTCCCCAACACGATCTCCTCCACATCACCCTCGCAGCGACGACCCACTCGTCACTTCCCATTCGGATTCCACTGCAGCGATGGCCTGGCCTATGATTTCATTCGACGGTTTCCCCAACGTATACCCAATCCAGCTCCACTCTCTCCTACATATTTGTTGAGCGATCAGCTGTTGGTTGATTTGTTGCCAATTCTTTCTGCCCAGCCATGTGATATTCAATATGGAACCAGCGGAGACAGCTATTAATAAAAGTCTGTAACTTGTTGGAAATCTTTTCCATAACGTGCAGTGGAAGTTTCTAACCCGTATAGAAGGACCGACTGACCTAACATTGGTGTTAAAAATCTTGGTCTTGTTCTTTATGCTGGTTGGGAGCAGATTTCCAAACTGGTTTCAGGTTGATAAAGGTGTATCTCGCCTTTCTGATTCTGGCTGGCTTCGATATCTTCATCCGTGCTCTCCGCCAGTAGTTAAAACGATGCTTCCTAGATTATTAAATGAGGTAACCTCTATTAAATCTCTTCCTTTGGAGGTGACTGTTGCTGGCTGCTGTTACTGTTCGTTAGTTATCTTCATCACCTCGGTCTTCTCTATGTTCACTTGAAGTCCCGTCTTCTCTGTTTCTTCAGCCAGTTTGTTGCTTTTCGCCTGTAAGTCTTCGAGTTTGTGTGATATTAGACATAAATCATTTGCGAAATCCAGATCTTCAAGAGTCTTCTTATCGGTTTAATGTATTCCTGTCTTCTCACTCCCAACGCACAGTCTGATGCATAGTCCAGTCCACCACAATTAAAAATATCATCGTTGGTGATAATAGGCAGCCAGCCAACCAGCCTTGTCTTACTTCTGTATTCGCTTCGAACGCCTCGCTGAGTTTTCCATTGTGGATCACCTGACATGTGGCATTGTCTAATAACCAGCTGTTGAATGAGGTTGATAAAGTATTGGACACTGCACGCAATAGTGCTGAATTAGTTTCTAAATTACTTCTCGATCAACGCTGTCTGTCGAAGGCGTTTCCGAAGTCGATGAAATTGAGGTAGAGGTTTGACTGCCATTCTATACTTTGTTCGATGACGATGCGCTAGAAAAATATTCGAAATCTAGTCACCATTATTCATCTTTGTTTCATGTATATTGTTTCGAGTGTGTCAACTGTTCATGGGAAAGAAGTATTTACTTTATGTATCAGGTATTTCTAAGTATGCTTCATTCAGTTTTAAGGTGTCATTTGAATCAGCTGGTCGAAAGGTATTCTGGCAATGACCGGCTGGGAAAGAAGAGTCGAAAATATTTTACGCTAGTCAAAATATTTTACTCAGTCTCCTGAAGTTATGTAACAGCTTTTAGACAGAATTCATTTGTAATTTGGTCTACCGGTTGTGTTTACCAACGGTATTCAATTTCACCGTTTTTATTTCATAAAAATAGCAAACATTGTGGGACGAGATGGGTTCATTTCGTTTCCTGTGCTCTAAATCGTTTACAAATTTCAAAGTTTGTGTATAATCTGTTTATTTAAGGTGTTATTATCAAACTCAGTTAATAGTTCACTGTTGTAGTTTAGTAGTTAGTCAGTTTGCCTACCTTGAAACTTCTCTTGAATGAGATAAGGTTCAAACTAATTTGACCTATCAAACTCTTTGTAGTTAGATTGGTTGGAGGATTTCGTCATGAGTTGATATCACTTAGAGAACCATTGGAAAACAAACTGGGAGTACTAGACAGCTGTTTCCTCAGCCTAGTGCTGGACTCTTCATCAGTACGCAATTACCACCACAGTTCGAACCCAGGACCTTCTGGTTACAAGGCCGGTGAGCTCTTAGACCATTGAGCCACTGGTACCCGGTCCAGTGGCCTGTCCATGAATTCTGACTTCTGCCGATTCACGACATAGCGCAACCACTTCTCAATGTCTTCTTCGATGAGTTACTGCGTCATCTTCAACCTGCTGTACCCTACTGGTCACGGCTTCCCACTAGAACCCCAGATAACTACCTACCTGAATGGGGCCAGTTGCTAGTGAACATCAGATTAATTTTCAAGCATTGGTTTTGTAGGGAGTTTTGTTTGATTGGTTGGAGGATTTCATTTTTATTTTTACTTTATCATGCATCCTCATTTTCGAGTTATTCTGTCTGTCTGTCTGTCTATTTTCGATATACAGCTTTGCACCGATGTGCAGCAGTTTATGTTGCCACACTCCATGTAGCACACAAAGCAAGAGAAGAAAGTATGAGAAATGCATAATAGAGACAGTAAACAGAGGTATGACACAAAGGAATAGTAATAACGAAGAACAATATAGTTTCATTGGAAAATATAAGTCACAAGGCGTGGATGCATTTGCGTTGGCCACTGAGAACGATATTTAGCCATATCACTGATTTTTTCCAGCCACTGGTGCTTACCGTCCCGAGGACCCCAACCAGCAAGTCTACACCTTCTTACGTGGCTGACTTCAACTAACTGTTGTAGATTTCATTGGCTGGTGCCATGTTTTCGTTTGACCACCGTTAGCTCTTTTCCAGCCTAACCTCATGTCAGCTAACATTGCCCGTCGAGGAAGGCGATGGCTAGGCATACGTAACACATGTCCTACCCATCTCAGTAGATGTAGCTTCATAGCCTTGTCGATTGATTTCCCCTCGTCACCTAGCACTCGACGCGTAACCTCACTATTCCTCACCCTATTATATATGTGTGCGTCGGTGGCACAGTGGTTAGGACTCTCGCCGACCATGCACATGGTCCGGGGTTCGATCCCCTGCCGGCGCACACCCGATATCTATGGTCGGCCTGAATTTGGGCTACCGATATCCATGCTGAAAATTCCACACTTGTACTAAAAATACGGTGTGGAATCAAGCTGTAAATCAAAATAAAAAAAAATAAAAAATATACCATTCAACATGGGAGACGAAACGCAGGCACCTATGATCAAAGGAAGCTAGTCTTTTCATGTCTTCCACTCTCAATGGCCAGGTCTCACAGCCATAAAGGAGGACGGAGCGGACTGCTGAGCAGTACACACGTCCTTCAGTCGACAGCCAGCCGGACATCACGTCTACGCCAGAGACGGCGTAAACTGGCATATGCGAAACTAGCCTTCTGTATCCGTGCTGAGAATTTCGTCAACGATCAACCCGTTGGCGTTGGCTGATGCAACTTCCCAAATAAGTGAAGTGGTCAACACGCTCTACCACTTCATTCCCTATTTCTAAACTAGGAGTCAGTGTAGTCCAGTCCAGTGACATCATCCTACATTTGGCGGGAGGAAATAGTATGCCAAACGTTCGTAGATTGCAGCTCAAGGTGTTCAGAAGACTCTGCTGTATTTTGTCAGCGTCTTCACCTAGAAAGACTATATCATCTACATATTTAAAGTCAACGAGATTATTCCCTGGTAACATGTCAATCCCTGAGTCTCTGAATTGGGTTAGGGTTAAATCCATTAGTATATATGATATGATTGAATAGAAATGGAGATAAAGGGGATCCCTGACGGACTGTCGTCCTAAGTAAACCATTTCTCACCTTAGAATTTACCTTAATGATTATGAAGGTATAAATGAAATCGTTCATGGCATTGACAACAAATAATGAAGTTTATCTTGCATTTTTTTACAACTCAACAATAATCAACAATATAACCTAACAGATGTGATGAATTGAAGCGCTCATCAAAAAGGCTACAGGCTAAAAGGTAATGGAGTATAAAGGCCTTACGTGTCAAATTACAAGCCAAATGCGCTTTACTACTACAGTGTCCATAAACTTGAGCCACTACTGCCTCTTTAGAAGATCTATGGTGATCTATCTTCGAGTCTTTCTATCTTCCCTTGTGCATATCTATCTCTCTTTTGGTTGTATTTTATCATTTCTAATTATCAATATGTGTGTTATCTTTGTTTAATTTTAATCTTAATTTCAGAGATTGGGAACAAAAATTAATTTTAACTCAAGATTTACTTGATGAATGGATGAAAGTACAAGCCACTTGGTTATACTTGGAACCAATATTTAGTTCACCTGATATTATGGCACAAATGCCAGATGAAAGTAGAAAATTTACAACAGTTGATAAAACATGGAAAGAATTAATGAAAAATGCTAATGCTGATCGACATGTATTAGTTGTTATTACAATTGATAAAATGTTAGATAAATTTCGTAAATCAAATGATCTACTTGAAGTTATTTTAAAAGGATTAAATGCCTATTTAGAAAAGAAACGTTTATACTTTCCAAGATTTTTCTTTTTATCTAATGATGAATTATTAGAAATTTTATCTGAAACTAAAGATCCAACAAGAGTACAACCACATTTAAAGAAATGCTTTGAAGGCATAGCTTCACTGACATTTACAAAAACATTAGATATAACACATATGAAAAGTAGTGAAAATGAAATTGTTGAACTACGTGATGTCATATCAACATCAAAAGCACGTGGAGCTGTTGAAAAATGGTTATTAGAATTAGAAGATGATATGGTGAATTCAGTTCATTTAAATATTAAAAATGCATTTGATGATTATATGAAAACACCACGTAAAGATTGGGTGAAAGCATGGTGTGGTCAAGCTGTATTAGCTGGTTCAATGTATTATTGGACATTGAATGTTGAAGCAGCTTTACAAAGTGGTTTAAATGCTATGACAGATTATCTTAAAGTAGGTATATTGTACAGTATTTTGTCTGATTATTGCATTGTTTAAATTAATTTACACTCTTTTGTTATTATCATTATATCACATAAACCAAGACTAAATACTTCACTGAACTCCTGACTTAAATGCAGTTCAATGAAATTTTAGCGCTATTTAAGCGCTATTCAAGTACCGTAATAAATCACTTCAGTTGCACCAAATATGAGTCCGTTTCGGAAACAAATAAAGAGTCATCCTTATTTCTTTATTCTGTTCTCAGGACAATAACATTTTCGATGTTATTACATTGACTTTAGGGTAGATTTCGCCACTAACTGATATCAATTAAAGAAAAATTAAAAATCAGTGAATACTGAACAACTCTACTGTCCTAGTTCTGAGTTCTTCAGCAGTGCTCACCTGCATGGAATCTGCCTTGAAATCAATAAGATTCTTATAGGCAGGGAGATGAAAAATAGTTCAATGCTTATCATTGTCTAACTAGACAATAAACTTTAACCAGAAGTTTTTGGATCTGTGGGGTCAACCATGTCGGCTTAGTAGACAGACACTGGCCTATGGTATTGGATATCAGTGGTACAATGTGGTGAAATGATAAAAACTTAGAGCTCACATGTCATGGAATCTTGATCAGGTAGATGAATGGTCAGAAGACTCGTTCCTTAGCCCGACGGTCCTGAGTTCAAGCCTTGGGGGAATCGGAAGTGCACATTACCGATGAGTCTTCAACTGGAATGAAGCAGCTGTCCAGTGTTGCCTCATTTTCAATGGTTCTTCAGCTGTTCTGAGATCATGAGGAAATTTACTGTGAAGTCAACTGAAAGTTGCAATAATTACGGTGGATTCTTTTTATGATGAAGAAGACTCATCTACTAATCATGAATATGCATGGCTGATTACTTTGTCCTAAAAAACTAATTAACAATTTAATTATTCAATAGTATATTCATAAGTGGATGTTTGGCATCCGATTCACTTCTGTCAAAAGTAAGACTATGCTTCAGGACTGGACTGCACAGACTCCTACTCTAGAGATAGGGATTGAAGTTACGAAGAGCGCTGACCACGTCACTTATTTGGTTGGGTAGCATCAGCCCCAATGGTCTGATTGCAGGCGAAATCTCAACATGGATACAAAAGTTAGGTGTGGCGTTTACGGACTTACGTTATCTCTGGCGTAGACATGATATCTAGCTTTAAATCAAACGAATTGTGTACTGCTCAACAATTTTCTCCGTCCTCCTTCGTGGCTGTAAGACATGGCCATTGAAAGGGAAAAATATGAGAAGGTTAGTTATCTACGACCACAGATGTTTACGTTCTATCTCACATATTAAGTAAGTGGTATAATATCGTGAGTAAGGATGAGGTTAGGCTTAGAGCGTTAGGTAAGGAGGTCAAGTAAATCGATGAGGTTGTGAAGCTACATTGATTGATATAGCTAGGACACTTGTTGTGTATGCCGATGGGCAATGTTAGTCGACATGTGATTAGTTTGGAAAAGAGTCAGGAGTGGTCAGACCAAAACCTAGGATCAGTCAATGAAGTCTTCGACGGTTAATTTGAGCCATGTACGGAGGTGTAGGTTGCCTTGTTATGGTCCTCGGGATGCTAAGTGCCAATGGCTAGAGACTATTGGTGATATAGCTCAAAACCATTCTCAATGTCATCCACTGTTTGTGTTATTCCATACCAATTAAGTTGTCATGTTTTCCCATGCTACTATTCTTTCTTCCCTACATCGCTGAAACTCCTTTCTCCCCTCTTTTGTTCACGTTTATGTTCTACCTGGAGTGTGCCAAGTTGAACTCTTGCGCTTGTGTGCCATGTTCTATGTTGAAATTCGGACATTTACTCAGAATGCAGCCATATTTAAAAACACGAAAATTGCATAATTATGATTAATTTATGAACTGCTTTTAACCTCAGATAACAGAAGAGTTCAAGTACTCTTAGATGATTGCTAATATCGAATTAGAAATTTAGCTTTTACCAGTATTGTATGACATGAACTCATTATATTCCCAAGACTAGAAATGATGGAGAGACATTGAGAATGATCTCTGTATTATTCCAATATCGCATTGTATTCCTCTGTCATAGAAGTCAAGACACTGTTATGTTGAGTCATTTAGTGTATTAGAAAATATTATTAAATAATGTCTGTTTAGTAAGTAATCATATTTTCTTTTGTAATGCATGTAATTATGTAATCTGTTTCTATTTATCATACTTAGAAGTTTATACTTTTAATAATTCTACTTAATTTAAGGTAAATAATCAACAAATAGATGATACTGTTAGTATGGTTAGAGGAAAGTTATCAAAACAAAATCGTACAACACTGCAAGCCTTGATTGTATTAGATGTTCATGCACGTGATGTATTAGCTGAATTAATATCATTAAAGTGTCGTTCAAATACAGAATTCTCTTGGCTTAGTCAGCTAAGATATTATTGGACAGATGAAAAGCTCATAACACGTATGATTAATTCACATTTAAAGTAAGTGATTTGAATGGTAATGACTGCAATGTTTTTAATTTGATTCCCGCCAAATTTATTACTTCCAATTAGAAGATGATTGTGTAATCATTACTAGGTGTTATTGTCTTCTTTGAGTTGTATAGTGTAATAGCAAAGCTTTCATTATCCTTCTAGGTAATATCTTCAGCTCTAATTTAAAAAAAACGAAGTCATTTTGGAGTAAAATTTACTTGTTAATAAAGTATTTAAAATGCAATACCTTTAACACAATGAACGGTTAAGAAGGCCAGACAAACATTAACAGTTAAATCAACCAGCTTAGAAAATATAACAGTGCTAAAACTGTTCACTTGAGCGATCTAATTTAAATCTTAACATAGTAAACTATTCTGGATTAAAAAGAACAAGAAGTTCAGCAAAGACATCTTTTCGGCGATTTCATTCTCAACAGCTGTACAGTCGCATTTATATAGATTAGTTTACATGGATACAATTATTATTTGTTTAATTCCATAGAGTAACGAAGGAGATAATAATTTTAAACTTGATATGAAAGTTTAAAGGAACGAATTAGGATTACAAGAGGCTTAGAGACAAGATTGCATAGGGTTAAGAAACAATTACAACGTATGCAGAATTAATATTTGATAACTGGAGAAATAATTTTAAAGGTGAATAAAAGGTGATAATTATTTTCAACTTAATATGAATTACAAAGAGAGACAAAAGTATTTTTAATATATTAATGCTTTGAATTTTCTGTAGCAGTTTGGTTAAGTTTTCGGGGTTGAGTTGCTAGCACCAAGCCCCAACCCTCCCTCTTTATCCGGGCTTGGGACCGACTAGAAAGTTAGCGAGCTAGTAATCTAAATGACGTCAAGTCAGTTCTTCTATACGGATCAGAAACTTGGAGGGTCACAAAGAATATTTCCAACAGCCTGTTGCAGACCTTTATCAACAACTGTCTTCGCTCTATACTCAAGATCAGATGGCCGGGAAGAATCACCAACAAGAAACTATGGGAACGAACAAAACAAGAACCAATCTCTCAACAAATATGCAGGAGAAAGTTGAGATGGATTCGACGCTCGCTGAGGAGGCCGCTGGGTGACATCGCGCGTCAGGCCATAGCTCGAGTGGAACTCGAAAGGGAAGGAGCGAGTGGGACGTCCTATGGTGACATGGAGTAGATCGTGTGAAGAGGAGTTGAAACAGTATGGACTAACATGGATGCAGGTGAAAAGTACAGTAGAAGACAGAAGCAAGTGGAGACGTGTAGTTGAAGCCCTATGTTCCACTAGGAACACAAGGGAACAATAATAAATAATAACAGAGACAAAAGTTACTTAGGGATAGAACGAATTACAGGTGTGAACAAAATGAGCATGGGAACAAATTGAAATCAAAATTTTCAGCTTGAAATGCAAGTTAGGAGGTGTGGATATAGATTACAAGAGGCATCGAAACAAAAAATTACACAGGATTAGGATATAACTGTAAAATGGTTATTCTAAACGGATTACAAGTGTGATCAGGAGGAGCATTAAAACAAACTTAAAATAACTGATTTTATAACTGAAAAAATAGGATGAATTGAATGAAGACAGAGAGAGAAAATTACACACACACAGAAAATAAAACAAAAACAACTGAAGGATAAGGGTTCATACCGAACTAAGTTCATGGTAGTTGTAAAGGCTGGACTAGTTTCTTTTGATCACATGGCTCCGGCTTTTCGATGCATATGGCGAGAGCTTCCACAGTACAAAGAAGTCGGAAACAAACTGCCTTTAGTAGATTTTCGTTTACTTTGTAAATGACTCTGAATGATGACTCAGTTGAGATTCTGTGACAAGGTGTTCAGTTATTGAGCTTCTGATTGAACCAATGCCTCCTCTTTGCAGCCATGCTGGATGATGTTCACTAACACATTTTGATAAGACCCGCATAGAACGACCTATGTACCTGGCTCCGCAAGAGCAGGTGAACTGATATATGCACACTGAAGTGGTCATATGCGGAAGTCTGTCCTTCTCGTTGCTCCGAAGTAGAAATAAGAGGTTAGAGGTATACTCCTTTTAACAAACGAATCATTCATTAGTGGATTTGTGATTCAGAGATCAGGAATTAAACACAAATAGGTAAAATATGTAATTCGTTCAACTATTGTCCTATACTGTAACGAAATAAAATTCACGTAGATTGACTGCACAAAATCACATTTGAAGCAACATCTGCCTTTGAAGTAAATAGTGCTTCTGAGTGTATAAAAGTAATTCGTACACTGTTTATATGTAGTCTGTGTGTATTTTAAGATCAGTGAATTTAAAATACCTAATATGAAGCGGAAAAGTACAGATATCTTCTTTGTGTAATAAGAAAGGACATGCTTCTGAAGTCTTGTGTCTTGCATTAGATTTAGACTACTAATGTTTCTTTGATTATTTATTAAGGTCAGATTAGTTTCGTATAATAATAACCTTATTAATTATAAGATACCTATAGACTGCTGGGAATGTATATACTGAAAAAGCCAAATTTCGTCAGCCCTATTAACTTGGAATATCCTCCACAACCTGCCAGCTTACTGTTTTAATTTATTATCTCTAACCAGTATCTCACTCGTTTATTTTGCCAAGTTAATTCATCTAGTGAACCTGTGGGATTTTATTTGAAATATAGACTTCTTGCAGAAGCATTCATCAGTCAGCGGAGTATTGAAAACCAAGGACCAGTGAACTGATAAAGAATCCTGAAGTAAGACGAAATAGTCGTCCAGTACTCCTTGATTTTGATGTTGGTTCACAGAAAAATATACATTGAAATTAATCCAGATCCCTAAAAAGCCAAAATTTCAAATTTTTTATTCTTAAATTGTCATTGTTCATTTAATCGTGCATCACACTAAAATACACACGTTACTCCCTAATCCGCTTATTGCTTAAATAGTGTTGATATTTACTCACATCATTATGCATAAAGTTCATTTTAGACATTAACCATAAGCAATCAGTATCACGCACTTCATCTGAATACGGACTCGAACAATCCCATTTGTAAATACTTTTTTAAAAATACTTCAAGACTTTTAAAAAGACTTCAAAGACTTCTTTGATTTTTGAAAATACACTATTGTGAAAATCTTTCTCGCTAACACAAATTTATTCAGTTAAAGAATCATTGGAAAACCAGGGATTATTGGGCATCTGTTTCGTTCTGGTGTTGAACTCTTTGGTAGCACAAACCCGCCGAGGTTCAAGCCCATGACCTTCTGCTCACAAGGCGAGCTCACAGGCCATTCAGAACCAGTCCAGTGGCTCATAAATTCCAACTACTGCCTATTCGCTATATTTACCTCAACCGCCAACCAACATCATAGGCAAGTAACTGTTCTCTTGTCTCACTTGGTAGCCCCGCTGTCGGATGTGTACTAATGAAGAGTCTCAAATCAGAACGAAACAGCTATGTAGTACTCCCTGATTTTCCAATGGTTCTCTAAGTGATATCAGCTTGTGATCAAACTTTTAACCAATGAAATCGATGCAAACTAACACTTTAAAACAAATTTATCCATTCTTTGACTAACACAGAGACACATTTTGATGTCGTTGTGTTCTCTGAGCTGGATAGTTAATTTGCGAAGCTTTCGTCGCCCTACTAGGCGACATCTTCAGCGCATACTTCTACGGAAGACCCAAAATACACAAGCCAAATATCCCGTTACGACCAATTATATCACTTCCAGGAACTTCAACATATAATTTATCCAAAGAATTATACAGAAAACTAAAAAAACATAACGGAATCTTGTGACCACTCCATCAACTCCGGTATCCAATTCCTAGAGAAAATCAGAGGCATCCAAATAGATGAACAAGAGATAATGATATCATTTGACGTCACAGCATTGTATACCTCAATCGGACAAAAACTAGCAAAAGAAACCATGGAGCAATTACTTAGCAACGATGAACAGAGACACATATATGAGGAACTTGAAGAGGAAATTATAATAGGGAACATATCCCTTATTTACTAATCCATGTTGAACGCACAGTAAATTTTAACTGGTGTCTAAAACTGGTAGGTATGACATAGATTTCGTCTGGTGTTGTATTCATTTTAAATATTACTTCTCCTGTTCAAGAAATTAATTTTATTATACAATATGAAATATGTTACTATTTTATTTATTATTCAATATTCAGTTATGGTTATGAATATCTGGGGAATACTGGTAGATTAGTTATTACACCATTAACTGATCGATGCTATCGTACTTTATTTGGAGCATTACACCTGCATTTGGGTGGTGCACCAGAAGGTCCTGCTGGTACTGGAAAAACAGAGACAACAAAAGATCTTGCTAAAGCTGTTGCAAAACAATGCGTTGTATTCAACTGTTCAGATGGATTAGATTATATTGCATTGGGTAAATTTTTCAAGGTATGTATGTATCCATTGTTATTATTACTGAAAAGAAAGAAAAAGCATTTGGTCTTCAATTCATATGTCAAGTCCTTTATTTTATTTTATATTTAGTGGTCTTATTAAAAAAATATCTTTTCCGAAAGTGAAGGTGTTGTTTTTTTGACGTAACCACTTATATCATAAGGTTAAAAATCTGTGTATGGAGATGCCAAGATTATCTTATATGAATATGAGATGTTAGATAGTTGGAGGCAATCGGCAGGAAGCCTTCGACCTAGGTTTTGCGCTAGTCGGCACTCACCAATCAGCAAGGCGTATCTGCAACTTTGAAGGAACTCATGTCCCTTCTGAGATTCGAACCAACGTCACCCAGTGCTGCAGTCAGAGACGTTACCACTGAGCTATTCGGGCTCGCGATTGACCTCCTATGACCTCCTGACGTGATGGTGAGCTACCTAGAATGGTGGCCACATTGCAAACCTGACTGATAGAATCCAGTCTGCACCAAAGAAAGGACTAGATACGTCGCACTAGTTACTAGTGTCCAATCAGAATATGAGATGTATCAGACTAAATAAGGAATCTGTCCAATACAGTCGTATTACTGCCACGTGTAATTAGTCGTTGAACGTCTTGACAATTTGATTATTAACTAAAGCGTCACTCATCCCATGTATGAATGTATACTTTCATTGGTGTCCACATATCATACCAATTCAACTGCGTTTGTGGAGAGTTATATTGGTCGTTGCTCTAAGAACTTGATTTTTCGTGCTCGAGAAAATCCAGTATGGCTAAGTAAAGGTGTAGTAAAAACCATCAAGAGTTTGATATTAGACCACCTGGTCCAAAATGGCCACAAAGCCAGCATTGAAGAGTCTTTCTCTATCATCTACTGGTTACCAAATAAACTGCCAAAAACATCGAGGTACCGCATGCTCCAAACAGCAGAGTCTACTGCAATTTGCGTGAAAAAACCAGTGTTTTTTGTGCAAAAGAAGCAAGTCCAACCACTACTACTGCCCTGGTCGGCCTTCAGTAGAGACTATAAATTCATGAATTTGTATTATTATCTTTCCTATTTTTTCTGACATTCAGTTTATTGTCGTGTTGATGCTATTGAACTGTAATCTACTGATAGTGTTGATTCGATGTTATTTAAACAACATTAATGTTGTTAATAACATTAACTCATTCACTATTATGTACATATAACTGTATAACCTGATGATGATGTTGTAGCGGTAAATAATTCCCCTAAATTATTGACCACAGCAATCATCACTCAACATTGGATGCTGACCCTCACTGCTTAAGTCGACTTGTTTGGCTGAAGGCTTCCGGTCAAGCATCCCCGCCATTTGGTACTCCGTCGTGTCACGTGCGTGCACAATTACTAGCTAGCTAAGCATTCACTTCTACCAGCGATTTGGTCCCGAAATATAATACGTACTTTGGACGACAAAATCTGGTCTTTTGCTTATCTTTGGTACTCGAAGTACGAACACTATAGAAGTTGTTGGTATAAGATCTTGCGTTAGTATAATCCGTACAACTCGCGAACGTCGATACTTGCAACCCCCAAAAATGTCATCGAAAAGAGTATTCTTTGGTCAGTAACCATTCTTTTGAAAAATCTATCAGTTTAGAACATTATTTGCTAGACTATATTATGAAGTATGTAGGCAGTCTGATTTTTGCCTTAGTTCATACAGCTTTTGATAACATGCATATTCTTTAGACTGAAAATGATCTAACACTAGTTTTATGCATGCTCATCTTACATCTTGACTACTCTCTTTTCCTGGATGGATGATTATGTAAGTACAATGGAAAAGCTGTTATGTGTTTAAAGTTGTCATAAAGAAACATTTTAAAAAAAGTAAATGTTATATTAAGTGTAATACAAAACTGAACAAGATCAAATTTCATTTGAAGAGTATCCTTTCTTCTACATTACATTGCGGCTAGGTTGTATAAAACGTATTCGTTAATCTCTACGTTATTACTGATAAATGCATTTTAAGGCACTAATAAATAGTATTTGTTACATTTGGTATTCGCAGAAATACTCTTGAATATCTTAGTTTTATAGTAAGTTATTCCTATGAACTGATAAATACTTGAAATTATCATCATTGCTCGCATGTGTTCAGGCATTTAGTAGTATGCAGAATTGTATAGCTGTTATGACCTAGTTACGACCTAGTAGAGTATGAGCGAATATTAATTTAGTGCGCTGGCTAATCTGTTGTAGTTGCACGTCAACAACAACAACAAAAATAACACCACCCACACGCAAAGATAGAAGGGAAAACTGGACGTTGACAAGGCAGCTTTTACTGTCTCAAAACAGCAGTCAAGATAGGTTGGCAGCGCTTGTGTATATATATATAATTGAAATGCCCTTGAGAAGCACTGGTGTCAAAGGCCATAAGTAGCCTGAGAGAAAGTCGTGTCATAAATCAATGAGTGAGGTGAGAGAAATGTAAAAATGAAATGTAGAAAATGAGGTCTATATATCAGTAATTTCTCCAGTTGTAGATTAAAGGGTATTTATTTACTTTATTTTATTCTTTTACGTTCCCAATGGAACCATAGGGCTTCAAGCTAGAGCTCTGAATTTTCAGAAGCAGTGTTTTTTTCACGGGAAGGGGTTGCCAGCCTCATGTTCAACCTTTCCTCTTTATTGGGATTAATACTGGCTAAACGAGGTAAGGGAATGTGTCGGCCGTAGGTCAAACTCTGGACCACTTGCGTGGCAGGCCAATGTTCTACCAATGAATCACCGACGAAGATTAAGGAATATAGCAAACTATAACTTGGAGTATGCACTGCTCAACCGAAGTTGACGACCACCTTTTCATTTTATATGCATAGTATTTTTCTCAGCTATTTACAAACCTAATGAGTAGCATGTATAGGACTCAAGTACCAGTGAGACAAGTCTTTTTTATAAATTATTTAAAAATTTAACTACAAAATTATATACTTAGTAGTCTTCTTGATATTACTTAAGTCTGCTCAACAGAAGGAAACAAATAAAGGTTAAGCTTGAGCTTTTACTGCACCCTCAACTCACACTATTACTTCTTTTTCAGGGACTTGCATCATGTGGTGCATGGTCGTGCTTTGATGAATTTAACCGTATCGATTTAGAAGTATTATCTGTAGTAGCCCAACAAATTTTAACAATACAACGTGCAATCAATGCTAATCAAACACGTTTAGTGTTTGAAGGTACTGAAATTAAGTTAGATCAAACATGTGCTGTATTTATAACAATGAATCCTGGTTATGCTGGTCGTTCAGAACTTCCTGATAATTTAAAGGTTAGTTTACTCTATAATGATTCAGTGTTATAAAGGATTTAAGTACTTTTTACATAATATGTTATATACAAGGATAACGATTCTCTACGACTGGTTAAGAGATTTTGGAGCACAACTGTTATCTGTCGATCGTGGTAGCAAGGATATATATATTACTCCTACCGAATCTTAACGAAAAATGTAAGCTGAAATAAAGGTAGGCTGAAAAAGAGTTGGAAGTCATTTGAAAGTTGATTTTATCCACACAGGAAGTGTAGATAATCTGATTAGGGTCTTCTGGATACTAAAAATGAGTTGTTGGAGAATTTTGTTGTTAAAACTCGAAATCACTTGCAAAGATGCAGGTGTGTTTGTTCCTTGTCATCAGTCAGATTCTAAAAAACCCTACTAATTATCGTTAAATGATTCCCTTTCGCGAACATTTTCATCCACTTTATTTTCATCACATTCATACAGTTTTCAATTACTGGTTTGTAGGGATTTGATTGATTGGTTACAGGATTTCATCATGAGCTGACATTGGTTAGAGAACCACTGGAAAACCTGGAAGTACTGGATAGCTGTTACCAGAAGGTTTGAACCCCAGTGGGTGTGTACTGACGAAGAGTCCAAAACTAGGACGAAACAGCTGTCCAGTACTCCGAGGTTTTCCAGTGGTTCTCTAACGAATGTCGGCTCATGAGGAAGTCCTGTAACCAATTATACAGTTTCATCGTACTTTAAAGAAATGAAGCAACTTGAGCTGATGCACGTTTGGTCGAAATTCTATCCTTATAAGTCAACCATTCAGCTGGTCAGTCGCAGCATACCGTATCACTTAGCGTAACAACCTCAGTAGTTGGCTGACTTACAGATTTCAGCCAAAACTTAACCTTCGACAACCGTTTCGGTTACCAGATGAAAGTCAGAAATGGTAATATTTTCTTCATTCAAAGAAACAAAAACAAAAGTAGAATAGTTTATGAAAGAAACATCACAGTACTTTTGAAAAGTGAAATTCCTAACACTTGTGAACATACATAGAACCGAAGATTAGGAATGAGTTCTCACATTTGTCTGTAATAATTAACTCAAGAAGACCTTATGACTACTTACTTCGGCTACTAATGCAGTTCTTTTCAATGTTTCTTAGTTATTGATTCACATCAAAGTACTACTATATCCAACAATGTCTTCTATGCTTTTTTCATTCCTTCAGGCTCTATTTCGTTCAGTGGCGATGATGGTACCAGATTATGCAATGATTGCAGAAATTTCATTGTATTCATGTGGTTTTGTGAATGCTCGTCCACTTGCAATAAAAATTGTAGCCACTTATCGTTTATGCTCAGAACAATTATCTAGTCAGTCACACTATGATTATGGTATGAGAGCTGTGAAATCTGTACTCACAGCAGCAGGCAATCTTAAAGTAAGTGAAAAGAAATTAATTCCTACAATATATATATGGCGAAGTTAAACTTTAGGCATGAGCAAGTCCTAATGGACAAATGACCTTGAACGCACCACCCGTCTGATAAAGGTGATTTTTGCGAATAAAGTACATATAATCATGAAAATAACGAATTAGAAGTCATGAAACTGTTACACAGAATGCCTTTCTCTGACGTTTGACAAAAGTACCTCTCAGTTTTGAATTGGATTATCAACAGAGTAATTTAACCACATTTTATTATTATTATTTCCTTTAATTCCTAGAGGAACATAGGGCTTCAGCCGTGCGTCTCCATTGCGTTCGGTTCTCTGCCAACGTTTTCACCTGTCTCCATGTCTGCATACATGCCTTCATCTCCTCTTCACATGACCTCCTCCAAGTCACCCTTGCACTGACGACCAACTCGCCGCTTCCCTTTCAGGTTTCACTCGAGGGCTAGTCTAGTGATGTCACTTGATGGTTTACTCAGAGTATGGCCAATCCATCTCCATTTCTTCCTCCCTATTTGTTTCACAATCGGTTCCTGGTTGAACCACATTTTATACTTGTACTTATCTAGATCTGCTAATCCTAACAATAACCCCAATCTCTTTCACCTAACCCTAACGTGAAAATATCCCTAAAGTACTCTAATCTAACTCGAACCGACCCTAATGTAGCTCTCATTAGGTTAACCTAACCCTAACCTGTCCTTGGCCTCAACCTTAACTTCATCTTTCCCAAACTTGCCAGATATCCCATTAAATAACACAACACTTTGTTAAACATATTTTATTCATGATAACAATATTATTTACCGGGTTTCATTAACTTGTTCACTGACTGTTTCAAGTTAATGGGTGTGGCGCACTCCACTGGTGCTTAACGTTTAACTTGGTCGTATAATACATATATATGATTGTACAGTTTTGGAAATAAATTTGTGGAAATAGATTATCTGCAATTAATAGTGTTCTCTGAGCTGGTTGGTTTAGTTGCGGAGCTTTCGTCGTCCTTCTGGGCAACATCTTCAACGCAATATTTAGCATAAAGTGAAATGATTCAAATTCCTTCATGAGTGATATAATTGCGTCTCCTGGTAACCATCTTTACATATGTATTGACCATTTTCTATTGACTTGGATTTTAAACTTTCTCGTTACGTGATTTACTTTTTATTAGTTGGTATATTTCGTCTATATTAACGTGTTTGTTAACTGCATTTTCGTTTGAGTACCAGGCTCCTAGGAATTCCCTGGCACTTCTAGTGTTTCCTCTGTCTAAGATTTCGACATTATCCAAATCAAATTGATGTCCATAATTGTCTATATGCATTGATACTAAAGAGTATATATCATGTCTTTTCACGGCTGATTTGTGTTCTTGGATTCTAATTCGAAGGGGACGCCCACTTTATCCGATGTAATGCTTGTTACAGTTCATACAATTTATTTTGTAAATGGTATTAATTTTATCTCCTTTTTCTGTTGGATCTTTCGGTTTGCATAATATCGAATTAAGCGATTTGACTGGCTTGTGTGCTATATCTATATCTCCATTGAAGTGTTTGTTTTGTGACTTAACTATGCCTCTCAATCATCTCTTCATCTTTCTTTTATTCTTTAACAATTTTTGTGTCTAGTTAAAATATCCAAATGAAGATGAAGATGTGTTAATGTTACGTTCGATTATTGATGTCAATTTACCAAAGTTTCTTAATCATGATTTACCATTATTCAATGGTATTGCATCTGATCTATTCCCTGGAGTTGAACGACCAACTCCAGACTATGAAGTATTAAATACTGCTATTAAAAATGCTTGTAATCGTATGAATTTACAAAGTACAGAATTCTTTATGGAGAAAATACAACAAGTTTATGAAATGATGATTGTACGACATGGTTTTATGATTGTTGGTGAACCATTCGGTGGTAAAACCAGTTCGTATCGTGTATTAGCAGCCGCCTTAGGTGAAATATGCGAAAAGGTGAGTTTGACATTGATAATGAGACATAAAGCATCTTCATACATTTATTCCCCTTTATGAATTTGAATAAAGCAAGGACAGCAGTTTTTGTAAAATCATCTGGTAACATCATTTATTTCCTTGGCTTCTCATCAGCTCCTTACAGCGTAAATGAATTATTAAGTTTATGTACAGAAAAGTTTTGACATATTTGCAAATTTCACATGATGCCAGTTGACAGGAACTTAGCGAACAGTGTTCAGAAAATTAAGCTTATATAGTTTTACATGGGGAGTTCAAGTTTAAACAAAGCAAAGGTATGCATACCATGGTAAGGGAGTTACGTAATGAAGACGAGAGACGCGTAAGATGATGAGTAACTAATAAATTAGGCAACAATGTAGTGAGTCCAACTCAAACCATAGAAACAAGAGACAAGCAAAATTACGCTATATCAACGGGTGGGGGTGGGGTTAAAGCTAAAGATCACGTAATCAAATGAAATAGAATAAAGTAATCCAGTTACCAGGTAGAGCAAGGAAAGACTGATAAGTGCTTCTCTCTGAACACAAAAATCGGGCTTCAGGCTCTTGATGCAGATTTAAGGAGAAAACAGCATTTTTGTCTATTGATAATTTTAAGGGATTTTGCGATTTCCAGTTCCGTACCTAGGAGATGTCTGGTGATGGTACTATTGTCAGTGTTTGCTCCCTTGAGACGTAGGCTTTTCGGTACATGTTCAGAAAATCGGAGGTGTGCTCTTCTTTCTGTTCTCCCAATCTGACTGCTCCCGCAGATACACTTAAATTTGTGTACATATTTGAGTTAACACAAGGAAGATATCTGTCGACTTTCAACTGCACCAAGAGCATGTTGTCCTATAGATGGGAACGAGCTTAGCTGCAGGATAGGCTCTGGCTAGTGACTTACTCAATCTCCTGTTGGCTATCACTGCAGTATCTCTCGTCCTTGTTCCGTAACTCTTTTACCATTGTATGCTTACAATGATTTTCTTTTAACTTGAAATCCCTGTGTAGAAACCAAATAAGTGTAATTTTCTGAGCACTATTCATTGAGTTTGGAACCTCCTGTCAACTGACATAATGTGAGATTTGCAAGTATGTTTAAACTTTCCTGTACATAAACTTAATAATTTCTTTAGGCTGTAAGGAGCTGATGATGAGCCAACGAATTAAATGATGATACCATATTATTCTGCACAAACCACTGTTGTTCTTGCTTTATTCTGATATTAATCAATTGATGAGTATATCTGGTATTTGAAAAGTCACTTTTTCTAAAAATCCTTCATAGTTGAACAAGTGATGCCTACGTGAAAAGAATTTCGTAAAGCAGACACTTATTTACAATTAATTGATATGAGTTTCATCGAAGAACATTACTCATCGATTAGATGCAACAGTGTTCCTTATATAGGGAAGGATTTCAATAACAGCTATTGTTAAACATGGACAGAAAATATTGGAAAATGGAATAAATTCATGCTCTCCTCTTGGAATGATTATTGTTTTTGGGTTACAAAGATGTGTCAGAAGAACTAGTTGTATGAATAAATAGTTTCGAGATTCACTGAAGATGCCTATTAAAAATTTAGAAGACTAATTCATGAAAAAAGAATATTCTTTTCTATAAATTCGTTATCAGGTCCTACATTTACATAACAGTAATAATTAAAGAAATATTGATATTAACTACAATATTTTCAAATTGACATAACTAGCTATATTCACAAGCATAGTGATCAAACAGGTTTGTAGAAAGCACGTCTATTGTGGTCAAACTCAACTTTAGTTTTCCAGCTAAACAAGCAATAAAATACCAGGCGTAGAATCAGTTACAAGCAGTGTCACCACCATTATTGTACAACATTAATTTTACTGCTTCTGTAGAGATAATTAACAAGAGCATATCCAGTAAACTTTATCCTTATGCATACATATATGAACATTTATCAGTTCATTTTGTCAAGGGAATAACTGCGCTGAAAAACTTTGTGATTTCGACTCATCTGGAAGCCTGGAAATATCACACTAATGTGATTGGAGATATTGCTGTGTCATATAATGGAACGTGAATACTTTGCAAAAAGACTCGACTAAACTCCACCTGCACTGTATAAAAGTGATAACCAGTGCCAAAGGATAGTATATAGATATCTGGCTACTTGTTTCTCTGCACTCCTTCATCTATCAATCTATACATGCCACTGTTCCAACCTAAAGTAAAGAAGAGGATTACTTGAAATTACTTGAAACTCACTGGACCCCCCCTCGAATCTATAAGGAGAACCTGATTTATCCACTCAAATGTAGTTCACTCAGGCTATCTACATGTACTAGGCTTTAACAGATCCAAAAAAACAACCCTTACCTCATATACTTATTGGAGCTGTCTCATTCTTATTGTGCGATTCTGCTAGACTTTTATTCAATATAACCGTCATCACTTTACAAGTAGGCCATTAGCCATCACTGCTGCTACTGATTTAAGTCATCTGTTATGCTTCTTCAGTAACTATGGAGTTTGATCGATGAATTCAAACAATTTGTTATTCCATCTTGAAGTAATTTGCACCATACATTGGTATCAGACAAAGTATTGTTGAAAACCAAGGTGTACTGAATGACTGTTTTGTCATTGTTGGGACTCTTAGGCAATACACACGTCTACATCAAGCTGAACCAATCTGAGAACCATAAAATTTCATTGTGAGCATAGCTGCAATTAAAGCAGCTAGGAAGCTAAATAGGCTTTCTAGTATATAAGAATAAGGGAAATTGTTTACTTGAAATTAGACTATGTATTTCTATGAAATGCTTATTTCTAATAGCTAAAACGATTAATGCCTCACATAACTGATATCTCCCTCCAAGGAATTGTGTTTTATTTTAAAACTTTCATTAAATGAGTTCTCATTCACAGCATAAAATATAAAATGCAGCCACTATTTAAGTTCACCTGATTTATGATGCCTGTATATACATAATGAAGCACCGAGTACAACGTTTGGTTAAAGAAGTTATCATGTTTAATCAAGCATACTTAATACTCTCACAATTACAACATATATTACTTTCATTTCAAAATAAATCTTTTCATTCAAAAATAGGGACTTATGGAAGAGAATAAAGTACAATATACTGTTATCAATCCAAAAGCTATTACAATGGGACAATTATATGGTCAGTTCGATCCAGTATCACATGAATGGTCTGATGGTATATTAGCTGTCTCTTATAGAGCATTCGCTACATCAACAACACCCGACAGAAAATGGTTAATATTTGATGGACCAGTTGATGCTGTCTGGATAGAAAATATGAATACTGTACTGGATGATAATAAAAAGTTATGTTTAATGTCGGGTGAAATTATTCAACTAGCACCAACAACTAATTTAATATTCGAACCAATGGATTTAGAAGCTGCTTCACCGGCTACTGTATCACGATGTGGTATGATATATTTAGAGCCAACAAGTTTAGGCTGGAGGCCATTGCTAAATAGCTGGATGAACAAGTTACCTCATTGTATTAAAGATATTCATAAAGAAGTTTGGATAGATATGTTCGATAGATTTGTTGATGCTGGAATTGCTTTAATTAGAAAAGGTGGTGTAAAAGTAAGTGGCAGTAACTTCCGCCTTCTTTTATCGATCTTCTCACCTGTTATTTCTAATCATCTACTTCCATCATAGTTGTGGTCATCCAGTATTATTATTGTTATTTGTTTTATTCCTTTTCGTTCTCACTGGAACATAGGGCTTTGAAGTTTCGGTAGCAGTCATGTTTGTTTTTACGAGGTGGGGTTACTAGCCTCACACTCAGCCTTCCCATTTTACCGATCTTATTACCGCCTTAATGAGGTTTAGGAGTACGTCGGCCGAAGACAGAACCTCAGACCACATATGTGGTTGGCAAGCCTTCTACCTCTGAACCACCATCGTACTGTGACCATCCTGAAAGGGATCAAAACACTTAAAATACTCATTATAAGCTCAACTTCCCCTGTATAGGGATAAAAATGGTTTATCCTTAAGTCTACGTTAGAAGAACTGCGATGAAAAATACAGAAAAACACAGGAACACTAAAAGTACTGATATTCCAACTATGAATTATTTACAGAATAATAGAGATGGACATAAGTGGAAGTATAATTCCATAGTCAGTTTCGCCTTAAATCATCCCTGGACAGATTATGTTCAATGCTAAAACTCACTGATATTCCTGTATCTTTGTAATGCGACTAGTGATAATTAAGATAGCAATAATATTATTGTTACTGTATGTGAATTTTCCTTAGAAATAATAAAATATTTGTACATTATTCATTTAATTCCACTGATTTACTGTTTAAAGATCTAGAATGATAGAAGTGAAGCCTTTCCAGAAGAAATGGTCCAAACTTTCACACAACAAAATAACTATCGTTTAAAATCGCTTTACCCAGGGAACGATTGTTTGAGTGCTAGCCCTTGATTAGTTTATATCTTCATTTCTACACTCATACTGGAAGTTATTTCTGTATACGTCTAGGCAAAATGCTGCTGGTGTAGTCTACGTACTTAGCTCCACACAGATACATTCACTTTAATGACAGAAAGATCTTATCGTTAACGTCTCAATGGACAATAGTACACTTAAAAAAGGGGGACAAAGATGTTTTAATTGTATCTGATAGTCACCTTTGCGGATAGTCACCTCTGACAGACAGAAACAAATTTTTATTCATTCAGTATTAGTTTTCAGTGTAAAATGTGCCACTAATTTTCACTCAGCTAAACAATATCCGTTCTGAGATACAGTTTTGTAGAATGACATACAATGTTCCATTTAGTATGCCGTTCGTAACAGGAGAAGTGATAAGGTTCCTTCTTCTGACATTAATGCTGGGAAAGCTAGTCATCCGTCAGTTCCAATGTGCTCTATAGTAAATCGATCATTATGGTGTTCTCATTCACTGGAAAATAATGAATGATCATGAATTGTGAAGAAAGTCAAAAATCGAATTTCACCTAATATTATTAATGCTATTACTATTATTATGCCATTGGGTTCCTAGTGGAATATTTAATTTCAGCAGTACATCTCCAATTCATCCTGTTTTTTGTGTTCCTCTTCAACTGGTTCCACGATCGCCCACAAGCTTCCATTTCCTCTTCACACCATCTCCTGAATGTCACCCTTGAACGCCCAACTCATCGTTTCTCATTCGGCCTCCGCTCGATAACCTGCTAAGTGACGTCACTCAGTGGTCATCTCAGCGTGTGTCCAGTCCATCTCCATTTTCTGTGGCATATTTCTTGGGCGACAGGTTATTGTTTAGTTCGTTGCCAAAGTTCTTTGCTGCTTATCCTTTCTGGTAGATCATGTGGCCTTCAGTATCGAGCAGACGTAGCTGCTGATAGAAGTGTGAAGCCTCTTTCAAATACTTCTGGTGACGCACTACGTTTCTGAACCATATGGAAGTACTGACTTGAGATTAACGTTGATGATTTCGATCTCCAGAATAATTATGGTCTACCTTGCTTTTCCGATCCTACCTTTGCAACCTCATCCATTCCGCCTGTAGCTGAAACGATGATCCATAAATAAGTGAGAGATGTGACTTTCTTTAGATTTCTCATGTTGATGGCGATTGGTGCTTGTTGTTGTTGGTTGGTTGGTTGTTTATCTTCATCACCTCTGTCTTCTCTATGCTCACTTAAAGTCCTGTCTCTACTGCTTCTTCTACCAGTCTGTTTGTTTTCGCCTGGAAGTTTTCAAGTTTGTGTGTGTGACATTAGATATAAATCATCTGCAAAGTCCGGATCTTCCAATGTATTTCCATGCGTTTAGTATGTTTCAGTATTCTTTCTCCCCATATTTTGTTGCATGATCCAGTCCACTATAATCAGGAATATCATCGATGACAGCAGGCAGCCTTGTTTTACTCCTTTATTCACTTCAAAGACTTTACCGAACTTTCCGTTATGAATCACATGGCATATGACAACATCATATCGCTGTTGGATGAGGTTTATAAAAGTTTGGGGCACTGGCACTCCGTAGTGTTGTATCACTTTCCAAATTGCCACATGATCAATCCTATCAAAGGCCTTTTCAAAGTCAATGAAGTTGAAGAACAGAGTCGACCGCCATGCTATGCTCTGTTCTATGAGGATGAGTACGAATCTAATGTAATGTTTTTCCTGAATCCAGCTGTTTCCGGGTGGAGTTTTCAATCCGGAGCGTCTTTTAATCACTCCAGGCTTATGCAGCTTAACATTTTACTTGGGGAAGACATGAGGGCGCATCAGTTTTTGAAGGATTCTATGCCTGACGAAACAATTTACGCGGCAAAGATCATTCAATAATTATAATAGTGATCGCTTTTTGTGCTCCCTTTTGAAATTTAATATTAATTATCATAAACGTAAGTAAATAATTTGTTCAACCATTTAATATTACCTTATTTATTTTCTTCCTCTTTGCAAAAAAAACACGGATCTGTCAAGGAATTAACACCAACTAGTGATATTAACTTGGTTAGATCATTAATGAATTTAATCGATTGTCAAATATCAGAATTCAAGGCTGAAAATACATTAACACAATTTGAAGATCATGTGTCAAGTGCAATCGTTGAAGTAAGTTTCCCCTTGTATCTTTTTCTGGCTGCCTTGATTATAAATTTGCTGTTTCAAAATGCGCAAAGTGCTTATCAAAATAGATGTAGATAATATAATTGAGCACTTAATATTATAAAGTACAAATGGCTATACTCTTATAGTTCATTTGATAATCAGTAGAAACACTGAGTGATTCAAAAAGAAAGTGCACCTTTATATCCAGTTAGGTTTAACAACCCATTCAATAGTGCGCCATACATTATTATTCGTTCCTTGAGTTCTGAATGGAACCCTGGGATTTAACAGCACATTTTACCACTTTAATTTATTCTCTGCTCTTACTTTCAACTGGTCCTACTGTAACGACAGAAGACAAGGGTCAGGAAACAGATCGTTTATTGAGAAAATCAACAGATATTTATAGATTTTTATGTACATTATTATTCGTTATTTTAGCAGAGAAACAATGCCTTCTGGTTGGTTCTTCTTGTTGAAGCTTATTCTGTCATCTCTTTGTTGCCTTTTCTTAGACAGTCTGTTGATATATCTGCTAATCGTATCCACCCACGCTAAGTATGCTGTGATTGGTTGTTGAGTTCCTCAAGGTTAGGCTTTGTTCTTGTTTCCTCTCATTAGCCCGATACGGGACGTAAACAATGATGTCACTTGTTGTTTACAATTTTGTCTTACAGACAGGCCTCACCACACTACAACTGACTACAAGCTTTCACTTCCTTTTCAGTTAATCTCCATCTTCTCAATTCAAATGCTCAACTCGTTGATTCCCATTCACATTCCACTCAACTATCTAATGTATGATATCCCTTGAATCTCTCCTCAGCGTACGTCCAATCGAACCCCACTTCTTTATTCATATTTGTTCGGCAATAGGTTGGTTCTCTGTCATAATTCCTTGTTACTTAACCGTTCCAACCAGCCGTTCGATCTTCAGAAAATGTCTTGACTAGCATGAAATATAATACTAGAAATATATCTTATTCTTACTTCTGACTTTCTATATTCGTGAGAAAGTAATACAAATGGCTGGCTTATGAAAAAATCGCTTTACCAGAAATAAAGGAGTGCTCATATGTTACGGTTTTGCACTTTATTGATGCCCCTGCATGTAATAGTACAAACTAAATCCACTAAGTTATCTTGGCTATTATTATAAATAGAAATCACTTTTCTGATTTTAACTTCACTGAATAACTGTCATTTTGCCTACTTCGATAAGCAAACTCTCATCTCATTAAAACCTCTTAACTATACATTATTTCAAGAGTGAGAATTGTTTAATTAATGGCAGGCCTCTTTTTTAACGAATTAGATAACACACATCTCTGTGGCACATGTTTTCAATGAAACCTTTGTAAGTGACTTCATTAAGACCAAGGTTATTTCCTTAGGAGAACTTCACACTAATTCTAACCAATTGAGCAAATTAAAATTTCTGATTCTTCTATCTATCATAGAATCAACTATATTTTCCAGTTGCATTAAAAATCATAAAGACATAACTTGTATATAAGAAAGATCTTGGAACACTAATCAAATGATTTCAGTGTTGAGTTCATCTGGGACAAAGAAAAAACTAGTTTTCTTTAAAAATTTGACATGTAGTGAGTGAAATATTTTGAGTCTCTGAAGGAATACACGGGGATTCTTTATCTCCAACAACATAATTTGCAAATTCAAAAGTGGATTCCATACTACACTTTAGTTTGAAAATATAGATCATCATTAAGGCTGTTCTCTATCCGATATTTTATCTTTGTTCTATTAGTTGTTCTTTATACCTAAGAAGAACTTTTGGAATGATATTAATGATATAAATTTTTTTAAAGTATTTGGATTTTCTCTATGTGGAGCGTGCTACTGATGAGGTTTATCAGTAGTATATATGTATATGTAATGACATGTTCCTTCGGCATAAAAACATCAAATATCAAGGAGATAAATTTCATATCAGAAAAAGCGAATAATACAGTGTTGCGGAGATACATGGGAGGTGTGAAAGGAACATAAAGAAACATAATTTGAAGGCCATAAGTAGCACGACTCAGAAGATCTAGGCAAATGGTGCGCTTAAGAAATGGTGTACATAATTTGCCTATACAGAGAAACCAATTACCTTCACCAAGTCTATCGTCTTCTGCCGTTTCACTGACTCATCACTCAATGGGGAATGCAGGTACATCCAAATGACGAGTCCGAAATGGGATGAAACGCGCATCCTGGATTCCACTGCTAGTCACCATCCACCAATTAACTTCTAATTACATGCCCATACATCGTCGAAGCATCTGTACAAGAAGCCGTCACATCAACCTGAGACCGAGCACTTCGGTCCAATCAATCGACGGGAAAATCTAAAATTCAATTAAATACGCGGGGATTAATTTAAATAAATTAAAATGAACCAGTCTCACTCGGTGCTCAAATTATTCCAGGAAGTTCGTAACATCTACGGTCTGGAAACTTTTAAGGTGTACATAATTTAGCTATACAGATATACTACTTTGAAATTAAACATTGCTTAACCAAGTCTTCCTATTCTACCGTTACAATTACGCTATATTATACTTTTAAAGCCATTTGAAGCAGTTATGACTCAATGAACAGTTAAAACTTCATCAAAAAATCACTGGAGTTTCAATAAACTTTACAAATCGATATAGGGTGTTGAATCTCATGGTGTCCCAAACGACATATGTTTTCACAAATAAATTTGTTATTTAACAGTATTCACCAAGTCTATCGTCTTTTGCCGTTGCACTGACTCAAAAGGAGTAAAACAACCATGAATAAATAGGCCAGAAATCTGAGATATTTTCTCATATGTTCATGAGGTGTCGAGTAAACCCGAAAGGCTGAAGATGATAAGATCTGAGAAATATCTCATCGTGTCGGGAGGATCTCGGAAATATGAATAAAACAGAGTATAATCTGTCCATCGCAAACGTATTCACGTACATAGATGAAATAAAATAGTAACGTACGGTGCAATAATGGTATTACAAATATTAGCTGGTTAGAGCGAAGGTTGTAGAATACCAACTTAGCTCTCTTAGAAGCATTTTGTCACTTTTATATAGATCTAATGTAAGGAGTTGATAAAAAAAAGTCAGGCGACACCATTGTTGAATTTACTTTGGTGTATGATTTCAAAACTACTACATTGATTATCCTCTTCGTTTTCGTTACACATCAATATACGTTTTCATTCAACGAATAACGAACTTTCCTAAATATGTCCCAAGTACAGTTAGGTCTTTCTTAGACTTACTGTAATTCGTCTTGGGAATGTATATTACCTCTTACGAACATGTTGAGACAACAGACGGTGGGATGAGAATATGTTTTGTAAAAAAAAGCACCGTCATATATTTACTTACTACCACACCCAGTATTTTAATATGGTCAGCATACTTGAAGAAGCCTGTAATCGATATATCTCTATTACTATCTATTTCTTTTAGTGTATTTTCTTCTTTGCTTACGTCTGGTCAATTGGTGCAACTACAGATAAAGATGGTAGACAAAGATTTGATAAACTGTTACGTGAATTAATGAATGGTGGTATGATGGAAGAGACAAGACAACGTTTAGCATTAGTTGAATTAGTACCACCACCAATGCAAGACTATGGACGTCCATTCCCTATTAAAAGGACAGTTTATGATTATAAATTAGTAATGGAAGTGAGTTGTGTATTTCTCTGATATTGATTTCTTTGTTTATATTGTGTTTCAAAAAAAAACAAGGAATTCACTGCACCTAATTAACTGTCTCTTTAGACCAGCAAAATAAACAACTTCAAAGTGTCTTTATTCAAAGTTGGTTGTTTGTGTCTTGCGCTGATTATGCATATTTGAGTTAGTCATTAGCTGAAGTGTTTTATTCTTCTTCCCGAAATGACCAGTATGTTTATGCTGTTTTTTAAAAACTCGAATTCACCTCAAACATGTTGTTCATTGTACTAATGAGTTAAAAAGGTAAAATAATAACAGCAATTAATGTTTGTCATTGCTTCGTATCCTGATTTCCAACTATGATGAAAACTTAGAGGTTTCACTTTATTCTATGTTTAATATATAATTTATGGTTACTATTACTGGAATAACTTTCTTTTCCTTAACGTTCCCAGTGGGACATAGGGCTTCCAGCTAGAGGCTTGAAGTTTCAGTAGCAGTGGTGTTTATTTTTACAGGATGAGACTGCTAGCCTCATGCCCAACCTTCCCTCTTTACCAATCTTACTACTGGCTTGGCCAGGTAAAGGAGTGTCCCGGCTGAGGATCAAATTCCGAACCACCTGAGTGGTTGGCGAACATTCTACCACTCTACCACCGACGCACTATTGGAATAATGAACTGGGAGATTATACTGTATTACTGAAAAGTGTTTTAAGATATGTGTAATACCTGAGAAAGCTTGTTGTGACGTATTGATTAGCCTTAGTAGATGCCTGTATAAATTTTTTCGCGTTTTCCCTGTCACTAGCTGATGTAAGTGTAATAATCTCGTCATCCCTCTAAATATTATCCAATTAATTGAGTAATAACGAGGAATCATATAAATTTTTGGATTTAACATAATTCTATACAAGCAGGGTTATGTCGATATAATAATTAACCAGAGCGGTAATGTCATCTGAAGAAGAGTTTTTGTATTCCTCTGCGTTCCGAGTGGAACATAGGGCTTCAATCTTGGGCTTTGAAGTTTCATCAGCAATGGTGTTGCGTTTATGAGCAGAGTTCGCTAGCCTCGCGCTCAACCTTCCCTCTTTATCAGGACTACTGTCGGCTAAGCAATATGTAGGACTGCATCAACTGGGTACTGAACGCCGGATAACGTGGTGGTTGGCTGGTATCCCATAACGCAATCACGGACGCACAAAAAGGGATTATTATTCGAATATTAGACTGTGATATCAAGGTGGTATATAAATCTCCATATGTATTTCCATGAAAGCTGGTGTAGGCGGAAATTAAATGGATAAACTCAGCTATCATATTTATGCATCCATCCACATCAGGTACTTATTTCTAGTATCACCTTTCTGATCTACGGGAGAAAGTTGCATTTACAACTTAAAACAGAAAGTTTGACCTACTGCAAAAATACACTGATGAATCCAAATCCTCAGATTTTTTTATAATTATTTTTCCAACTTTCTAAGCATTTAACAGTGGAAACATCATAAACATAATACTATTTTTTATAAGTAGTGTTTATCGTTTCAGTAAATTAATCAAATACTTTCTATGTTTGATTTTTTTTACCTTTCCAATTCAGTTAAATAAACCTCGTGTACAGGTAATTTACTATTTCGTCTATTAATTTACGTTTTTAATAATTTATTTCATAGTTATGTATGTATATGCACAACTGTTCTGAGATCATAGTTTATACAAGGCATAGTATGAGATATTTTAGCGGCTGACTTCTAATGATTACTATTAGCACTATCACCTCCGTTGCTAAAACATGGTGCCAAGTTACAAATACTTATATTTCATTATTATCATTCGTCCCCTGCATCCCTAGTGGAACATTGCAGCTCCAACAGTGTATCTTTATTCCACTCAGACATCTGCTATCACTTTCAACTGACTCAACAACTGCCTGGCAGTTTTCATTTCTTCGCCATATGATATACATGCCATCTACTAATGCTCAAACAATCAGCATATGATTTCATTGGATGGTCCCCTGAGCATATGTCCAGTGGTTCTTCATTTCATTCTGCATATTTCTGGGGCAATATGTTGGTTCGCCCTCATTGTACCTTGTTGGTTATGCTTTCTGGCCAGCAATCTGATTTTCAGTATTGAGCGAAGGTAGCTGCTGATGAAGGCTTATAGTCTGTTGGAAATGCTCCTGCTGACGTTAACCACTAACTCCCTGAATCATATGGAAACACTGACTTGCCATTGGTGTTGAATTCTAAATGCTGTAGATCTACACACTGTTGGTTCCATAATAATGAACGACTGTCTTACTTTCTTAATCCTGGCTTTTGATGGGTGTCCGAGCAGTTTGAAAGTAATACAAATGACATTTTACTAAAGTCATAAATAAAAGGAATTCATCTGCTAGATTCCCTAGAAGTAATTGAAATTGGCTCAGTTAATTCTCGTTGTCTGTTTACTCAAAAGTCCCCAGATGTATTCTAAATGTTTACTTACATCCTTGTGGAAAAGTGCAGTGAAAGTTCTTACTAAAATCTAAGTCAGACTACAATAAATTAATGTACTCTGATGAATTAGACTACATTATACTGCTTGAACGAAACAACGACAAAAAGTGAAACAGAAAAATCTTGTGATTCTTTTTTCTATTCTTCAGTTTTACTTTACATAAGTTGTGTTTGGTTTTGTGGTGTGTACTACTGATAAGATTTACCAGTAGTATGCATGTAGAGAGATATTCATCGGCAGGGAGATAGATTTGATTCCTGAGAAAGCAGAAGATTCAACGTTATTCAACGATATATGGGAGACGTGAAAAGGAACACAGAGAAACACAATATGAAGTTCATTAGTAGCATAACACAGAAGATCTGTGCAAATGGTGCGTTGAAGATAAGGTTTCAAGCCCTCTAATTCTCTAGAGAAAGCTTTGGAGAATGTCAAAGATATGATTCCCAAAATGTCACATAGTAATTGTGTTTATAGAATGAAGTGTTGAGAATGTGAAGCTTGCTATATAAGGGAGAGCGGTAGACAGGTGAAGGTCAGAGTGAATGAACATAGACTATGCGCGAAACGTCCACCTAGAAGTGAAGTAGAATTAAAAGGTCTAGAAAATAGATCGGCTATAACAATGCATGAGATAGACAGCGGACATAAGATTGATTTGGACAATGTCGAAATTCTTGGAAGAGGATTTCATTCAACACATAAAAAAGGCTGACCTCTAAAGCCTTGCACATTTTATCCACATCGAATGAAGTAAATAGGTGAGAAGGGGTAGACTTATCACCTATATAGCAAACTCTAATAAAGCAAGACAAATGAAAAAACAACAAAAACGTATATGAACCTCCATGACCTTTAAAAAATGGATCATCATGTTTATCACATGGGAATTGAGGGGTTTTCCATATGACAAATAATCTGCACATACACACACTCATATAGAAAAATGCACACAATAACAATTTGACATTGGTCATTACAAATATGTGGTGACTATTTACACTTTTCTATTGGAACAAATGTCTATGGACAAGTGACCTTCAAGTAAACTGACTTCAATTTATGTAAAAAATTTTGACAACATATTTTGATGATCAATAAAATCCGAATAATTTTGCTGACTTACACAGCGAAACGTTCAGAAAAATCTTGTTTTGATTTTCTTAAACACGCTGTGATTAGAATTTAATTGATGGATGGTGACTAGCAGTGGAATCCAGGATGTGCATTTCGTCCAATTTGGGAATCGTCATCTGGATGTACCTGCATTCCCCAGTAAGTGATGATTTTCCCTCCGAAGCTCTCGTGGCCCAAGTGGTCTAGTGGATAACGCTTGGAAGTTTGAAACTATGGGCACTGGGTTCGAGCCTCGGTGGGAACATCATCACTCACTGGGGAATGCAGGTACATCCAACTGACGAGTCCCAAATAGGACGAAATGCGCATCCTGGATTCCACTGCTAGTCACCATCCACCAATTAACTTCTAATTACATGCCCAGACATCGTCGAAGCATTTGCACAAGAAGTCGACATGTCAACCTGAGACCGAAAACTTCGGTCCAATCAATCGACGGGAAAATCCAAAATTCAATTAAATGCTCTGGGGTTAATTTAAATAAACTATGATGAATCAGTCTGACTCGGTGCTCAAATTATTCCAGGAAGTTCGTAACATCTGTTGTCTGGAAACTTATAAGGTGTACATAATTTGGCTATATAGATATACCACTTTGAAATTAAACAGTGATTAACGATGTCTTCCTATTCTACCGTTACAATCATGCTATACTATACTTTTAAAGCCATTTGAAGCAGTTATAACTCAATGAACAGTTAAAACTTTATCAAAAGTCATTGGCGGAGCTAGTTTCACTAAACTTTACAAACCGATATAGGGTGTTGAATATCATGGTGTCCCAAACGACATATGTTTTCACAAATAAATTTGTTACTCAACAGTATTCATAGACTTTTTGAGAAAAATTGAGAACTTGTAGCTCAAATGAAGCGCTTAGAACAGCAAAATGAGGAGAATGAGAATTGTTCGAAGTGTTGTACTATACTATGATTAAAGTACAAATCTCATACTGCGTAGTATTCAGTGTTTATCAAATTACCAAAGGCACTAAGAATAAAGCACATCTATAGACAAATCAATAGCACGGGGTGTTTCACCACTATTGTATAGTTTGTCAAAGTTTCACAAAGTTAGTAACCCCTTAGGACACTCTTGAAACAAACGCGAAATTTGAGAAAACAACAAGTCAGGATTTTGGACATTTCAGTAGTGAAACTGTGGTAATAATCAACATTTCTTAGAAAAATATTCAATGGAAAATGAACATACTTTGCTAGTTTTTGTGCTCATGAAATGTGTTGAGTGCCCACTAGCACGAAACCTAAGTCTAAGACTCCCTATCGATTACCTGTAACCATCTAATACAAACAATTCACACTGCACCATGATGGCAAGCCACCTAGAATGCTGACCACACTGCAAACTTGACTGATAGATAGAACACATCACTGACTAGTGTCCAATCAAAGATGTATAAATTCACTGGTGAAAACTTCCCCTAAAAAACTCTTAAAAATAAATGATACACCCATGGATTAAAATACACAGTGCATGCAACTATTTTAGCGAGTTGCTAGGTAAGTCATAGTAAAGAAATACTCATCAGCAGGATAGAAACCTCACTATAAATTAACTGTCTACATTAAACTACCCCTTAAAAAAACAACTAGATTATTTGACTGCAAAAATGTTCCCAGAATCCTACAACTACAGAATGAATTCCTATTCAGTCTACCTCACATGGACACTATAACCTCACAAATACACAGGTGGAATTTAATGGAAATTACATTGTCTAAATGAACAATTTTGTTGGTTTTTGGATCAAACAGTCACTTGTGAGTTACCTTGGGAGATAAAATTTCATCACAGTTTCTTCCGGAAAACCAAACTAGTTATATCATAATTTGTTACTTGCATAATAGTGTAAACTGTATCAAGAAGACAAGCATGCTACACCCTACCTACGTACATATATATATATATGTATTCTGTAATGCTGAAATTTGAAGGTCTAACTATGGTTTTATAATCTACACTTGTTTTTTGTTAGGCCAGTAACGATGAAGAAGAAGTTGAAGATGAGGTATGTGTTCTAAACATTGCAATTAACTGAAAAAGAATTTATAAAATTAATACAAAATTCATTTGAATAATGTTATTCACTCACTGTAAGCGCAATATCGCTTGAAATTAAGTCACGCGTAGATAAAGGCTATCCCGGTCCAGAACAAACAAGAAGCCGGTCACTGTTTCTACGGTACTATTAATAAACAAATCAATTAATATATATACAACAAACCTTAACGGTTTCAAGAGTACAATACACAATGCTTAACAGAAAGCAAGGAACCGCTATCAGAGCGGAATAACGTTAAAGCCAAAATTACGAACTAGCCGGATCAGACACGACCGTTCAGGTAAGCAGTCAGTAGAAGAATGAACCCAAGTAAGAGGTAGACAAAGCATAGGCACAAAGATAGAATTTAATTGGCTACTTAACCAATCAATAAATAAGATAAACTCAACAGAATAATACAAAATAAGACATGGGGCAGCAAAATAACAGTTCACAAAAATACTCTGATTGGGTCATGAGTTCAACTGTCTGACTAAAAGGATCGAAGTAAAAACACACATACACAGTTAATTAAACAAGGTGGGATAGACACGTTGGGCATGGATAATTGTGTTGCAACAATGCTAGGCTGATCCGGGACAGGTTGACTTGATTTAAAGATGGGAATGGAATTCATCTTACACTCACTGTATCCTTTCAATTTGTTTTTACCTAGCTGAGCTCTTTAGATATCTTGAGGTATATATGCTGCAAGTTTAATGCAATTGATAAAATAACATTTCAACTATCTTTCTGATTTTCTCATCTTTACAGATAAGCGTACTTTTGATCACAAACAGCGTCTCATGAGTTGTCAGTTTATTAGTTGTAATTATCATAAGTTCAATAATACTTTTCAACAAACCACCTAAAGCAAACTCTACTAAATTGAACGGATCCACGCTCCCTACACCTTTTGTTACTTTGTTTAATCGGCACCTTGTGTTTCTCATACATAATCAACTTATCTTTAGCGAATCAACTAAAATCCGTTGACACTTATCACTTTTCAAGAGTTGCTTAGTAGGAATATGACCACGGATTGATATCAGTTGGAGAACTATTGAAAACCAGGGAGTACTGGACAGCTTTTCCGTACTTATCTGGGACTCACCGGCACTGCACACCCTCTGGATTTCAAACCAAGGACTTTCCCGTTACAAGGCAATCTCGTAGACCATTCAGACACTCGGACCCGACTAAATGACCAACCCATGAATTCTAACTTCTACCAGTTCGTGATTTTAGTGCGACCACCAACCAGTGTTGTCGGAGAGTACTTGTCCTCATTTCCAGCAGGACGAATCCCACTAGTCACGACTTCTCACTGGAACTCTAGGATACTCTGTCCTGTAGCCAGTCACTAGCGAGCATCAGATTGATTTTCAAGAGTTTGCTTGTAGTGATTTGATTTATTTTTCAAGTCTGACCACGAATTGATGATATGAATTAGAGAAAAGTCATGGATTTGAAACCCAGTGGGTACGTACTGCCGATGAATCTCAAACTGGGACGAAACAGCTGTTCAGTACTTCATGGTTTTCAGCGAACTTGATAAACTTATCACTTTCTGTTGAATGACTTGTACTGTAATTGAAGTTTATCGTTTATTCATAAGATAACCGAAAATAACAGTCAAATGTAACATGAAGTGTTCACAAATCGTAATATAACTGTAATTGTTTAAATCATATATGACTTCTTTCGAAATTTTATCTCGCTACTATTCACTACTCCCCTGAAAGTTGAAGAGAACAATGTATATCACACTACATTCACCTGAAACATAACAACAATATTTTATGGACTAAGAAAGTGTAATACAAATAACAAGCATTTACACATAAGTAACTCACTTTTTTAACCCAAGTTATCTGATTGAGCTAATTCAGAAGCCTAAAAACTCTAATTTGGTAGGATGCTATCAAACCTCTCAGTACACTGTTTCTTATTCACATCAAACAAGTCACTGTGATAACAGTCTTTAGACAATCATTCCTTCAATGATGCGATTCTATGCTAACTGTAATTTTTAATGTACATTGTGGATTCAAGTCCAGTTATGTCCTTTTGGTATTCAGGTTTATACCACACCATAACAAAAGATTGTTGCTATCTCTAATCTTATTAAGAATCTGTCTATCTATCTTGTTCCAACATAGAACTTTGCAATGGTGTGCAGCAGTTCGAGTCGCCACACTTCACTTAGCACACAAAGCATAGGAAGAAAGTAAAACGAAATGCAAAAAAGTGACAGTAAACAGAGGTATGAGATAAAGAGAATAGTAATATGAAAGAACAAAACAGTTTTATTAGGTATTATAAGTCACAAGTTGTGGATGCATTTGTGCCGGCCATTGAGAACGATTTTGAGCCATATCACCAATTTTCTCCAGCCTTCATTGGTTTTTACCATCCCGAGAACCCAAACAAGGAAGCCAGTCTACACCTCCCTACGTGGCTGGCTTAAGCTAACTGTTGTGGATCTCATTGGCTGATGAAGCCATGTTTTGGTTTGACCACCACTGGCTCTTTTCCGACCTTACCCTATGTCAGCTAACATTGCCTGTCGAGGAAGGCGATGGCTAGACATACGTAACACATGTCCTAACCATCTCAATCGATGTAACTTCACAACCTCGTCTACTGATTTCCCCTCTTTACCTAGCACTCGACATCTAACCTCAATATTGCTTACCCTATTATACCACTTCACACGGGAGATAGAACGCAGGCACCTATTATCAAAGACAGATAGTCTTTTCATGTCTTCCACTCTCAATGGCCAGGTCTCACAGCCATAAAGGAGAACGGAGTGGACTGCTGAGCAGTACACACGTCCTTTGGTCGATAGTGGGATATCACGCCTACGCCAGAGACGGTGTAAACTGGCATATGCGAAACTAACCCTCTGTATCCGTGCTGAGATTTCGTCAGCGATCAACCCGTTGGCGTTGGCTGATGCAACTTCCCAAATAAGTGAAGTGGTCAACACGCTCTACCACTTCATTCCCTATTTCTAAGCTAGGAGTAGTCGACGTAGTCCAGTCCTGTAGCATCATCTTACATTTGACAGCAGGAGTGAATCGCTTGCCAAACATTCGCAGATTGCAACTCAAGGAGTTCAGAAAACTCTGCTTTATTTTGTCAGCGTTCTCACCTACAAGGACTATATCATCCACATATTCTAAATCAACGAGATTATTCCCTGGTAATAAGTCAATCCCTGAGTCTCTGAAGTGAGTTAGGGTTAAGTCCATTATTACATTTACGATGAAATTGAATAGAAATGGGGATTATTAAAAATATCATTCACCATGTGAGTCCTGAAGACTTTAATTACATTGTGTGCTTATGAAAAAACTCCTCACAATCTTCGTCTAAGAATTCTCAGTCTCACACTCATATTTGTCCAATGTCCAATACTGTTGTCTTCCTCCTTGTGAAAATCAAAACTCTTACACCATGCAGAAATGTGAGAATTATCAAAACACTACACCAGTACAAATAAGAACCAAATTCTTAATTAAATATTAAAATTTCGATAGCAAGTAGACAGTTTATATGAAAAAGTACCAGAATACGTATTCAGATAAAAATTTCAAATGACTTTAAAGGCAGTCCTGCAACTATACGCATGGTAGTTACCAGACATCTCATTAGTGGTTACATATCTATGCAAGAAAGATTTCCTATCGTATGCAAAGAATGTAACTACTCAGAGGTCAATATTTATCGCGAAGTACTTGTTTTTAGTCATTTGAACAAAATGAAAAATTTATTTAAGTGACAGCTGTACCCCTGAGAATGACCTCTGTTAACCACCGAAAAATTCATCAAAGTTTAGATATACTTTTAATAGCAGTCATCATTTCTGCACCATCTACCATCTAGTCTATCTTTTGTCATATAATTTAGCTCATTATGTATATAAACGAATGGAGAATAAGTGAATATTTTCTCCAACTTGAAGATAAAATGATAACAAGGTATTTCTCCTTTTTTTCTCTTTACTTTTTGAAAGATTCCAGTAAGATGGGAGTTATGGACTGAAACTGTACGTTTAGCTCCACCGATACCTAAAGATGCCACCTTCAATGAAATCATTATACCGACAACAGAAACTGTACGATTGAATCATCTACTGAATCTATTCATTCTAAATAGCAAACCATCATTATTCCTTGGTCCAACTGGTACTGGAAAATCATGCTATATAATGGTTAGTGTTAAATATTTCCATTTATCTCTTTTTTGTGTGTCTCCATAATTTCTTTAACTTAATTTTTTAAATGGTAATTTTGACATAAAGCAATTAGTTCATTCAGGCAGGCATAGGCTGATCTAGTCTGTTCAATAGTACAGTTTTCTTTTTCCAAACTAAAAACTAAGCAGTAATTGACTATAGGACAACAGGAACAAGACACAATAGGAAAAATTATTTATGCATAATTTCCTAGTAAAAATAATTGTACAAAACACTTCTGTGAGAAATAGTCATCTGGATATGCATCAAGTTGCCAGTAATCCCAATGAACTGAGGGATTATTTCCTAATGCATAAAATCGCTTTACAAATAACCAACAAGCTTCTATGGATGCTTCAAAATAAACTTGCTTAACAAAAACAAATTCTTCGTTTTTGACTTTCCCCATTTGTACTGCTATCATTTTCCACTTAGAAAACAGAAAGATTGAGCGAAGAAATATTTACTTTTCAATTAGATCCTCATCTCTGGCTCTACTCTAATATATATAGCATTTTTATTACAATACACAACAGTTTACCAAACAAGTTGCGATATGTTTGTTAACAATAATTAAACAGTGTCAAAATGTCAATGGGTTGGTAATTAACGAAGAAAATCAATACACATTTAAAAAGTAGAAATGGATAGAATAAATTATTTTACAAGGATAACACGTAATTAAAGATGAAGTGGTCAAAATAAATAAAAATAAAATAATTTGGACAATTATAATTCTATTAGTTTTTAAAGGTTTATGGGGAGGGGGGCGACGTAGTCCTGTTTATGCATTCTTCTAGAGATGGCCACGGTAAGGAAAGTGGCTGTACAAATTTCTTCTGAACACATAGGCTTGGCTTCTTAAGGTGGATTCCGATTGATTCAGCTGTCTGTAGAAGACGAACTCGTAGAGCAAAATTAAGATTAGTCGAAATGCGATAAATAATTTTAAATGCTGTAATAACATCAACCTTATGCTCAGTATCAACAAGGTGTGCTAAAATAGAACTACGAATAGATCTTGTTTGTCCCTTGCTTAACCATGCTGGATGATGTTCGAAAATACGATGATGAACCTGCCTAATTGTACGCCTAATGTAGTTGGCTCCGCAGCTGCAGTCAAACTGGTAGATACACATAGAAGAGGCAAATTTAGGTAGTTTATCCTTATTTCTCGAACATAGAATAGGAGTGGTTGTGAAGAGACAACGTACCTCTGCTGCATAATAAGCTCTTTTAACTGCATTCTTCAGGCGCTGTGTTATGATTTCGCTGATGTTGTCTCCAAGGTACTGTTAATAATAATAAAATCTTCATTCTCGAAAGTATTTATTTAGTGTACAGAATTTTCACCGAAGTTTATTGTATGATATTTTCCCTTCGTTCAATATCTTCAAGTAAAATATTAATTGACAGTATATCCTGTGACACAATGCTCTCTGAGCTGAAACACAAACCATGCCATCAAGATATATCCATCTGCTTTGTCTCCTTGAAGAAATCCATGAGATCTAGTTGAAAGCCAATTGTAAGATGTTCAGAAGCACATTTTGAGAATGAAGGACATAACTGAAGAACAGTTATCTCATGTATTGAAACACAACGCCGCCCACAATCAGGCCTTTCCTCAAGTTTAGTAGGAACTTGAGAATCAGAAGCTTGTAGACATTAAAACTACACATCAGAGTAGATAATACCATTAGAGGTCATATCTTAATCGTTTAAAACAAACCGAACGGGAGGAAATATATGCAATAGAGAGATGGAATCAACTAACAGGTAAAGAATTAATAAACTCTATTTTACTAATCCCATCAATAGTTATTGCAATCAAATAAATGAAAATCCCCCTGTTCATTTGTCAAAAGATGTTATCTTGTGTGTCACTGATTAGCTGTTCAAAATTCTCTGTCAGGTATGTATCAACCTAATATCATCGTTAGGGTGGATTAGAGATGACCTCCATTAAACTATCGCATATCCAAACTAACACATTAGAACACAAAATACATTATGTAGTGTTGGTTTGCAGGGATCTGACTGGTTACAGGATTAGTCACGTGCTAATATCAGTTAGAGAACCACCGAGAGTATCGCACAGCTGTCTTTCCCTAGTCCAGAACTCTTCAACACTACACACACACACTGGAGTTCTAACCCAAAACCTTCCGATTACAAGGCAAACTCGTAGACTCTTCAACCACTCGGACCAGATTTAACGGCCAGTGAACTCCAAATTCTGCCAATTCGCCCTAAATAGCGCAACCGCTAGCCAATATCATAAGCTTATGATGGCTGACTTCATTCCGCAAACTGCGCTTACTGACCAATTCAAAACGATACAAATAAAATAAATGGGGCAAACATTAGAGTCTAACCTCAAATGAATCCTTTAATTTCAATTTATTTGAATAAAAACATCATTCCACTTTGATAAGTGTAATTAGTTAATTGTCTTATTTGATTGTCTCTTTTCTTCTCCATAGGACTTTCTTATGAATAAAGTGGATAAAGATATCTATAAACCGCATACATTAAATTTCTCTGCACAGACTAGTGCAAATCAAACACAGAATATTATTCTATCAAAATTAGATCGAAGACGTAAAGGTGTATTTGGACCACCGATGGGTAAGAAGATTGTTGTGTTTGTTGACGATCTAAATATGCCTGTAAGAGAAATATATGGTGCACAACCGCCTATTGAATTGTTACGTCAATGGTTAGATCATTGGAATTGGTATGTTAAGCATTTTTTTTATTTCAACAAATTATCTTTATGCTTTTAAATAATTATTTGTTCACCAGTGTTTTCATTTTGGGATTTTAGTTTAGAATCTTTCTAAAATGTATGAAAGATGTTGATATTAGACTAAAAACTCAAATTAGTTAATGAGACTGGTTAGTATATACCCAAAAGTCGACGACATATCTAACTACTCATTCTTTAATAGCAAATTCGAACCTGTTTCGTTTTCTCTTGTCCTAGCAACTGGACGATTATATTCACCTGTGTAAAGTAAGACCCATCATCCGAAACAGATACTAGCCAATGGAACTTTGAATCGTCAAACTAAACACTTAACTTTGAATCAGTGGATTTCAGACATTCAAAATGAGTTTAATTATTTAAAATTGGAATAAAGAATTAGGATCATCGACTCTCAAATAATTGTTATTACCACAGTATGTACTTCAATACTTGGTTATCACGACCATATATGTATATGTATATATGTAATTTTAGTTTATTACAAGTGTGTGGTTAATAGAAGTTAACTGGTGGATGGTGACTAGCAGTGGAATCCACGATGAGCATTTCGTCCTATTTGGGACTCGTCAGCTGGATGTACCTGCATTCCACAGTGAGTGATGATGATTTCCCACCAAGGCTCGAACCCAGTGCCCGTAGTTTCAAACGCCAAAGCGTTATCCACTAGACCACTTGGGCCACGAGAGCCACTGCCTCTTGTGCAACGGGTCATATTAATTATTTAATTCAATTTTATATACTCCCGTTGATTAATTGGATCGAAGTGCTCGGTCTCAGGTTGACGTGTCGGCTTCTTGTACAGATGCTTCGACTATGTCTGGCCATGTAATTAGAAGTTAACTGGTGGATGGTGACTAGCAGTGGAATCCAAATAGGACGAAATGCTCATCCTGGATTCCACCGATAGTCACCAACCACCAATTAACTTCTAATTACATGCTCAGATATCATCGAAGCATCTGCACAAGAAGCCGACACGTCAACCCGAGACCGAGCACTTCGGTGCAATCAATCGTTGGGAACCTCGAAAATTGAATGTACGGTTCAGACATTTTCACAAGTGATAATATATAGCCGAAGATATTGAAACAATAAAAAAACAATCCAAGTAGAACTTCCTGAATCTAGACTGTTGAAAAGTTTTTCTGTTTCTCTTAGGTAGGTGTATTTTCAGGAAAGCGCTTATTGTTATAAAGACATCGTTTCACTTATCAATAGTATACTTAAAGAGAGTTCTACACTGCAACAGGCATACATAAATTCCAATACTATAATAGGAATGTGACTTGTGCCGGTCAGTATGAAATGAAAATTAAACGAATAAACCAAGGCGACACTATTCAAACTCAGACACATAATGCACTGTTTTCTCTGGCTGCGGAAATATGCCAATAATTTCATTTTTGTTACTTTTATGCAATTTTCAAATGTATAATTCATTTTAAAATGGAGTTACAGAATTATGTTACGCAAATTAAAAACAAAAATCTAAGTTCGAATTCAGTCTGAAAATGATGTCAATGTTCAATTGACTATTGTGTTAAATATAACTTTCACACAAGCACAATCTAGAAATTCCTAACATACAGTTCTATGAAATAATACAGTTATTTATGCATTGGTAAAGTTCTAAGCAGATAACTTAGAGATCATCCTAATATAGGATATTACCCAGTGTGCACTAACATTCAGGTGAAAATAATATGCAGGTGGCAAAGTCATTTAGTATCTTCTGACAGGGGCAGTTACCTAACCTGAAGACAATTTGTCTTGACCGCCTGCCGCTTGCTAAAAGGTAGTTTTAGCATATTCGATTAAGAAATTTTTTCACAGTATATACTAATTTTTTATTCAAAATTAGACATTAGAAGTTAACTGATAAGAAGCCTAGACATATATTTCATGCTCATTCATTCTTACCCCATCCAGCACACATCCGAATGAGATATAGACATTGGCCCGCCGATTGTAAGTGAGGTCACCAAAGCTATCTGTAATTTGAAACGAGGCAAAGCGGCAGGACCCGACGGAATTATTCCGGAGGTGTTTAAATATGGGGGTGACATACTAGTATATAGTTTAACTAAGGTACTAGGTAACGTCTGGGAATCAGAGACGGTTCCATCAGACTGGGGTAATTCACTTATTATACCAGTATTCAAGAAGGGAGACAAGTCCTCATGTGATAATCATAGACGGATCAACCTGACGAACATAGTCTCCAAAATCCTAGGCTCAGTAATCATGCACAGACTAAGCAGAACTCGGGAGGAACAAACGAGGGAAAATCAATCAGGCTTCAGGCCAGGTAGAGAGTGCATAGATCACATCTTCACTCCCAGACAGATCCTAGAACATAGACACACTTTTAGGCGTCCAACAATTGCCATATTTCTTGACTTGAAGGCTGCCTTCGACTCCGTGGATCGAAAGGTACTATGGCAATGTTTGACTGTGAAGGGAGTGCCAAGAAGATGCATTGCACTAATGAAAGCACTCTACTCAAACTCACGTAGCTTTGTAAGGGCTTATGGGGAATTGTCATCTGAATTGTTAACAACCAGTGGTGTGCGTCAAGGATGTCCACTTTCCCCATTTCTGTTTAACTTCATCATAGATATGCTAATGGAAGTATCCTTAACTGAACTTAACGACTTAGTAATCGACTTGTTACCAGGGAATAGTCTTATGGACTTAGAATATGGAGATGACATAGTCCTGTTAGGGGAGGATGCTAACAAAATGCAAAGTCTTCTGAACACCTTGGGCAGCAATCTTCGTATGTTTGGCATGCGATTCGCCCCTGTAAAATGTAAGATGCTGCTACAGGACTGAACTACGTCAACTCCTAGCTTAGTGATAAGGAGTGAAGTGATAGAACATGTTGACCACTTCACCTATTTGGGAAGTTGTATCAGCACCAACGGATTGATTAGTGACGAATTCTCAGCACGGATCCAAAAACCTCGAGCTGCTTTCGCTAACTTACACCATCTCTGGCGTAGGCGTGACATCCGGCTATCAACCAAGGACGTGTGTACTGCTCAGCAGTTCGCTCCGTCCTTCTCTATGGCTCTGAAACATGGCCAATACGAGTTGAAGACATGAAAAGGTTGATTGTTTTTTATCATAGATGTCTACGATCTCTTTCTCACGTTAGGTGGTATAATAAGGTAAGTAATGTTGACGTCAGGCGTAGAGTGTTGGGCAAAGAAGGAAAATCAATCGAAGAGGTTATAAAGTTACATAGATTGCGGTGGCTAGGTCACGTGCTGCGCACGCCTAACCATCGCCTCCCCCAACGGGCATTGCTAGCTGATATAGGTGCAGGTTGGAAAAGAGTAAGTGGTGGCTAAACAAAAACATGGCATCAATCCATGAAATCCCTGACAGTTAAACTGAGTCAGGTAGGGAGATGCAGACTTCCGGGTTGGGGCCCTCGGGACTCTAAGAATCAATGGCTGGAGACAATAGATGACATGGCTCAAAATCGTTGTCAATGGCGCAGATGTATTCAGTCTCTGTAATCTTTCATATTACTTTCTACCATTACTCATTCTGTTTCACTCTTATACTTGTCAAAACTCCATTGATTCTCTTCACTCATTTTCTTGTCCACCTTTGTGTGCTCTTTGGGACGTGGCAACTCGAACTGCTGCACTTCGGTGCCAAGTTCTATGTTGAATCCAGACAGAGACAGACATTCATACCTACCACTACCTCCTTGTTCACGTGTACCCACACACACACACACACGAAAATTAGGTCCAATACTTCTGAACAACTAATTCATAGTGATTCAGTACTAAATGACACTGGATTAAAGGAACCTGTCACTTAAAGTAATAGCTATACCACACACCTGTCCTACAGATTTCAGTCAGTAATGGGGATGCTGAACTACAACTGATTTCATCTAGTTTTCAGCAGGAAATACCATCCAGATAAAGTCGACAATCCCTCATTTTTAACTTATACATCTCAGTTTCACCCTATAGGATGAAACAAACTATGCGCCGTACAACGAAATATACTATGCTTATGTCTCGCAATTCGACAAAACAAACTACAATTGATTTTCCATACTATGAATCAGATGGGTTTTCCTATTTTATATTTTTATAATTTTACCAAAATTCTTTCACTCATCAATTCCAATTTTAATTTAATTAAGGTATGATCTAAAGACTAATGAAACCATTCGATTGGTTGATTTAATTTTCATTGGTTCTATGGGTCCACCAGGTGGTGGTAGAAATGTTATTACACCAAGATTTCTACGTCATTTAAATATTGTAACTATAAATGAATTTGATGATGATACAATGAAGACAATATTCAGTCGGATCATGGAATGGCATATCGCCGTTAAGTAAGCTCTACATTTGTTATTTTGAAATAGCATTTAGAAACTGGTATAGTAAGTGTATTATTAAAATTGAGCATACATTGACTGTTTCGTACTTTATCAGAAACATCTCGATACACCAGATCTTTTCGATATTTAGCAAAAGTCTTTATGTTGATATTAGATGGTTGGAGGCAATCGGCAGAAAGCCTTCGACCTAGATTTCGTACTAGTTGGCACTCACCAGTCATCAAGGCGTATCTGCAACCTTGAAGGAACACATGTTCCTTCTGAGATTCGAAACTGCGTCACGCAGTGCCGCCTGCAGTCAGAGACGCTACCACTGAACTATTCGAGCTCGCGATTGACCTCCTGTAAGACTGTATTGGATACTTTGATTAGACACCATCTAATATCATCAAATCAGTGGGCATCGCGATGGTGAGGCACCTAGAATGGTAGCCACATTGCAAAACTTGACTAATAGAATTCAGTCTCCACCAAACAAAGGACTAGACACATTGCACTAGCGTTCAATCAAAATTCGTTATTTTCTATCCTTGTTTTCTCGAACTTTGTGAAGTGAGAATAAGTTTCAGGAGACCAGAAATCATCACAATCAGATCTGGGATTATTGAGTAATACACCAAAAGTTATGCACTGCAAATCTGTGCACTTTTCAAGAAATCTAATCTTATATTCAGTTTGAATAAGTTCAGTTTTGGTGTAAGTATAGTTTATCTCATCCTTGTATCTTTAAATGCAACACTGCACAGATTAGAAATCAAAATCACTTACTGTGTCAATAATACCTATATGTATTGTGTGCAACGAATAATCTAACGGAAACTACTTATCTTGATGTGCTTTATGTTTAGCAATTATTACATCCTTGTTCACCAAATACTTCAAATAAAAGTTCTACTGACAATGTCCTAATGAGCATAATTAAATTCTGTTTTCCTTCAGAAAAATATATGCATAGTTGAATAAACAACATGAAGCAACCTTTTTTAAAGGCTTATAAAAAAAGACCCTTTTGGATGGAAGTAATTATTTGCTTAGCAAAATAAACAAAAAGCTCGCCCATTTGAAATGACGGTCATTCAATACGCAAACCACATGTTGCTAGGCTATTCAAATACTAGTTCACTCATAATCTTATGTTTTTTGAATAATTTAGCAACATGGCGGCTAACATCAGTCTTCAAAACACGCACGATTATGAGGGAACAAGTATTTGGACAAAATTATTCTAATGTACCTGAATAGCCTAGTCTATTCGAAATGCTTTTAGAATCACTTTTACAGGCTGCTTCATACTAATAAGTATCATCAATAAAGAGTCTGACATTATCGTGCAACGATCAGAATTACCTCTCTTCACATATCAGCGCACGTTGGTGGCATAGCAGTTAGGATGCTCGCCGACCATGCACATGGTCCGGGATTCGACCCCCGGCCGACTCACTCCTTTACCTCGCTAAGCCAGATATAATGCTGGTGAAGAGGAAAGGTTGGGCATGAGTCTAGCAACCCCATCCTGTAAAATAAACCCTGCTACAGAAACTTTAAGTCACTAGCTTGAAGCCTTATGTTCTACTGGGGAACGTGAAGGAAAAAATTATATCAGCGCGGTAACTAAAAGACAATAAAATTGAGGAGAAAAGTGAAAATAAAGTAATGAAAGACTGTAAAGTTTTATAAGGGCGAGAAAGAAATTTTAAAACATAAGTAAATAAGGTCTTACAATAAAAATGTTTTTGATTACAGCTTGATTCCACACCGTATTTTTGGTACAGGTATGGAATTTTCAGCATGTGATACCGGTAGCCCAAATTTTGCAGGCCGACCGTAGATATCAGGTGTGCGTCAGCAGGGGATCGAACCCCGGACCATGTGCATAGTCGGCGAGAGTCCTAACCACTGTGCCACCAACGCACTAAAAGATAAAATGAAGGTAAATCATGAATAGCTCTGCAACTACCGAAATAAATTCTATGAAATATCAGCTAAAGTCATCAAATAAATTCTAGTGAAGTTACTCTTCCTACTCATCCCTACACTGCTCAAAATAACAACGACTGAATTCATGTACTAGTGCTCTGTCTTGTTCTGTTCATCCTTAGATTTCTTCTGTGACCTTAACCACTGCCATGAGTATATAAATCTCTATAAATATTTTACTTTACTTTCCTATAGAGGCTTCAGTCCAGAATTCAAAAAAATGCCTTCACAAATAGTCAATGCTACACTTGAAATCTATAAAGGTGCTATGCAAAATCTCCTGCCAACACCAACAAAATCCCATTATCTTTTCAATTTACGTGATTTTAGTCGTGTTATTCAAGGTGTTCTGCTATCAGTCCCAGAATCAGCTGAAACACTCGGTTCTATGAAACGTTTATGGGTACATGAAGTATTTCGTGTTTATTATGATCGTCTAGTTGATGATGCTGACCGGGATTGGTTTTTCACTTTTATACGACAATGTGCAAGAACACATTTAGAAGTTGAATTTAATTCCCTATTTCAACATTTAGCTGGTGGTGCAACAGAGGTAAGAATTGTGTGTCTATTAATTTGTCAGGAATAAATAAAGCTTCAGTTTTGTTTTAATTAATAAAACACATACAGCGGAACCTAGAAAATGTCTGTTCCATCTAGATTTTCATACAAAACTAAATTTTATAACTTATGACTAGTAGATTAGTGGATTGACTGGCTGATCATCTGTAGGAATAGATACTGACACAAGAATACGTTTCTGTGATGAAGGATGAACACTTTTAACTTATCATTCATTAAAGATAGACATTCTTAAACCTGGCAACACATTTTTATACAGTTGTATGATGTAAATCTTTTCCCATAGGCAGCTAAGTTTTGTGTACACTAGCTGTGAATCATGTCACGACATAACCAGTTAATGTGCGTAGCCGGTAACTTCTGCAATTCCTCCTTAAAATGTGTAGTATTAGTATTAGTAGTAGCAGTCATAGTGGCATCGTTCCTCGTTATAGAAAAGTAGCGTACTAAGTTAACAGTTCATTGTTTATGGGCAGCTTTCGTTTATATGACACCCTATTCGTCCATCATTTTACACTTCAAAACAATACATCTGAAGGTTATTGATATAAGTATAAAACTTGGGCACTGTGGTAGAGTGTAACTCCATTATGGATAAGATTTTATTTTGATAAATCACACAGTGTTACACAGTGATATTAACTGATGATGTTTCGAGCACAAATTATTGCTCATAATCATATCAAGGTTAGGTTTAAAGTGGATTAAAATAATGACACAGTATTGATAAGTATATTCACATAATAACAAGATGGATGTTAAAAGTTATAAATAAAACTAAAAAGTATGTTATCAGTACTCTTATGATCAACATCACATGATTTGTTAAACCACTTGTGAGAAAATCCAAGATATGATCTTTAGTCAGTAATCTTTATGACATGATGTCTAGTCTCATTTTAAAATTTTTTACATGCACCGTAGGTGACTTTGTCTTTTGAAGGAGATAGATTTGACACACATTTTATTTGGATGGAGGATTTCATCATGAGCTGGCATCACTTAGAGAATCATTGGAAAACCTACAAGGAGTACTGGACAGCTGTTTCGTCCTAGTTTGGGACTCTTCGTCAGTACGCACCCACCACCGGGGTTGGAACCCAGGACCTTGTGGATACAAGGCCGGCGAGCTCATAGACCATTGAGTCACTGGAACCCGATCCGATGGCCCATGAATTCTAACTTCTGCCAATTTACGACATAGCGCAACCACTTCATAATATCTTCTTCGATGAGTTACTGGCTCATCTTCAACCTGCTGCACTCAGGTCACTGCCTGAATAGGTCCATTAGCTAGTGAGCATCAGATTAATTTTCAAGTATTGGTTTTGTAAGGATTTAGTTTGATTGGACAGAGGACTCCATCATGAGCTGACATCAGTTAGAGAACCATACTCGACACAAGTTTAAGAATTCCACAAATCGTTATATCCCTCTTGTTTGAAGGCCTACAGTAAGCCCCAACACTTCACTTGATGGTTTTTTTCACGGACAAGCCCGAAATATACTGTTTCAGTCCAAAATAGCGTGGTTCATTTTTGTGAATTAATTCTTCTGCGCATAAAAACAGTGTTTCTGGTCTCAGTATTCTTGAGGGTATTAGTCCTGTTTCATAAAACTTTTGTCTAACTACTATGATATGAAGTCGGACTGTTTATAGTATATAACTTTTGCTTAATTCTTTTTTCCAAATCACTGCATAAGTTCCTTTTTTTAAAATCCAATCTTCTCATAACTTCGGGAAGTTTTGAATTATTGTTTGTGAAGTTGTTCCAAAATTTTGATCTATTTATTTTTTTTGGCCTACTTATCTTTGATAATCAAGGTCACTGAGGATCACCTTCGATCGCTAATGTTCTGTGATTTCGCTGATCCTAAAGGAAAACGCAATTATGTAGAAGTACATGATGTAGAACAATTGCGTAAAGTAACTGAAGCATACTTAGAAGAATATAATCAACTAAGCAAGAAACCAATGAATTTAGTACTATTCCGTTTTGCTATTGAACATGTATGTCGTATAGCGCGTATACTGAAACAGCCAAGATCTCATGCACTACTTGTTGGTATTGGTGGTTCAGGACGTCAATCACTTACTCGATTGGCTGCACACATGTCAGATTTTGATTTATTCCAGGTATGTTTGTTTATACATTAGCCAATATGTATCTATGTTAATAAATTTATAGATATTTGTTTATTTTTTTGTCGAATACTGCATTTTTGAAATTTCATCACTTCATTCAGTCTGAAAAATCACCTAAATTATCAAAAAATAAATAGTTTACTTATCTAACTGTTTAACTAACTACTATATATCGTCATCGGAAGTTACAACATATTTTCACCACTGAAATAAGCTACCAGCTGTCGATAATTCTAGGGAGTTACATGATAACATCTTTTAAACTTGTGAATTTTAAAGTAAAACAAAATTTTTAGACGAAAGGTGTGAACATCTTCAAATAGTTTTATGCCAAATGAATGATTCATAACAGTGTAACGACAGAAGACAAGGGTCAGGCAACAGATCGTTTATTGAGAAAATCAACAGATATTTATAGATTTTTATGTACATTATTATTCGTTATTGTTAGCAGAGAAACAGCGTCCTCTGATTGGTTGTTTTCCTGCTGAAGGTTATTTTGTCGCCATTTCTTAGACAGTCCGTTGATATATCTGCGAAACGTATTCGCCCACGCTAAGTCTGCTGTGATTGGTTGGTGAGTTCCTCAATGTTAGGCTTTGTTCTTGTTTTCTCTCATGACCCCAATTCGGGAAGTAAACACACGTAAATTGGTGTTTGCAATTTTGGCTAGCAGACAGGTCTCACCACAATAATAATAATAGCTTTATTCTGGATAGTGTTTATAAAGTGTACAGAATTTTCAGCAAAACTTATTGCACGTAAAGTAGCAATTGAAAGCGGATCGCGTTACACACTGCTGTCTGACCTGAAGCGCAAACCAATGCCTCACGATATTCCCTATTTATCTCCTGTAGGAGACTTTATAGCGAGCTTGGTAACAGAATAAATATTAGAATAAAAATCCAATTTAGGGAAATGATGGTGTAGCAATATATTCTAAAAAATACAGTTAACGAGTTATATAAATGGATGGTTACTTGGTTATACAGTTAAAGTCCGCAACTACAAATTATTAATATAATCCGCAATAGTGTTCACTGTTGGAGTCGTGTCTACTAGTAGAAGCTTTGCTCCGGTTTGTGGAATAGTATTCGGATGATAGGTTCCTGCAAAATCCAAAGGATACAACACGGTTAGTAGTGAAGGAAGTAGACAGTATTGACCGGTGAGAAAACGAAGCGTTGAACAGCACACTATATTTTACATTGTACTCCAAAGTTATGTATATTTGACAATGAATCGTTTTAAACAAAAATTGTGTACAATGTTTCTATTTTTAACATCGAACGAAAATTTGTACGATCATATTGTTCCAGACTACACACTCCTTCGAGAAATGCATGACACTTAGATATATGCTAATTAAGAAAAGTGCAGGAGTACACTCTGGGGTCCAAGAACATAAGTGAATTATTACAGACTGCATGTAGTTACTTACTTATTTCTCAGGCAGTGGTAGTTTGTACTAAAAATCTCAGGAACAATTATTTCGTGTATCAGGATACACTGCCACCCACAATTATGCTTTTTCTTAAAATTGTAGACATTTTAAATACTCACGAGAGTATACATTTCCTTTGGAGGTTATATTTTAATAGATTAAAACAAAGTAAACAAGAAAAATCATATGCAGTGTAATCATGGCGGTCTGTGAGAGCATAGATTTTTAAGTAGGCTGCCTTAACTGGTATTTCAGCAGTGACATTTCTACTAGGGTGTTTTTATTGTCTATCATTTTGTGAACTGCTTATAGGTTCATAGCGTATACCATAACGTGATTTCCAGAGATACCTGTTGTGTTCAGATATATAGCTTAGTGTTTGCATTATCTAGTGTTACAAAGGAATTTTTAATGCACTCGTGACTTAATCAAAATAAGCAGTGTCACTGCTTACATATATTTATTGATTCACTGGTTGTTCCCACTAATTCTTCAGTTTAAAAGTAGTCTACAAAACCGTGGTGGCACAGCAGTAGAATACTCGCCAGCCACGCAGGTGATTCTGGGTTCGAACCCCGGTTGATAGATTCCCTTACCTCGCTAAGCCAGTAACTGGGCTGGTAAACAGGGAAGGTTGGGCATCAGGCTAGCAACCTCATCCCGTAAAAATAAATACCACTGCTACTGAAACTTCAAGCCTCTAGTCTGAAACCCAATGTTCCCCACTGGGGACGTAAAGGAAGAAAAACTATTTTAAAAAATTGTCCCGTTTCCTACTTGTTGAATCTGAAAAACAGTTATTTTCTCTTTTTTGTAACAGGTTGAAATAACTAAAAGCTATGGTGTTAATGAATGGAAAGAAGATTTAAAGCGTATCCTACGTAAATCTAGTGAAACGGACAATCATGCTGTCTTTTTATTCTCTGATGCACAAATTAAACATGAAGGCTTCCTTGAAGATATTAATAATTTATTAAATGCTGGTGAAGTGCCTAATTTATATCCAACAGATGAAAAAATGGAAGTTTGTGAAAAAATGCGTCAATTGGACAGAACAAGAGATAGAAGTAAACAAACTGATGGATCACCAGTAGCATTATTCAATTATTTTATACAACGTGTTAGAGAACAATTGCATATTGTATTAGCATTAAGTCCTATTGGTGATTCGTTTCGTAATCGTCTGAGAAAATTTCCTTCTTTAGTTAATTGTTGTACAATTGACTGGTTTCAGGTAAGTTGGTTAGATAGTTAGTTAGTATACTCTTGTGAATAACCTTTTGCTTTCATGGGTTTCTTTTTCCCATTTAAGCTGCAAAGTAATAGAAAGGGTTTTTTCCTTTATGCTGCTGAGTAAGGTCAGCAGACAGAAGACACTGTCACACTTTACGGAAGAGCACAAAACACTATCATACCGTAACCGAATATAATGTCTTGATTTCGAAGAAGGCATTGCATGAGAATGCATGATACATACTTATAGATGCTACTATCCTTTTTTGACTGGACACTAGTAACAAGTGTGATGTGTCTAGTCCTTTGCCTCCAACCATCTAATATCATCAACTTAATGTGCACCGTGACGGCGAGCTGCCTACAATGGTGGCCACATTACAAACCTGACTAAAAGAACACAGTCCACACCAAAGAAAGGACTAGACACATCACACTAGTTACTAGTGTCAAATCATAAATATCCACTACAGTCCTACAGGAGGTCAATCGCGAGCTCGAATAGCTCAGTGGTAAATTCTCTGACTGCAGGCGGCACTGGGTGACGCGGTTTCGAATCTTAGAAGGAACATGTGTTTCTTCAAGGTTGCAGATACGCCTTGCTGATGAGTGCCAACTAGCACGAAGCCTAGGTCCAAGGCTTTCTGCCGATTGCCTCCAACCTACTAATATCCTTTTTTGCGTGAAATAACTAGCCTAGTCAGATATCGCTCAAAGCGCTTTTAACCCTTCTGCTTTTAAAACTAAATCGTTAATCTTAACAGTTAATGGATTACTATTAGTCGACTGAACTAGAATCCGTAAATTACTATTCTCCAACTTCCTATTTCTGTTGCATAAATGAAAATGACTTCATACTTTTGAAATACAAGATTAAATAACCTCAGTCATCTTAATGACCTCTAAAAGTAACTAGATAACTTGAACTCCTATTAGCAAATTTTATATCTCTAATATAAAACGGTATCTACTTGATTGTATCCAAGAGCTTGACTGATAGAATTCAGTCTACACCCAACAAAGGACTAGACACATTAGACTAGTTATTAACTAATGTCCAATTAGTGGTAAAAACACAAATGTGAATATGAACAAAAAATAGATTAAAATTTACACAGTAATTGTTTTTGTATGCATCAAAAGTAAGTCTGTGTCTTTCTATAAAGTCCATAAACTTTCATTTGTTATCTAACATATTCATGTTTTCTTATCTTATAGGCATGGCCAGAAGATGCTTTGACAGCTGTTGCTACACGTTCATTAAAAGAAGTTGAAATGACAGATGAAATACGTAGTGGATGCATTGAATTATGCAGATTTTTCCATACCAGTACACGTGATCTATCAATGCGATTTTTACTTGAGTTAGAACGACACAATTATGTAACACCTACATCATATCTGGAATTGATTACAACATTTATGACACTGCTATCTAAGAAACGAACGTAAGCTTAAATATTTTAGCGTATGCAAGATTTTATTTCAAGTACATATGTAAATACAGGTGTCACGTTGTGGAAAATAGGAAAATAGGGCCCAACCTAATTCAAGATAATCTACCTAGTTAATAAAACTTGGGTGCTAATCAGGTTTTATTTTCACTTCAGAAAACTGGTGCTTTATTCACCCGTCGGATGAATGAAGAGTATATAGCACAGGTTCGAATGTAATGGGCGAAATGAGTTTCCACATTATCTCAAACAAATCATAACAATATTACTCCCTAGCTGTCCTTTGTCATCCAGTACCAAATCATTCCAAATGAATATTTACTGCTAAGACAAACTAATGCAGTCCAGTAATATCGGGTAGAAATCCCAGGCATGAGTAAATATTTACAAATCATACCGTTTGCACATAAAGTAACTCTTGTAGATCAGTAGCCTAGTCGACAATGCTGCGGCGTCCGAAACGATGGATCCTGGGTTCCAGTCTCGGTGGGAACATTGTTACTCACTGGGGAATAGGCACATCCAGATGACGAGTACCAAATAAGACGAAACTGGTATCCAGGTTTCTACTACCACCTACCCTTGAACAAGTAAATTAAATCTAGTTGACATAAAAACTAATAACCACTATCAACGGAAACTTCCACTACAATGTGGTCGAAAACTTTGTCCGGAATGTAGCTGAAACATTTCAGGAAATACTAAACACAATTTTAATACAGAACAGTTGTTTTCAATAAATTCTTCTTCAGGCTCTACAATTATAAATCCATTAATTTAAGCATACAATAGCCTGCCAGTAAAGGCAAATTAGAATCATATCAGAAAGTGTATTGTGGAACAAGTATAAGATGGGATGGAACAATAGTCAGATAGTTTTTTAATATGCATGGTCAATGAGAACATGGGACAAAATCAGATGAAGTAATTTAATTTAATGATGTGTGTATGTATATAAATATAGTCAACAGAAAATACAGGTTTCGAGAGTGTGTGTAATCAGGGTGTGTGAGACAATATGAAAATAAACCAACGAATGGGGCGGACTAGACATAAGTTCAAGGTTGAAAATAACGACAGTAAGAATGATTGTAAAATAATAACGATGATATGGTGTAAAATTACAAGCACTATTGGTGAATGATTGTCAGATAATAATAATAATAATGAATTTTATTGAAGTGGTGGAATGAACAGGATTTTGTAAATACGATAGCAAGTTAGAAAAGCATTACTTAAACCTAAGGTAATAAAATCATAAGAAAGGTCATGAAATCATAAAAGTCGAAAATGAACGTTTGTCAATGAAACAGAGGAATAGAAGAAGAAGAAAAGAAAAGAAAATTGTGAAAGGAATTTATAGTGTGAATGGAGGATTTGTTGGCTTTATTGTAGGCCAAGGTAAACATAGTGGTTGAACATACCTCTTCTGTATGCAAAGAGATGGTCTTCTGGTATTAATTGCCACCGCTTCAGCTACTGATAGAAGACGTAGTCGAGCTCCTCTAGATAAATTACTAGGAACGTGGTAAATAACTGAGAACTCCTGGTCAAGTTTTATCGGGTCCCGTATCTACCAAGTGGGCTAAGACTGCACTATTTACACATTTGGTTACTCCTTTACTCAACTATACAGGTACATGTTCATGCGCGCATTGATAAAGCCCTCTGAGTACGGCCAATGTTACTAGCTCCACATGAGCAGTTGAATTCATAAATACACATTAATGAGGCCGTCTTTGGTAATTTATCCTTTACTTGCTGTGTGAGTACTGGTTTAGTTGAGAAGTTGAATACCAGTTTAGCTGCTCTATTAAGTCGACATTTTAGAATGTCAGCTGCAATTTTAATAAACTTTTTTTTAAGTAACATGGAAATAGTGTTACCAAGTGACGAATGAATACCGTAGTTTCCCCGAGCTTGTATACGAACTGTTCACTTCTACTACTAGTGTCACCTACCCTAGACAAATAAATATGCTTTTTTAATTGTATTGCTTTTTCATTTAAAGAGAAGTATTAACACAGAAAAGTCGCTATGAAGTTGGTCTAGAAAAATTGAGTAGTGCAGCAGAAGAAATTGGTGTCATGTCTAAAGAATTACAATCTCTTCAACCAAAACTTGTACATGCTAGTAAAGAAGTTGATGCAGTTATGGTTGTCGTTGAGCAACAAAGCGCTGAAGCAGCTAAACAAGAGAAAACTGTACGTGTCGATGAAGCTATAGCTGGGGAACAGGCAAAAGCTGCAGAAGCAATTAAAGAAGAATGTGATGCTGATTTAGCTGAAGCTATACCTATATTAGAATCAGCCTTAAAAGCGTTAGAAACACTGACACCTGCAGTAAGTTACACATGTAATATTACTTAATGTATTCATAGTTAAGGCATATGAGAAATAAGTATTTTCCTTCATACATGAAGTTTTGAAATAATGCATGTATATAGAATAATAATAATAATGATTTACCTTATTCCAAAAACAGTACTTCTGATACACAATGGAATTTTCAGCATTAATCACAATATTACATCTAATTTCCTCAAATTATAAATAAAATTAATCACACAGAAAAACTTTTCCACATTTACAGTAGGGATAATTTCAAAACATGCAGCATATAAACTGGAAATAATAGTAATGATAACAGCTAAGGTAATAATACTAATACAAGTGAAAATTGCGGTGGGTTTGTTTCACACAATATTGTCGATGCGGTGTAGAAATCCTAGCATGTTTAAAAATATTGAATATAATGTTCTCTTTACATGATATGGTGAGGGAAAAAACAAAGATTACAGCAGTCATAGAGATAAGTTGGTGTTTGCAGTTATGAAAGTAAAAACAAAGAAGCAATAGGACCATAAATATAATAGAAATAATAAAAGTAAAACTTGAAGGTATATAAGGATGGATGGAGGAAATTGTTTATTTACTGGGTGAAAAAAGGTTAGTTAATCCTTGCCTGACGCTATTTTCATCACATAAAATACGTGCCAAGTATGGTATCATAGAAATTTTATACTTAGACGTGCGAGCATACAGTTTTCTGAAGTTACTTCTTGTTCTACCATGAGGAGATGCAAGGTGAAAGCTGAGGGTGAAGTGGATGCTCCAAGTCAGACAAAATCCCTTTAGCAAATTTATTGCATGAAGTCAAGTGCCTATCAACAACGACGTTAACCATGTAGTCCACTGGGACACCACTCACCCTACTGACAGTCTTCAGCATTCTACGAATTGTGACAAAGTCCATTTTAAGCAAACCAGGAAAGAATTAGGGTTAACAATAAAGAAGAATAGGTAGGATGCAAGAGTTTATGAACTGTAAGAGGAAGGGTTGAGTTATACCCGAGTGCCTTAACTTCTCAATGTAAAATGTCAGGTGGAATATTTTACTGGAGATTGCTAAGACATGGGAAGACCAGGAGAGATCAGAAGAGAGAATAAGTCAAAGATACTTAATTTCTGATTTAATTCCTATATCATTGTCGTCAATCTTACAACTGTCATGAGAATCGACGGCTTCTTTTAACTGTCTTTTACATCTTAAGCTGAAATTAACATTAACAGTTTGACATTTAGAAGGATTCAGTTTAAGACCGTTAGAAGGTATTCTACAAATATAAATCAAGTACTTTCATCTAGGTCGGGTAATAAATCAGAGAGAAAAAGACTACCGTTAAGATTCGATATCACTGAGTTTATATCTCATCTCTGCAGGGGAATAACAAACGATCATTTTGGTAAAACCAGATAAGTTTAAGCGAAAACTTCCTTTGTAGTAAAAACAAAAATACCCTAGCAATAATCATGTTTAATCAAAGCACCACAGAATAATATCCAGTTCTAATCGAAAGTTGCACAACATTATTCGTCTTTTTCTTTCTATTTGTATTATTCATTTCTCTCTCTCTTATTACTCCTAAATTCTTTATCTCTTTTTCTGCCAACTTCTATCCTGATGTAACCTCATTAATTTTCCCAACTTGATTTGTTCGGCTCAGAATATTTTGATGTTGATATAAGTGATCAGTTTTTCAACCTTGGCTAACTCGAAGTTGGTATGTCATTAAGTCTACTTTGCTGTTAATAATACGACCTCTCAATGCAGACAGATAATCACATACACTGAAAATGGAAGTAAAAACCAATCAGTGGCAATTGATTTTATTTTAGATGGTTGGGGGTGATTGTCAAGAAACCTTGAACTTAGTAGGCCTTGTGATTGTTGGCACTCATCATTGGGGCGCACCTATAATCTTGAAGGAATCCATGTCCCCCGCGAGAAATAAATACTCATCTCAATCAATCGGTAGTATACAGTTTTACGCAATTATGATTGCTTTCTTGATTACCATTTATAGTGTCAAAAAGATCACGCACTAATATCTGAATAATTTTTGGTTTCCACCGTAAACCCCTCCAACTGTGTACACTGCAAATTGTGAATTTGACTTATGGTTACTCCAGTTCACCCAAATAGCTAGCCAGAAACCTCGTGCTTTGAACTCATTCTACTCTCTGACCTTAGTCGGGCTGCGTAAGCAGCCGATGAACTCGGCGTCAAACACACGAAACATCCATCTGGTGTTTACTTCAATTCGATCTGGCTAGCAATCACTACTGGTTGATATGAGCGGTATACAACTACTTATATCGATTAATCAGTAGTATATAGTTTCAGTTTCGAGCTTTTCTTCTCAAACATCAGTGCTAGCCATTATAATGAAACTAAGTTGATATTTCTGAATTGTTTGGGGTTAAATCTCAAACACTGGTTCGGACATTTTTTGGAGAGAAATATAACAGGATAGACCATCTATTGTATGATTTTTAATAATAATAATTAATCACACTTCTCACTAATTTCGTTTTATAATAAAATTTACAAATTGAGTAATAATAATAATACATTGCAATATTTTTACTAACATTAGCCCATCTCACTCTCTATGTTGAGCGTTTTACAATACAATTCAGTCTAATTGATTTTTAACTGATAACTCACGCTGCTCAATAAAGTAATTGCAATGGTTATTATCTAAATGATATTCGGTTGTAACCTTACTGACATCAAAACCAACTAAATAACAGGAAGATTACACTCTTTTGGAGGAGTTTCATTCGACACTGTGTAGTTTATACAGAACTTCCATTTCCTTTATTCGTTTTACTTCATACTATTGACCTATCATTGTTGTTATCTAATTGGACTCCGATTGGAACATAGGGCTTGGACAGCACATCTTCATCTTGTCTTGTTCTCTGAAGTCCTCTTCAGCTCTCTCGACGGCCGCCCGTAAGCTTTTATCTCCTCCTGTATTATACTAATAAACAGATAGTAGTAGTAGTTTTTCCTTTATGTTCCCAGTGGAATATAGACCTTCAAGGTAGAGCTTCGAAGTTTCAGTAGCACTGGTGTTGTATTTCCCTACAGAGTGGGGTTGGTAGCCTTATACCCAGCCTTCCCTTCTTTACCAATCTTATTACCAGTTTAGAGAGGTGTAGGAGTACGTCAGCCGGGTATTGAACCCCGAACCACATGAGTGGTCGGAGAGCATCCTACCACTAAGCCACCGATACACCAATAATAAACAGATAAATTAGGTCTAAATTATTGTCCATATCATTCGGATTTCTATAACCTTCACTTTGAACATCTTCATTTCCAGTCTACTTCCGTGAATTTTCATCAATCCTTAGGAAATTCCCTTACCTTAAGGCAACAAGATGAGAGGATTTTAATTTAACAGGAAAACTCACACTCCAGGTCAACTGTAAATTGAGCAAGTTGATATTACACTTGTTAGAATAAATATAATTACAAGTTGATTGTCTCATCTTAACGAATTCACTTCTAACCGTTATCTGTTGATCATTTGTTCAATGTGCCCAGTGAACTACGTAACTCTACACTATGGTGTACATTCTGTCTGTTAAACCATTTTATTTATATTACGATTCATCAGTAGAATAAATCTGAAACCTTGAGAAAACTTGAGTTCTCTCAGACATTTAAGCTCGTGACATTATTCGTCCAAGAGGGTATTAATACTACTTGCTTTATTTTAACGTAAATTGACCACCCATAGGGTTGGCTTCTCATCATTAGGTCTTCTATTTATACTTTCAACCACGTGTGTGTGTATAAATCGTTTGTCCCCTCTATTAAGTGTCTTCCTTCTTTTTTTTCTTTTTTAATTGACAGGATATAACTATTGTTAAAACTATGAAATCACCACCAGCTGGTGTACGCTTAGTTATGGAAGCTGTTTGTGTCCTCAAAGGTATTAAACCAGATCGTATTAATGATCCAGGTGGATCAGGTAAAAAAGTTGAAGATTTTTGGGGTCCATCAAAAAAACTACTTGGTGATATGAAATTTTTAGAAAATTTAAAAAATTTTGATAAAGATAATATCCCACCACCGATCATAAAAACAATCCGTGAACGCTATATACCAAATCCAGATTTTAAACCAGAACGTGTTGCAGTTGCTTCAACAGCTTGTGAAGGTTTATGTAAATGGGTAATAGCTATAGAACGTTATGATGTAGTAGCTAAAATTGTAGCACCGAAAAAAGAAGCTTTAGCTAAAGCAATGACTGAGTATCAAACAGCAATGAATGCATTAAATGTAAAACGTGCTACATTAAAAGAAGTACAAGATAGATTAAAATTACTTACAGAAAATTTAGAAATGAATAAACGTAAAAAAATTGAACTTGAAGATAAAGTTGATACATGTACAAAAAAATTAGAACGTGCAGAACAATTAATCGGTGGTTTAGGCGGTGAAAAAACTCGATGGACAGAAGCAGCTAAAAATCTTGGTATACAATATACAAATCTTACTGGGGATATACTCATCTCTAGTGGTTTAGTTGCTTATTTGGGTGCATTTACATCAACATTTCGTCAAGAACAAGTTAAGATTTGGTTAAATGAAGTTGTTAGTCATTCTATTCCATGCTCAGAAACATTCAATTTGGTTAGTACATTGGGTAATCCAGTGGATATTAGAGCATGGAATATTGCTGGACTGCCAACTGATGATTTTTCAGTTGAAAATGGAATAATTATTGCGTAAGTCAAATATTTTTCTTAGTTTTCTTTTTCTCTTTTATTTAAACATTTTTAAAACAGGTAGTTCCCTTTATGAATTTAGACAAAGCAATAAGAAGACGTAATTTGTCTGAATCGTGTAATGTATTTGCGCAACACATTTCGAACAATCTGATCACACACGGATTTGTCATAGGAATATGCGTGAAATTAATGAAGAGTTAAAAGGTAAGGAAATAAATGTATTTAGGTCAAGTTAAAAGGACATACTGAAGGTCAAAATAAGATCACTAAACCAAATAACAGAGGTAATAGTACACCTGCTATGGTATCAAAACAACGTTAACCAAGGAAGGTTAAGTGTGATGACGAATTGTTTTCGAACGCATAAAGGTGGTTTAAACTTTCTAGTTGCTAGGGCTTCCACAAACTTTAGGATACGCCCCAAACATGTTTTATAGATAGGTTTAAAAGATGTGTAAACATCAATTTTATGTCCTGTCTCTATAATATGCTTCAAAATAGAGGAGCTATGTCTCCTGTTCTCACCATTAATGGGTTCTGAAGATTCTATATGTTTCTGGAGCCATTTAGGAATATGCTGTGAAGCCCTTACTTGCAGAGATCGATGAGTCCTCCCTATGTATGTGTGTCCACACGTACATTCAAATTGATAAATACATTGGGATGTGACATCATTATTCCCACGTTCAAAGGGCTTAGATAGATATATTAGCTTCACATTCTCAATTGTTATCATATTAGCTGCATAAAAAGTCTTTTCAACAGCAATGTTCAATCTTTGTCCAGTTATAAAGCTGCTATGATGCCCCATATAGGGTAGCTTGATGTACACGTCTTTCTTAGGAGCGAGTTGGAGAGTGGGTCTTGGTGTTCTGACTACTTTATATCTCCTGATGAACTTGTCTGGATAATTGTTATCAGCCAGAGCTTGTATCAACTTTCTCTCTTCTTCATCAAGTGTGTCTTCAGTGCATACTCTTTGGATTTTACTGAAGAGGCACCTTACTAAGGCTCTTTATTAATTTCATACATATTCCTATGACAAGTCCGTGTGTGATCAGATTGTTCGAAATGTGTTGCGCAATTACATAATACACAATTCAGACAAATTACATCTTCTTATTGCTTTCTCTTTTATATTTTAGTTTGAGTAGAAACAAAGTCTAAGCAGTAGTGGTTGAATTCAAACTTAAGTTCAACTTTGTAACGGGCAGTAGATGTTTGAATAAAAGAATCACCAGTTTACTTCCAATAAGAAATTATGATTAGAGATTTTAGAAATTTCGTGAACTAAGTTACTTGCTGTATTTGACATTATTGTATCAAAATTGAAAAGCAAGATGAATTTACTACTTATTACTTCGATATAATTGTTTAACATTCAATGGTCAACGCCCAATCGTCAAAAAATTGCACACTTTCAGAATTTATTGTTTTCTAGCTATTATGATTAAATACACTAAGGTAATAACAATAGGTAGCTTCAAAAACGATTTTACTTTTTAGAGTTAAATTATGAATACATGCTGTAAAGGTGGTACTTCGAATAGATTAAAATAATCACTGATATATTTAAAATAAGTAGAACTTTAGGGCATTTATTTTTTTTATATTACTTTATTATATTCCTTTGAGTTCCCAGTGGAACATAAGGTTTCAAGCTAGAGCTTTAAAGTTTCAGTAGCAGTGGTGCCTTTTTTACAGGATGGGGTTGCTAGCCTCATGTCCAACCTTCCCTCTTCACCGGGATTACTACCGGCTAAGCGAGATAAAGGAGTGGGTCGGTCGGGGATCGAACCCTAGAACTCTGAGCTTGGTTGACCAGTGTCCCACCACAGAACCACCGACGCTTTAGGGCATTACTTATATTTTTTAATCGTTAATGTAGAATAAAATATAAAAACGTACAGCACATTTCACTTTTAGGTCATGAAAGTAACCAGTTATTAGACCTTAGGCAAAATCATATCTAGGTACAAAAAATCTCTGAAAGCATAAAAGGGGTTTCAATAAGTGCTTTGAACAATAAATTTCAACATAGACTTCGTTACAAGCCAACATAAGTTACAGATCATTAAAAAGCAGACGGTTGTTTCGTCCTAGTATGGAACTGTTTGGCAGTGAACAGCTACAGCTGCATCAGATATTGAACCCGGCACCTCCAGGATATGAAAACAAACTCGCTGACTATTCAACCCTGGGTGTGTATTGCTGAAGAGTCCCAAACTAGGATGAACCAGCCTTTCAGTATTCGATGGTTTTCGATTACCTCCAACCGATGTTAGCTTATGACGAAATCTCCACTGAAATTAATCCAAATGCTTACAGAAACCCATATTCTAAATTTCAGTTAAATGTTTTAACTTGAAGTCTTTGAGATCAAATAAAATAAGGAACTTGAAAATGACTTTTGATCAAAGAAAAAATTAATGATTTGTTATATACTAGTAAGTGCACTAGGGTAAAAATGAACTCATGACTGAATAAAAATACATATGACTTTCTTCTTTTATGGTTTTCATCTAACTTATATCTCAAGTACAGAGATAACTAAGGTCCTGAAAGAGTAAGCATTGATTGAATTTGTATTGTGTGGTAGTGCATAATTGTTTGAAGTCACAACTAGTGACAATCTTGTCAGAAAAGAAAAAGATATTCAGTGGAATTTAGTATTTATCACTGCTGAGCGTCAGTGATTCAGCGATAGAACGCTCGTCAACCACTCATTTGGTCTGGAGTTCGAACCCCAGCTGGACGCACTCCCATACCTCGCAAAACCACTGCTGCCGAAACTTCAAAGCCCTGGCTTGAAGCCCTATGTTCCACTGGGGACGTACAGGAATAAAATTTAAAAAATACTGCTTCTTAAGTGGAATTTAAAACTGTTTTTAAAGCAGAGGAGCTTTAATTCCCAGAGATGATTCAAGAAGGTGTACAGTCACAACTATATTTAGTCATATTATGAAATGACTTATTAGTTCTCCCCCTCTTTTATAACAAGTAAATTGTTATCAAGACAAGACTTGTTCAAAGAACTATTTACGTACAAATTATAAATAAAATTCTTTTTCGATATAAGGATAAAACTTGGGCACTAAAGTAGAGTATAATTCCATCATGGGTAAAGTTTATTTTGATAAAGTCACACATTATTATACAGTAATATTTACTGATGACCACGTTTCGAGCACAATTTATTACTAATAATCATATCAAGTTGATATGATTATGAGCAATAGATTATGACTTTATCAGATTAAATTTTATCCATAATGGAATATTCTTTTTTCAAGTGTTTCTGCATCCTTTAAATGAAAACGACATTGAAACTGAGCCGTACACTGAATTCGCGGTGTAGATACAATTCTTACACTTACCTAATCTAATTCTGTGTATCACTGAATCAGACTATTAAACTAGTATTAAAAAAATAAATGCTTTTACTGTTTGCCACAGCTGTTAAATTCATTGAATTTCTTAATCAAATTTTGAGATAAACGATGAAACTGGTATTATTAAAACTACAATTTATGATATAGTTTGAGTGTACCTTTCTGCATATATATATCACATAAGTTTGTGACATTTCTATTATTCCCTTGAGTTCCGAGTGGAACATAGGGCTTCAACAACACATCTCCATTTTGTCCTATCTTCTGTCATCCTATTCAGCTGGGTCCAAGATTACCCGTAATCTCTCATCTCCACTTCACACGATCTCCTCCATGTCACCCTCGCATCGATGACGCACTCGTCGCTTTCCATTGGGATTCTACTCAAACAATGACCTATGTTGCGCGCGATTTCATTCAATGGCCTCCTCAACGTATGCCCGATCTATCTCCATTTTCTCCTACATATTTGTTAAGCAATCGGCTCTTGCTTGGTTTGTTCTTAGCTAGGGTTTCTTGTTGCTAACCCTTTCTGGCCGGCCGGCCATTTGATCCTCAATATGGAGCCAGCGAAGTGGGCAGCTGTTGATAAAAGTTTTCAGTAGACTGTTGGGAATGCCGTGAAAGTTTCTGGACCGTATAGAAGGACTGACTTGACATTGGTGTTAAAAATCCGAATCTTGTTCTTTATACTGCGGAGTGCAGATTTCCAAACTGGTTTCAGGTTGATGAAGGCGTATCTTGCCTTTTCTATTCTAGCTTGTTTTGACATCTTCATCCGTGCTGACTGCCTGTGGTTGAGACGATGCTTACTGGATAAGTGAAGGAAGTAACCTCTGTTAAATCTCTCTTGTTGATAGTGATTGGTGCTAGTTGTTTTTGTGATATACTGATGAGTATTTACAGATCGGTTTGTGTATATCTTGCCAACTGTATTTTGTCAACATAAAAAACATAAAGATATAAGTCTTCTTTAAATAAAGTCGACAGAGTTCATAGATGTAAATGTCAGTTACCCACCCAATAACTGTTAATTCGAAACCCGTCTTTCTCATTCAATATAAAATAATATTTTACGATGAAATAACTATTCCTAAGAAAAACGATTTTAACTATTCGAATCAACAGTGAACAGTTTTGAATAGAAAACTATTTAAAAAATATACTGAATTATGAAAATCTGTAATGATACTAGAAGTCTGAATTTTATACTATTGACAGATAATTAACTACTGTTTACAGTTTAATATAGACTGGATAATGGGACAGAAAACAGGCAGCGAGGAAACAGGCATAAAATGGACCCACACAAGACACTTGGAGGATCTGGACTTCGCCGATGATATATGTCTGATTTCCCACAAACTGGAAGATGTGCAAGTGAAAAGCAACAAGTTAGCAGAAGAAACATCAAAGATAGGACTTCGGGTGAACATAGGTGATGAGGATTCCTGGCAACAACAACAACAAACAACAATCAGCATAAATGGGAGAAATTTGAAAGAAGTAACCTCCTTTACCTACCCGGGAAGCATCGTTTCAACTACAGGCGGACGGAACTGATGAGGATATCAAAGCAGCGAGGATCGGGAAAGCAAGGCAAGATTACATCACTCTCAAATCTGTGTGGAGATCAACATCATTCACCATGAAAATGGAAATAAGATCAGGATTCTCAACTCCAATGTGAAGTCAGTACTACTAAACGGATCAGAGACTTGGCGCCGCGCCGCGTCATGAAGGCCACTGCGAACAAACTACAGACCTTCATCAACACCTGTCTTCGCCCAATACTATTCAAAATCAGATGGCCGGCCAGAAAAGATCAGCAACAGAGATCTCTGGGAGCGAACCAACCCATCAGGAACCGATTGTGCAACAAATATTCAGGAAGAAATGGAGGTGGATTGGCCATACTCTGAGAAAACAAACCGTCATCAAGTGACATCATACACCAGGCCTCGGTTCGAGTGGGACTTGAATGGGAAGCGGCGAGTTGGTCGTCAGTGCAAGGGTGACATGGAGGAGGTCATGTGAAGAGGAGATGAAAGCATGTTGGTAGACATAGAGCCAGGTGAAAACGTTGGTAGAGAACCGAACGCAGTGGAGACGTGTGGCTGTAACCCTATGTTCCTCTAGGAACTAAAGGAAACAATAATAATGGAATAATACTAAAATATATGAACAAGAAATAGTATTCACTTGTATCACACATCAGTAAATGAATACTTATCGCCTTAGTTTCGATGAAATTTTTTACTTATTTCTTTTTAGTAATGCAAGACGTTGGCCACTGATGATAGATCCAACTAGTCAAGCGAATAAATGGATTAAAAATATGGAGAAGAAAAATAATCTACAAGTTATCAAGTTAACAGATACTGATTTTGTGCGTACATTAGAAAACTGTGTCCAATTCGGTACACCAGTATTATTAGAAAATATTGGTGAAGAATTAGATCCAATGCTAGAATCATTATTGTTAAAACAAACATTTAAACAAGGCGGTGCACTGTGCATTAAAATTGGTGATTCAATTGTTGAATATTCTTCAGAATTTCGTTTTTACATGACAACTAAGGTAAGTTTATCACGTTTTCTGAATAATAATAATAATCTAAGCAGCTGGCTGTCGAGTTGTAATGATGTAAAAGATCTTTGTTACGCAATAAACACTATTCACTTGATTTTCTTTGCATATGAGAAATTTAGATATATATGTAAAAAATTGTATTTGTATAAATCTCAGTGAAATTGAGATAAACGAATTCAACATTTCGTTCGGTAAAATGATTCGAACTTATTCGGGGGAATTATCAGGATTAAAATATCAAAACTGCAGATGAAAGGGCACCATCTTGACATGAGAATTCTTCTGCATTCATGCTTGGTCATTAACAGTTATCCAAAGCAAGATAAACAAAAATGCACGGACTGTAAATTATTCTACGCTCTATTTTGTTATACGCTTTCTAGCCATCTTTAATGAAAATATTTGAATAAAGGTCATGATGGTGACCTGGTACGTAGTTAGGAAATATGAATTAGAAAATATATTTGCGATATACAGTAATGTGACTGGGTGAACAGTTGAAGGATAACAAGTTGGCAGAAGAATCAGCAAAGACAGGACTTCAAATAATTACAGAGAAGGTGGAGATGATGAAAGTAACCAACCAACAACAAGCTCCAAACACTATCAAAGGAAGAAATTTGAAATAGGTCACCTCCTTCATTTATCTAAGAAGTATTGTTTCAGCTACAGGCACTACGGATGAAGATGTCAAAACCAGAATTGGAAAGGTACAGTACACCTTCATCAATCTGAAATCAGTTTGGAAATCTTCTGAACTCAGAATAAAGAAGGAGATTCGAATTTCCAACGCCAATGTTAATTCATTCAGTTCCTCTATATGGATCTCAAACTTGGCGTGTCATGCAAAGCATTTCTAACAGTCTTCTGTAAACTTTCATCAACAACCGCCTCCTCTAACTCCACAGTGAAGATCAGATGGCCAACCAGAAAGAATCGGTAACAAGGAACTCTGGGAACGAACCAATCAATAACCTATAACCCAAAAAATATGTGGAATGAAACAGATATAGATCAGAAACACGTTGGAGCGACTATTGAGTGACATCGCGCGCCAGGCCATCGCTTGAGTGGAATCTGAATGAGGATCATAAAGAGTTGGGTGTCCAAGGGTGACGTGCAAGAGATAATATGAGATCCTATTGTTAGTCATACGGCCAGCCAAAGGGGACCGCAGAGATTAAGACAAAATACAGATGTGCTGTTGAAGCCCTATGCCCCACTCAGAACACATGGGAATAACAATATTGTTTGCAGTTGCGAATTATTAGTATGACAATTTAAATTTTCAGTTACATTTATCCACGATGAAAATATCGGTAATTCCAATGGCTTGTAAAAATATAATCTTTACCTATGTCTACTTTCCACTCGGTGACCAATGTTTGTGGAAATATTTCGGTCGGTCGGTTTTTGACATAGAACTTTGCACATATGTGCGGCAGTTGAAGTCGCCACACTCCATGTAGCACACAAAGCAAGAGAAGAAAGTAGGAGAAATGCATATTAGAGACAGTAAACAGAGGTGTGAGACAAAGGAATAGCAATAACGGAGAACAAAAGTTTAATTGGAAATCATAGGTCACAAGGAGTGGTTGCAACTGCGCCACTGAGAACGATTTTGAGCCATGTCACCAATCGTTTCCAACCATTGGTTTTTACCGTCCCGAGGACCCCAACCAGGAAGTCTGCACCTTCCTACGTGGCTTAGACTGACTGTTGTGGATTTCATTGACTGGTGCCAAGTTTTCGTTTGACCGCCGCTAGCTCTTTTCCAGCCTGGCCCTATATCAGCTAACATTGCGCATTGTTGAGGAAGGCGATGACTAATCATACGTAGCACATGTCTTAACTATCGCAGTCGATGTAATTTCACAGTCTCGTCGACTGATTTTCCCGCCTTACCTAGCACTCGACGCCTAACCTCAATATTGCTCACCTTATTATACCACTTCACGCGGGAGATGGAACGCAGACACCTATGATCGAACACAGATAATCTTTTCATGTCTTCTGCTCTCAATGGCCAGGTCTCACAGCCATAAAGGAGGACGGAGCGGACTGTTGAGCAGTACACACGCCCTTTGCTAGAAAGTCGGATATCGCGTCTACACCAGAGACGGCGTAAACTGGCATATGCGAACCTAGCCCTCTGTATTCGTGCTGAAATTTCGTCGGAGATCAACCCGTTGGGGCTGATGGTACTTCCCAAGTAAGTGAAGTGGTCAACGTGCTCTACCACTTCACTTCTTATTTCTAATCTAGGGGTCGGTGAAGTCCAATCCTGCAGCATCATCTTACATTTTACAGGGGCGAATCGCATGCCAAACATACGAAGATTGTTGCTCAAGGTGTTCAGTAGACTCTGCATTTTGTCAGCGTCAAATCTTGATCAGAATTCATTTAAATTATAAGAGATTTGTTTGCATATTTATGTTATCCTCAATAAATATAATTCACAAGCATGGATTTGCAGAAATTTGTTTGATCTCAAATCAAACTCTAAAATGACGTCAGTTAGAAGACTATTAAAAATCGAGGTGTTCTGTACTGGAAAGCTGTTTGATATTAATAATAATACCTTTATTCTGGACAGTATTTATATAATGTACAGAATTTTCACAGAAGTTTACTGCAAGATATTTTCCCTTCGTACAATATCTTCAAGTAAACTACTAACTGACAGCATATTCTGTGACACAATGCTCTCTGAGCTGAAACACAAACTATTCCATTATTATATATCCATCTGCTTTGTCTCCTTCAAGAAACCCATGATATCTAGATGAAAGCCAATTGTAAGATTTTCAGAAGTACATTTTGAGACTCAAGGACCTAACTGAAGAACAGTCATCTCATGTATTGGAACACGTTGCCGCCCACAATCAGGCCTTTCTCCAAGTTTAGTAGGAACTTGAGAATCAGAAGCTTGTAGACATTAAAAATACACATCAGAGTAGATAATACCATTAGAGGTCATATCTTAATCGATTAAAACAAACTGTACGAGAGGAAACATATATGCAATAGAGAGATGGAAGCTGTTGGTAGCCCAAGTTTTAAGCAGGCTGCCTATACTAGCAGTTGTAGTCTTGGACTACTAAGAAGTTTGTACCCATAATGTCACTGGGGATTGAACCCAGAAACCTTCAGGTTACAAGGGGAATCAATAAATAACAGAACTGTTGACACAGAACTTGACTTACTTTAAGAATAAATAGTGAGATACCAGTATCTCGTATCTCTCATATTTATCTAAAAGCTGTAACATAGTTCTGAAACATGTAATTAAACTAGTATGTTATTTAATTCAAAGGTTATAATTTCCGCAAGCTTGAGTGGAAAAGAAATGAATAGGAAGTGATTTGCAAAAGCCCTCTCAACATTTCATATATATTATAGCCCGTCCTAAACAAAGCTAACAGTAAATGCTATTCCTACATCTATATCGTTACGTAATTTAGGATAGAATGTACCAAAATGATACAGAAGCTAAGCTGAATCACTTAATTGTCAAGCGACTTCTTTACAAAATGAACGCAAAGTGTAAATTCGAATCAGTGATCTCTAAATTATCTATCTAAAATTCAATCGTGAACAGATAATACTATTTAGAATCTGGAACAAAATAAAACGAATTCAAGTTCCTCTCATCTGATCACAGAATATATATAAAATCAACAGGCAGATAAATTTGAAGTCGTAGGAAAAAACAATCGATGAAACGACTGGAGCTTCAACAGAGGCGGAACAGTGAATGTAACTACTAATCAATCATCTTTAGTTTGATGATGAGAAAGGAGTTATACAAACTTACAGTAATACAGCTAGAATATGAATTTTAACAAATAATAATAAACCTGATAAAATTCTATGATATGAACGGTTACGATGCACTCTGATGAGAGCATCGATGTCTTCGTACAACTATTCGCAATAAACTCTAGGCGAATATGAGATCTGGAAGTGTGTGTGTTTGAGTACTATAATTCATATTTTAATAGAAGAATTCAACGTATGCATATCATTCTAGTTACATCTGCATCTGTCATTCCTCGTTGATCTTAATATTAATTAGCTTTAGGAAGCTGACAGTAGATCAATTTCTAAGGTGAAAGTGTCGGTCAAAACCGCGTTTATGATAGATTACCTCTTGTTGACAGATTATAAATTGAATGGTAGGTTTTAGTATATCTTGTGTTACTCAGTGGCTTCATATTAATTACTTCAACACACCGTGGGAACAGCAACATAGTATTTCGTGTTTTATTGGTTGGAGGATTTCATCATGAGCTGACATCACTTAGAGAACCATTAGAAAACAAGCTGGGAGTACTGGACAGCTGTTTCATCGGCCTAGTTTGGGACTCTTCATCAGTATGCACCCACCGGGGTTCGAACCCAGGACTTTATGATAGCAAGGCGAGCTCGTAGACCATTAAGCCACTGGGACCTGACCCAATGGCCCATAAACTCTGACTTCTGCTGCTCACTAGCGACTGGTCCTGTTTAGGTAATTACCTGGCGTTCTAGTGGGAAGTTGTGAACAGTAGGATACAAGAGGTTGAAGATGAGGCAGAAACTCATCGAAAAAGACATTGCGAAGTGATCGCGTTATGTCGGGAATTAGCAGAAGTTAGAATTCATGGACAGGCGATTGGATCGGGTCCCAGTAGCTTAATGGTCTACAAGCTCACTGGCCTTGAAACAAGGAGGTCCTGGGTTCGAAACCCTGTGGTGGTGGGTTCGTACTGTAAGGAGTAACCAGAAAGTCCTGGACTCGAAATGTGGTGTGGGTGCGTACTAACGAAAAGTCCCGAATTAGGCTGACGAAACAGCTGTCCAGTACACCCCGTAGGTTTTCCAATGGTTCTCTAAGTGATGTCAGCTCATGGTGAAATTCTCCAACCAATCAAACAAAATCCCTACAAAACCAACACCTGAAAATTTCGTGTTTTATTAGATGATAACATAGTTTCAATTCAAATCTACAGGTCACTCTGCCTTCACTTCAGCAGAAGATAAACTCATCTAAGTAAAGATTACTTCAAACAGACGTATAAATGCCTAGATTTTAGTTCATATTATGTTTGAACTTTAAAAATTTGCGATTAGTGCATATTATGTTTAGCTTTACTTGTCAAATAACAGTAGAATATTGCCAAAGTCCTCTGATTATCATCTTACACTTTCCTTTCATGTAACGGTCTGTCATTCTATCTTTGTTGTTGTTTTTTTTTAGTTCAGAAATCCACACTATCTACCAGAGACAGCGGTTAAAGTGACTCTAGTGAATTTTATGATTACAGAAGAAGGCTTACAAGATCAGCTATTGGGTATTGTAGTTGCACGTGAACGACCTGAACTAGAAGAAGAAAAAAATAAGCTTATTCTACAAGGTGCTGCAAATAAGAAAAAATTAAAAGAATTAGAAGATCAAATACTCGGTGTATTATCAGCATCTGAAGGAAATATCCTAGAAGATGAAAGTGCTATTAAAGTATTGAATTCATCTAAAGAATTATCAAATGAAATAGCTGAGAAACAGGCTTATTTTGAAGAAACTGAACAAAAAATTGATATAGCTCGACATGGTTATGTACCGATTGCTGTGCATACATCGATCTTATTCTTTTCAATAGCTGATTTAGCTAATATTGATCCAATGTATCAGTATTCATTAACATGGTTCATTAATTTATTCATTATGGGTATTGATAACTCTGAGAAATCCGATGATCTTGAACAACGCTTGACTAATCTACGAAGCTATTTAACTTATTCATTATACTGTAATGTATGTCGATCATTGTTTGAAAAGGATAAGTTATTATTTTCATTTCTACTAGCAGTAAATATGATAAAACATGATGGTTTATTAAATGAACAAGAATGGAGATTTCTGTTAACTGGTGGCGTTGGCTTAGATAATCCACATATAAACCCATCTGATTGGTTACAACCGAAAAATTGGGATGAATTATGCCGATTAGATGAAATTACACTGTTTCGTGGAATACGTGAACATTTTGAAAAGAATATCGATGTGTGGAAACGTATATATGATAGTACTGAACCGCATAAAGAGAAACTACCATCTGATTTATCGCATATTAAAACACAAATACAACATTTATGCATCTTACGTGTTCTACGACCGGATAAAATTCTGCCAGCTGTACAAAATTTTGTTTTAGAAAATTTAGGCAAAAAGTATATTGAACCGCCACCGTTTGATTTGCCTGGTTCATTTGCTGATTCAGCGGCTACAATACCACTGTTATTTGTCCTGTCACCTGGTGCTGATCCTATGATAGCATTATTAAAATTTGCTGATGATATGGGATTTGGTGGTAGTAAATTTGAATCCTTATCATTAGGTCAAGGTCAAGGTCCAATTGCTCTGAAAATGATTGAACGTGGCGTAAAAGAAGGCACTTGGGTACTATTACAAAATTGCCATTTAGCACCAAGTTGGATGGGTATGTTAGAAAAGACTGTTGAAGAATTAAATCCGGATACAACACATCCAGATTTTCGTTTATGGTTAACAAGTTATCCAAGTAAAGATTTCCCAGTATCAATATTACAAAATGGTGTTAAAATGACTAATGAACCACCGAAAGGTTTACGTTTCAATTTATGGCGATCATATTTAAGTGATCCTATATCAGATCAAGAATTCTTTCAATCATGCTCAAATCAACATGCATGGAAAAAATTGTTATTTGGTTTAGTATTCTTTCATGCTATTGTACAAGAAAGGCGTAAATTTGGACCACTTGGTTGGAATACACCATATGAATTTAATGAAACAGATTTACGTATATCAGTACAACAGTTACACATATTTCTTGGACAGTATACTGTAAGTTGTAAATTATTTTCTTTGACTCTTTATGCATTATATATATATATATACTTGGATGGCATCATCAGCTTAAGAATCAGTGCTTATGTTTGCTTCTGTCTCATGGCCAAAACTTAACCACAACAGCATAAGTATAGTCTTAATATAGAATTCTAGGTATTCCAAACATTTTTGTTAACTTTTTCTCTCCTCTTATTCACTTTTGTTCATTTGAATGTTAGTCTGCTTCTGACTACTTCAGTGACATTCAGGAACTTGAATGCCATACATTTCAAGGCAAAACTTTATATTGTCTTCCTAACCGCCTTACAATATATCATTAGCCTTATTTACAACACTTGAGTATCAATGAGATGCTCGCTAGCGACTGGTCCTATTCAGGTAGATAGTTAACTGGGGTTCTAGTGGGAAGTCGCGACCACCAGGATGCAGCAGGTCGAGTGTGAAGACAAATACTCGCCGAAGACATTGGCTAGTGGTCGCGCTATGTCGGGAATTGACAGACGTTGGAATTCGTGGACTGGCCATTGGATCGGCGGGTGCCAGTGGCTTAATGGTCTACGAGGTCGCTAGCCTTGTAACCAGAAGGCCTTGGGTTCTAACCCCTGTGGTGGTGAGTCCGTACTGATGAAGAGTCCCAAACTATGCTGATGAAAGGACTTTCCAGTACTCCCAGCTTGTTTTCCAATGGTACTCTAACCGATGTCAGCTCATGATGAAATCCTGTAACCAATCAATCAAATCCCTATAAACCAATACTTCAATTACAGTAGAAATCTTTTAAAATATCTGTATATCTGAATTAATTTCAAATATTTCATCACATAACTGTTAACTCAGTGTAATATATTTAAAGTTATGATTATTTGCAATTATACTGCGTCACTCTTTGTTGAAACCAATGCAACACATAGCATAGAAGTGGAAATATTCAAGGTAAAGTTATCAATAACATTTTTGTAAAATTAAACTTACATTTCATTAGTAATCATAACATTATATTAGACTAAAATATTAGATTATGTATAAAATATTTTAACCTTGTAGATGAAGACTAACAGACACAAAAATCTAGTCTAAGGCTCTGTGTGTAGGTGTACTCACTCTTGATGTTTAACACAAAAATGAGCATTCACTGAGGCATACAACCCAGGATGAGTTACGTCAACCAATGAACCTATATATATATATATATATATATATATATATATATATATATATATATATATATAATGAAATCATTCTTATATCTTAATGACAATTTATACACTTAGGAAGTTCAATATGAAGCATTACGTTATTTCACTGGTGAATGTAATTATGGTGGTCGTGTAACAGACGAATGGGATAGGCGAACACTGAAGACTATATTAATGCGTTTCTATTGTCCAGAAATTGTCAATGAAGTAGAATATAAATTTGATGGAAGTGGAATCTATTATGCACCTGAAGATACACATGTAAGTTGTCGTTGACTGCATTTCAATAAAATGACTTTTATTTATTTATTCATTTATTTATCCATTTAAATTACCAAGGAAATCGTTCAAATCTTAGTTTTACAAATAGTTAGGTGTTTTCTAGTGGTTGGAAATAAATCATTTATGATATCATAAGTAGAAAAATAAAAAAGGAAACTAAAATTAAGTATTTTTCAGTGTTTCCGCAGATAAATCTCCATTGAATTGAAGGTTCATGTAGAAGAGTTTTCTCGGGAAGCTAAGCATGGGCGGCTTTTGCGGTCCAGGATTCATGGATTTTGCAATATATCGTTCTGGATAACAATTCTCGACGAGGATTCTCTTGAGATTGTCCACTTCGTGTTCTATGGTATACGGGGTGCAAATTCTGCGAACTCTGTAGCCGGGTGAACGGATCAGGTTTCGTTTGGTTAGTAAGCTGTCCGTTCCACGTCGACTTTCTGTAGATAGATCTTTTCGGTGATCCATCCTGTTCTCGTCTTGTTAGTTGAACGTCAAGAAACGATATTTTGGAGTTAGACTCTTTCTCTAACGTGAACTGGATCGCGGGGTGGCTGTTGTTGAGGGAATTTAAGACGTCGTCAAGATCTCCTTCATTGTTATCCAGAAGGATTTATTGCAAAATCTATGAACCCTAAACCTCAAAAGCCGCCCACGATGAGCTTCCCGAGAAAACTCCTCAACATGAACCTTCAGTCCAATGGAGATTTATCTGTGGAAACACCGAAAAATCGATTGCCCCATTCACTTAAGAAAACCTTCTTCGCAGCTGAACTACGATTAACCTTCTCCACATAAAATTAAGTTTTATCATCCTCCATCATGGCAACAATAAAAAATAGACACCAAAGTCAAATAGCCTTGAGTCAACGAGTAAGATGGCTCAGCATTACACATGTATGTTGTTCATCATCTTCGCTGCAAGTTTCACTCAGATGTTTTAATGTCAATAATACAACGACTGGTCAGTCCTCCTAGGTACTACCATTTATACACTCAAGTGGAAAGCTTTTTCGCAGCTATCATCATTAGACTATATTCATCATAAAGTCAAGCATACTTGTGAATTAGTAGACCTTATAAATGGAACTCATACAAATTCTAATGAAGGATTCTGGACCGATCTAAAAAACGTACTGAAATGGTAAACGGTCCCCGAAATGATATGATATACAGCTACTTAGATGAATTTTTGTATCGACATTGGTTTGATATGCCTATAGATACTCCTATGAGAAACTGGTATCAATTTTTACAACATATTAGAGATGTATACCCTGTGTAATTCAGTTTTATCACATATATATCTTATAAATACACGTCGTTTTAAATAAATGGCACTTTCCACCCAGAAGAATCTGATTGGCTGATTCAAGGTCATTTAATCTTGCTGTCTTTTCTGTACTGTTGCCAGCATTAGATGTTAAGATACCTCAATCCTTCGAAAACATTTAAGGTATTTATATTGTGGAAAATGTAGCAATTTAGAAGACTTATACCGACGACATACTACCTTTGATATTTAATCGACCCTATTGACCAACTTGAGGAGGTCTGAAAGATTTATGATAAGCTTGATTTCCAACAATTTAACTATCTGACCGCAGCACTGGGTGACGCAGGTTCGAATCTCATAAGGGACATGAGTTCCTTCAAAGTCGCAGATACTCCTTGCTGACTAGTGAGTGCAAACTAGCACGAAACTTAGGTTGAAGGCTTCCTGTCGATTGCCTCCAACCACCTAATACCAACAATTCACAGTGCACCGTTATGGTGAGCCACCTAGAATGGTGGCCACATTGCAAGCTTGACTGATAGAATTCAGTCTGCACCGAAGATAGGACTAGACCGATCACACTACATGCGTCGGTGGCATAGCGGTTAAGACGCTCGCCGACCACGCACATGGTCCGGGGTTCGATCCCCGGCCGACGCACTCCTTTACCTCTCTAAGCCAGAAATAATAATGCTGGTGAAGAGGAAAGGTTGGGTATGAGGCTAGCAACCCCATCCTGTAAAATAAGCACTGCTACAGAAACTTCAAGCCACAAGTTTGAAGCCCTATATTCCACTAGGGAACGTGAAGGAATAAAAAAACAATACACTAGTCACTGACTAGTGTCCAATCAAAAATTTTACCATCTATTATTATCGTTATTCCCCTTAAGTTCCGAATGGAACACAGAACTTCAAAAATATATCTCCGTTTCACCATGTCTTTAGCTGATTCAACGACTGGCCATAAGCTCTCATCTCATCCATATCACCCTGAGACACTCAATTTACCGTTTTCCAAAAGCAGCTGTCACAATATATGGCAACTAATTTAGAGTGCAACTGGTAGAAAATAGATAATTAATGGAGCTCCGTTTGGTGTCTTTTATGTACCAGCTTACTGACCAATTTATATTGTGTAATCCTTCTGGTCGAACGGAAAGTTGTCTGAAACCATTAAAACTATCACAAGACTTAGAAATGGATGAAATTTAAGTACACTACCTAGAAAATTTTCTCACCTTTTTATGCTTATCACTGACAGATGATTGTCATGAAATGCTGTACACCTGTTGTCTAAAAACAAATTACAAGAAGCCTGAGATCGTACCTTCTAGATGGAAACTATAAGTTTGGTCAATTTTAGTTACGTGTCTGCTTTTTGAAAAATAGTGAAATAGCTATTAATGATTTTACTCAAAACATTCATTGGAGGCTTTTCGTGAACCAGATCCATTTACTCTATAAAACGATTCAAAGTATGTTTAGTGTTCCGCTTGACTGTTTGCCTAGTTAACTCTTGCTGCTGAAAAAGCGTACTTGAGACATTATATCTAATAAAGAATTATAATGTGGCTATAATTACTCCTCTCTTTCTACATGAAGGAAACTGCTTTATTTTATTTCTTACTGTTTATTTTAGCTGGAAGAGCTTTCCTTACGATCATTTATCCATAAGACCGTCTTCAGTTGAATGATTTGTTAAGCAACAATAAACAGTTGTGTTTTCCAGTAGTCGTAGGTTTAGCCCATCTAAATGTTACACGACTGATATATTAAATGGAGGTATGAAAATACCTTCTGGCTACTTTGATCTCGCAAAATCAATAGATTCTTAATAGGTAATGTCTTAAAGATGATCTTGATTCGTTTTTCTCCTTTTGGTTTCGAGGATCTGTGCTCTATAAGGCTGCTACAACTTTTTGGTGCGAATCAAGCTTCGCATTAACAATATACACTAGTTCTGGTATGGTCTGTCTGTGATCTTTGTTTAACTTCTAAGAGAAAACTGTATTTCAAAGGTCATTAGAAATACTAAATATTCACATGTAACAGTAGTGATGAATTTCGTTTTGAATAGATATCATGCGTCGGTGGCACAGTGGTTAGGACTCTCGCCGACCATGCACATGGTCCAGGGTTCGATCCCCTGCCGGCGCACACCCGATATCTATGGTCGGCCTGAATTTGGGCTACCGATATCCATGCTGAAAATTCCATACTTGTACTGAAAAGTACGGTGTGGAATCAAGCTGTAAATAAAAAAAAATAAAATGATTAGTATATGTGACTGACTGTAGTCATTTCACGAAACATCTATTTGTTTTAACTTACTTTTGATTTTTCCATTGGTTGAATTGAAATATCCAGCTGCTGTTGACATCTCAGCTCCTGGTATGGACTCTTCGATGATGTCTGGGGATTTACATGAAGTAACTGACTTAACACAAATAATGACTAGTACCCATTTCAAAAGAGGTGGCTCTTATTGACCAAGTGATCTAGCGATAACGCTTTGGCATTTGAAACGATGGATGGGGACACTATCACTCACTAGGGAATGCAGGTACATACAGTTGACGAGTCCCGTATAGGAAGAAATTCACTTCAGAAATTCCACTATTAGTCACCGTCCACCAAATTACTGAAGATCCTACATATTCATTGATATTTTGCCTTCAAGGAAGACAAGCAGTAAGATCATGACACATTAACTTCATCAAATGAAGTACTTTATCTAACTTGAATTTAACACGAAGGAAAACGCAGTATAAACAATTGACTAATCAACTATTCAGGAAAAAACAAACTACCATATTATTCTTATTACTATCAATGTATTAAAAAATTTTAACACTAATAATGCTAACTTTTTGATTCGGAAATAATACATTTATTATATCACATGTTGAGAATTCTAGACTGAATACAGAAAAACGATTGAGAACAAAATTTGTGTTACTTTTTTAAAATAACTTACTAAACTAACCCCCGACCTTATAACCACCTTTTCACCTACTAATAAACCCCGATAAGTTCAATTCTTAAAATAATTTGATAGGTGGTGACAAGAAGTGGAATCCAAGATGCCCGTTTCGTCCTATTCGGGACTCGTCAACTGTATGTGCCATCATTCCCCAGTGAGTGATAATGTCCCTACCCATCGTTTCGAACGTCAAAACGTTATCCACTAGATCACTTGGTCAATGAGAGCCACCTCTTGTGCAACAGACACCAGCTATTATTTGTTTTTATATCAATTTTGATTTCCCCATTGATCGATTAGTATGACAGAGCCCAAACGTTTCGGTAAAATCAATCAACGGGAGAGTCGAAATTGACTTTAGAAGTTCAACTCTTCTACAGTTTTTTTTCATTTGAAAGATTTATGCAGCTATAACACAATAATTCATTTAATATAGCATATAGCGATACAGAGTTATTTTTTTTAATGGTAGCAATTAGAAAACAGTTTATGACTTATATTATTTCGCTTTCTTTCTATTCAGTCTTGTATTCAGTCAGGTTTATGTAATCAACAACCAGTAGTTTATTCAGTTTAGTTACATCTTACAATGTAGAGTACGAGTATACTACTTGGAATACACAACCATTATTGGTTCACTGTAAGGTAACTCAACAATTACATCCAAATTGGTTAACTAGGCAACAAGACGAACTTATTGCGTAACAAGTGATTATACTACTAAGCTATAAAAGCTTTGGAAAATAGAAAGGATTCGAACCGAGGAAATTCCAGTTGCAAGCAAGCAAGCGCATATATCATTCAGCCACTGCGACCCGATTCAATGGTCAGCCCTTGAATTTTAACTTCTACCAATTCGTGATTTAGCGCGACCACCAACCATCTGATGCTCGCTAGTGACTTGCTACAGGACGGAGCTTCCTGGAGTTCGAGTGAGAAGTCGTGACCAGTGAGGTCCATCCAGATGTCACGTGTGAGGATGGATTTCCCACCGATGACATGGGTTGGCGGTCGCGCTAAAATCACGAATTGGTAGAAGTTAGAATTCACGGGTCAGCCATTGAATCGGGTCCCAGTGGCTGAATGGTATAAGAACTTACCTTGTAACCGGAAGATCCTGGGTTCTAACCCCAGTGGGTGTGATTTGCCGATGATTCCGAAACTAGGCTGAGGAAACAGCTGTCCAGTACTAACTGGTTTTCAGTGGTTCTCTAACTGAAATCAATCTGTGATCAACTCGTTAAAATAGAAAGGGAACGAAATCTGTTATTCATTGACTGGATGTTGCCCTTCTTTGGTGAGCAGTAAACGAATAGGCGAGTAAATATATTGATGAAATGACACTAACTGTAAAGTATATGAATTAATAAAGTCAGAAGTTAACTTATATGTTTAATAGTTGCAGTAATAGCATAATAGACACGAGGAATGATGATTACATCATGCATTTAAACAAATTCATCATTGTTTTACTTAATATGTATGTACATCTTTTTTTCTGTTAGTATGAAGGTTATATTGACTATATAAAAACACTTCCACTGAACCCTGATCCTGATGTTTTTGGAATGCATCAAAATGCTGACATTACAAAAGATCAACAAGAGACAAACTTACTATTTACAAATATACTTTTAACTCAGGTAAGTTCATAAGATTACTAATTTGTTACATACATAACACAACACAACGGTTTAAATGACAAGGAAATGACAAAGAAACAGCATTACTGCTGTTGTGTTTGTGAATCATAACAAATAAAATTAAATGACCTTCAACACGTTATCACCTGTTCTCATTGGCTAGCAATTTAACCACGCCGCCTACACACTCACTTTAGACATTACCTCGGATAAAACTTGAATCACTTACTGTGGTCATGTGCCCGTGCTGAATCTCTTTTGACGAATATCAGACTATAACATATGTTGTGACTTAAATTTGTTAACTTAAGGTCATCTTACTGGACACACGCGATGCTACTATAAGAAAGAAGGGGCTGTCAGAAGTTGACCTTCAAGAACCAGTCGAACTTAGGGAGTACAACGAAAGGTCATTCCAAATCAAATCATACCTGCCTTTTAAGATTTGGCTAGGGTAGATGCAGTGATTCTACCTATACCCTAGGTACTTTCTCTGTGAATCTATACTTTTAGGTAGGGTTATGTTTTTCAAGTTTAGGGTTAAAGTTAGGATTAGGGATAGGTTAAAGAACCACACCAGAAATGTCAATGTACCATGATTTACAATCACCTGAATGGATACATCTGTCAGTTCGTGTAGTGACTAGGAGAAATCCTTAAAATACATAAGCGACATTTATCATGTTTGCAATGTTTTCTAATGCATTTTTCAACGATTATTCAGTTTTCTTTGCATCTGAATTATGATTGGTCATTCAAGGTCACCGTGATTTTGGCTATGATAGTCTAACTTCGCCGGAAAATATTTGTTAAATCGTAATTTATGACTAGATGCTACACATCTGAAATGACCTACTTCTAAAGATGGATTTAATAAACAGATAAATAATATCAGACATGCAAAAAGTCCTTTCTGTAGTGATTTCATCTGAAGTTTTCGTGAATACGATTATCTCGTACAGAAAAGGGAACATAATAGTAGATTTGGGTCTTTAGTTTACCCAAAATAGTTACATTTGTCTTGTAGAAGTAGTCTCAGATTTATCAAATGTATCCATCACGATCGTACACTTCTGATTAAAGTCTAAATCTATGACGTACTTTGCCAGAAAAATGTTATAGTATCATCCTCTTTCCCTAATTCCTCACCTGTGTACTCGATGTCTCACTTTCTATATATTTAGATAAATACTTTCAGTAATCTCAACGAGTTTTTAAGTTAACTTATTACTTCAGGCTTAATTTTTAATTGATTAGTATCTTGATATTGGATTAGACATCAGTGTGATTCATATAGGTGTTTATGATTAACAGCATTAAAAAGAATTGAGTTTATTTCATAAAATTAATTGTGTATAAGTGTAAATTTTGGATGCTTGGTGTCTTTATTTCAAATACGCATGAATGTATTTCAATAAAAGTTGTTTTGAAGTTACTTGTTTGGTGATAACCAATAGTAGAATTCAGGATGCATATCCTAATTGGCACCCATAAGCTAGATATACCTTCTCCCTAGTGAGTGTTGCTGTTTCCATTGAAACTCAAACCCAAGTACACAACACTTCACCATCGCTAACTGTGGGTAGTAAGTGTATCTAACTTCCTAGACGTGCTAAGAGAACAATTTACCGCTGAAAGGTATCTCTCTATAGCCAAATTATGTAAACCTTATCTTCAACGCACAGTTTGCACAGATCTGCTGTGTTGTGCTGCTTCTGGTCTTTATATTGTGTTTCTTTGTTTTCCTTCCACGTTTCGCGTTCATCTCCACAACGCTGTATCATTTGCCTTCTCTAAAATCATATGTATCTCTTTGTTATTCGATGTTTCTGTATGCCGATTAAAGTCTCTTCATATACTACTGGTAAATGTTATCAATAGCACTCACGACAGTACTACTAAAATAAGCTCGAATTATATCAAAGAGAAATGACAAATGTGAATAAGACTGACTGGACTTCGTAAGCTACGTTAAATCAATCGAGTTCTCGAAAATATAGTAACTATTGATGCTAAATATTAACTCATAATACACTTAATTAAGTTACTACTGAATTACAAACTGTCCTTGAAATAAATTAAGCTATAAGTATAAAACCTGGGCACTATGGTAGAGTATAACTCCATTATGGATAAGATTTTATTTTGATAAAGTCACACAGTGTTATACAGTAATATTTACTGATGACGTTTCGATCACAGATGATTGCTGATAATCATATCAAAGTACTCACATAACCTTCTTTCTTCATTTATATACATGAGTAGAATTGATTATGAATAAACCAAGAACAACAGTTTTTGCAGAATAAAAAGGTACCATCATTTATTTCATTGGCTTCTCATCATCTGCTAACAGGTCAAAGTCATTATTAAGTATATCTACAGAAATGATTTTAACATACTTGCACAGAGTTCGTTTTTAAGCAAAAATCAGTCAAGGAATATATGCATTCAATAATAATATATACAGTAATAAACACTTTATCCCGAACAATAATGATCATACAGAATGGAAACTTTCGGCATTAAGTAATCAGATGAAAGAGAGGGTGAAAATATCCAGTTACCAGAGCAAGGAAAGCCTGATAACTGCTTCTTTCTGAACACATAAATTGGGTTTCAGGCGTTTGATGGCGATTGCTTCTGCAAACTTGAGGAGAATTGAGCTTTCTTATCTATTGATAATTTCAAGGGATTTTACGATTTCCAACTCATGACCTGTATCAAGGAGATACCTAGTAATGGCACAGTTGAAAGCATTTGTTCCCTTGAGATGTAGGCTTTTCAGTACATGTACAGAAAATTGGAAGTGTGTCTTTCTTTCTTTTCTCCCAATGTAACTCCTCCCGCAGATACATGCAAATTTGTATACATAGTTGGAGTTAATATGAGAAGGGTATCTGTCAACTTTTGACTGCACCAAAGAGCATGTTGTCCAGTAGACGGGAACCAACTTAGATGCTGGATAAGCTGTGGCTAGTGATGTACTCAGTCTTCTGTTGACCATTGCTGTAATATTTTCACCTTTCAAATCAAGTTGAGTGAAGACACGCATTTTCCCCACTGTGACTTGTTTGATGTGTGAGCCTTCACATCTTCTGTACTTGCCAACGAATTTTAAAAAATATTTTCTTTCTTCAATTTTTTTCTTCTCATAGTCCAAAGGATCATCTTCATCTGGAAAGTCAGTTGATGAAGTCATTGATGAAGTGGCTGGTGATGTATTAGCTCGTCTACCACCTGATTTCGATACAGAATTAGTATTGAGAAAGTATCCAACACGTTATGAACAAAGTATGAATACAGTTTTAGTCCAAGAAATGGTTCGTTTCAATGTGCTACTGAGTATAATACGTTCAAGTCTTCAGAATATTCGTCTGGCAATTAAAGGATTAGTAGTTATGTCATCAGATTTAGAAGATGTAGTCGCTGCAATACTTGCATCTAAAATTCCAAAATTATGGATGAGTAAATCCTATCCATCTTTAAAACCGCTTGGTTCGTATGTGAATGATTTTCTGGCACGATTGAAATTTCTTCAGGTAAGAAATGACTGCAAATAGATAAGATACTCGCAATATTCAAACAAATTGTTTGGTAATATAACCTTTATCAAGGATTTATACGAAAAATGTAGGATATAACATTCACCAAATCCCTGCTTTAATCCATCCTGTCAGTAACAATATGATACGAGACTTTGATCAATGATTTAAGCGTTTAAACTCAACTTTATCCATAAAGATACTAACTCTGTTTGTCTGTCTGGATTCAGCATAGAACTTGGCACCGAAGTGCAGCAGTTCGAGTTACCACGTTCCGAATAGCCTACAAAGGTAGACAAGAAGATGAGTAAAGAGAATCAATAGAGTTTTGACAAGTATAAGAGTGGAACAGAATGAGTAATGGTAAAAAGGAATATGAAAGATTACAGAGACTGAATACATCTGCGCCATTGACAACGATTTTGAGCCATGTCACCTATTGTCTCCAGCCCTTGATTCTTAGAATCCCGAGGGCCCCAACCCGGAAGTCTGCATCTCCCGACCAAAAGCTTCTACCTTGATGTGGTGGTCGGGCTTGAACACCGCAATGACCCAACAAGCTATACTGGCTGAGACTTATGTCGCTTGAGGTCCTACCATGCCAGAAAGGTTGTTTGGATAGCTGTTAGACAAAAAGCAGTTACCCAATCCAACACTATGACTCAAACAAAATCACAAAATATCATGTCGGATCGGTCAGGGCCCGGATTAACAACAACCGCGCTTCCTGCTGCCGTGTCACAGAGCAGAAGTGATAAATATGCTACTGAGACACACCAAATAAAAAAGAACAAACAAAAACAGGCTGCATGTGACCGGCCTCAAGCAGTTGTCCCCTGGGCTCTGCGTTCACGCAACCAACTTCCACTTTGTGGGCAGCCGGGAAGTAACAATCGCCCTCACAATCCGAAATGTGTGCGAAACCTCTCCAAAGATACTAACAATCAAACAATGTTATTAACTTGGAGATGTAGCTCATGAGTTCGAGTCCCACTCCACTTAATTCAGCTAGGTCATGTGGATAGTATTACATGTCCTGGCACGATAAGCGTGGCTCTTAGTCTTGTATATGAAAAAAAATCTGTTTTGAGTAACTGAGCCTAATCATTAGCTTATACAGTGATAAAAGCGGTTTAACCTGAACTCAAAAAGTTTTGGAATAATAAAATAACATTTTTTTAAATTAATGTGATTCAAAAACACCAGACTCATCTTTTTATGAGGCCAGGAAACGAATGTTATCAGGCCACAAAGAAAACATTCTTTTTTAGAGTAATAGTTATGCAATCAGTGAAAGTTTCCTGAACTAAAATGAGGTAAGTAAATAATAATCAAAATGATGGCAGTAATAAAAAAGGCTAACAATGGTAAGTGAAATTAATAATCCCCATTAAGACATAAAAACAAAGAATTCAGCGAAGAAAATTCTCTTTTGGACGATTTCATTTTCATAACTGTACAATCGTAATAATATATATATGAATTACAATAGACAATTATATATGCCCAAACTAAATTCACTTTCAACAGTTTGAAAAAATTTGGGCATTGGGTATATGATATTCATTATAATAGAGGTTTTTTTGTATTTCCCAATGAATGAAAAACAAAACAATATTGTTTTTACTGACATTTCTCTATTTAATGCTGCTGCTAACAACTTTATCAAAGTATTATTAAACGAGAATTTACAAAATCTCAGCTTATATATAACAACTTAATCATCGTTCTTCAGTATGGGGTCATTTTTGCGTTGTCAATTTGGCCAATTGGTAAAGATAACAAAACCAGGTGTACATTGCTGGATCCGATAAGTGTGTAAAATTATAAAAACAGCATGTGTTTACATAATGAAATTGCATATCACATTCGTGTTGACTTTATCACTTCATGGAGAGGTGGCTGTTGTAGCCAGGTCAAATTCTCTTTCACTCCAGCATTCCTAGTCATCAGACGATTTGGATTACACTTGATATGAAGTGCTTCTCATTGATATTAGACGTTCTTTGTGATTTCTGAAATGCTTTTTCTGGATTATTTCAATATCGTCAGAATCAATTTTGTGGCCTGATTCTATAACGTAGCGTGTAGACGACCTATGGCTAATGATTTTTCAAGCTTTTCTAGTTCAACTGGATTTCTCGGTGGTCGAACAGATGCTCTACGGTGTTCATTTCTTTTGATTTCTCGAGATGTTTGTCCGATGTATATCGCATCACATTCCAAGCACTTTATTTTATAGACACAATTAGATAGAGAATCTTTAGGGATTTGGTGGTTTATATGAATAAGGTTGTTTCGCAGTGTGTCTGATGTTTTCTGATGTCAAGCTTATTGAGTACTCTTCTGATATCGTCTGACGTCTCCGCTCTATATGGAATGATAACTTTGGAGGTCCAAGTTTTCGGAATACGTTTTCGACCATACTTAATGTCTGGGTTGATTTTGTTGATGAAGTTCTTTGGGTAGTTATTTTGCTTGTGAGTCTCAGACAATAAAAATCAGTTTTCTTGTTTGTGTGTTAAAGTGTGACAATGAGTAGAAATACTAAAGTGCTATAATAATATTGGTGTATAGGATTATGAGTCATCATTGATTAGATCTATGATTGAATAACCGCAAAGATAGAGATCAACCTAAAATTCAATAGACAAGTGTGAAATAGATGATCGGAAAATAAAGTACATTAGGAAATGTTAATATGTGAATATAATAAGATGGAAACATGGGATTAGTGAAATGTTGTTAAAGTAGTAGAGTAGATAAAATGTTAGAATATGATAACATAAAGTAAAATGAAATAAAGCAAAAATGCAACATGGATAAAGAAGGATAACAAAGTTGTTATGTGAATTACATAGTAAAATCAAGACCATGGTGACGAAAGAGATCGTACAAATTGTTTTTGTACGCAAAGTTCTGGCTTAATGTTATGTATCGCCAAAGCATCTGATATACAAAGCAAATGCACTCATGTCCTTTTCGTCAAATGAATATCATACTCAAAGTTTCGAGAGTAATGACAGATTTTCAGGAAGGTTCCATATATGGTCGAAAGGGTTAAAAATTGTTAAATGTTCCCTCTCAATCAAGTAAAACACTTATAATTCTCATACGAATAATATTTTGACCAAATTAAATCACCATAAAGGTATTTATAAATGCATTTACATTGCTTTTAATAACACTACAAAAAAAGAATGATAATTGAAACAAGTTATTTGATGTTATTTCTTTTAAATCTATGCTATATATGTACAGCTATGGTATGAACAAGGTGCTCCACCAGTCTTCTGGATATCAGGTTTCTTTTTCACACAAGCCTTTCTCACGGGTGTACAACAGAATTATGCAAGAAAGCATACAATACCTATTGATTTGTTATCATTTGAATTTGCAGTATTAGAGGATAAAAAGTATACACAGCCTCCAGCTGAAGGTAAGTAATATCTTAAATGGCATACACTCCCTGTTAATTACGATGATTTAACTTCAACTGATACACTTCTACACTAAATTCTATGCTGATTAATCAACCTATCAGTAAACATTGCTACTTTTTGAGAATATAAATCCTCCAATGTAGGCGTTTTCCAAAATAGTGTAGTATGTGTGTAAATGATAAGAATGTGTATAAGTAATAGGGAATTCAGTGGAACTAAAACAGATTATCTACCTGTGTAGCTTCAAATGAAAAAAACTTAGTTAACAGGTGGATGGTGACTAGCAGTGAAATCCAGGATACGCATTTCGTCCTATTTGGGAACCGTCATCTGGATGTACCTGCATTCCCCACTGAGTGATCATGTTCCCACCGAGGCTGGAACCCAGTGACCATAGTTTCAAACGCCAAAGCGTTATCCACTAGACCATTTGGGCCACTAGAGTCTCCTCTTGTGCAACGGGTCATATTAATTTAATTGAATTTTAGATTTTCCCGTCGACTGATTAGACCGAAGTGCTCGGTCTCAGGTACATCCAGATGAGGAGTCCCAAATAGGACGAAATGCGCGTTATCCTGGATTCCACTGCTAGTCACCATCCACAAATTAAATACTAATTAAATGCCCAGACATCGTCGAAGCATCTGCACAAGAAGCCGACATGTCAACCTGAGACCGAGCACTTCGGTCCAATCAATCGACGGGAAAATCTAAAATTCAATTATCTTAGTTAATATAAATTATTTAAATTAATCCCAGCGTGTTAAGAAAATCAAAACAAGATTTTTCTGAACGTTTCGCTGTGTAAGCCATAGCTTCTTCATCAGATTTATTCAGATTTTTACTAATCATCAAAATACATAGTCAAAAATTTTAACATACATTGAAGTCAGTTTATTTGAAGGTCATTTGTCCATGGACATTTTTACCAATAGAAAATATGTAGGCAGTCATTACATATATTTGTAAAAATGTCCATGGACAAATGACCTTCAAATAAACTGACTTTAATGTATGTTAAAATTTTTGACTATATATTTTGATGATTAATAAAAATCTGAATAAATCTCCTGAAGAAGCTATGGCTTCACAGCGAAACGTTCAGAAAAATCTTGTTTTGATTTTCTTAACACGGTGAGATTAATTTAAATAATTTATAATGAATCAATCTGACTCGGCGCTCAAATTATTCCAGGAAGTTCGTAACACCTACGGCCTGGAAACCTATTTCTTAGTTAATAGTTAAGAAATAAGAAAAGGTTAAGCAAAGGAGATTGAGGGAAAGATCAACTTCACAATAAAGCACAAATAATATTTTCATTGAGGAAGATGAACATAAATTTGCACTACTTTATAGGTACTGAGTATAAGTTGCCTAGTAAACATTATTTCAGTGGCCCTCAATGCTTTTATTCTCATAACTAGTAGATATATCAATTTTGATGTAATTATGCGATAAGACTTCAGCAAGGTAAAAAGACAAAACTACAAGTACTCATAAAATGAACGAAGTTTAAATGTATATTTGGTTAAGAATAGTACTGACTCTATACCGTCAACTAACATTGGTTATTGTGAAATTGTGGGCAAAGTTAAACTGTAAGCATAACTGACTACCAATCAGCGAATGACCTCGAACGCACCAATCACGTGAAGGAGACATTTTTGTGTATAGAATACATATATTTATAGAAAAATTACTAAAAAAACTGTATAAAAGTGTTGCAGAGGATACCTTTCTCTCACATGTGATAAAAGTAGCTCTTAGTTTTAGTTTGGAGTATCAACAGAGTATAATTCCATTGTCGGTAAAATTTATTTTGATAAAGTCTCATAGTGCTATACAGCAATTACTATATAGCACTATGAAACCCACAATGGAATTTTACTCTACCACAGTGCACAAGTTCTATTCTCATATCAACAGAGTAATCTAACCACATTCTATGCATGTAATTATTTAGGTCTTCTAACCCTAACAATAAACCTAATCTTTCCTGAACCTAACCCTAACGTGAAAATATCCCTCAACTAACTTTAATCTAACTCGAGCAAACCCTGATGTTGCCCTCATTAGGTTAACCTAACCCTAACTTGTTCTTGGCTTAAAGCGTAACTTAATCTTTCCCAAACCTAAGCTGAAACTTATCAGATATCCCATTTAATAACATAACACATCGGTGAATATATTTTATTGATGATGACAACATTATTTGCCAGGTTTCACTAACTTGTTCAGTGAGCGTTTCAAGGTCATTGATGCGGTCACACTCCATTGGTAGTTGGTGGTGCATGAAGTTCAACTTGGCCAAATTGTGAAATATTAAACTTGACAGTTTAGTAATAATATCTCAGAATATGACAATCCTCAACTCCACTGGCTTATGAGATCATGAATTCGTATTCGTCCTAATGAAATATGAATTAGCTATTATTTTATTTCTCTGACTGTGATTCTGTGGTTGATGTCAGCTTATAACGAAATCTACTGTGGAATTTCTGAAGTAACTCATTCCACATATTAAACAATGTGACAGGAAAGACAGTTAAGTTTAAAATAATAGGAAATAGGCAACAAATGACATGCTTAGAACTGGGTAAATGTTAGTATCACTCTTAAGCTCCATGCTCTATGTACACAGCAAAGTCATGAAAATACACATTAGAATACAACAAGAGAGTAAATATTTGTTTAATTACAGATACTGTCTTCAAGTTTGAAGATGAAAACAATGAGTAATTGTTAAGAGGTAGTAATAGTATAAAATAAAGTAAATAGTTGTTTATACAATAGCGTTGCCATGGTAGAATTAATTTAAAATGTCTTCAGTCTGTTAAAATATTACTGAAACAAGACCTCAGGGTAAATTAGCAAATGTAATCCTATCCTATAAAATTCATTATGAATATGAAAAAAGGTCAAAGGCAAAATAAAAATAATGGGGAAACTAATAATGATAATATAAATAAGAGAGAATATAAGGCATCTACAGTTTTACCACATAAGGAGAGCACATCTGAGACCCTACGTAGGATTCTCAATAAAGCAGGAATTAGGGCGTCATTCAAACCTACAAACTCAATTAGGGACAAGCTCTGTAAGTTAAAGGCCCCTATTGGTTGACCCAATTAGACAAAATAATATAATTTACAAAATACCTTGCAATGACTGTGAGTTAGGTGAACTACATAGGTCAAACTAGTAGGTTGGTGGTAGTCAGATTATCAGAACATAAGAATTTAGCTAAGGTTAGGATGATTGACCTCATGAAGATAAGTAATTTAAAAAAAGCTCAGCAATACCACTGCATGCATTAACACACAACCGCACAAAATAGGGTGGGTGGGGTAGAGTCAAAATTCTAAGAAGTAATCTAGGTAGGTGGACAGAGAAGTTGATTACTGAATCCTGGTTCATCGAGTCTACCTACGCCCGACACATGCAATAGAAGTGATTCAACGCAAATACCGGAGATAAGGGAGGTATTATTACCAGTCAAATCAGAGGATGATAAATAATGTTAAAATGTATTCAATTCACATTATAACATCCTAGCAAGTTATTTATTTTAATATAAAGCATCTTATTTCGCATGTGATTGTATTTTATCGATAACACTAATATCATTTCCGAATGCACTCTATCTTATATTGATTGTATTCAAATGTCTAATCAATTTTTATTCATGTATATAAATGAAACAAGAAAGTTATGTGAGTACCTTGATATGATTATGAGCAATAAATTGTGATCGAAACGTCATCAGTAAATATTACTGTATAACACTGTGTGATTTTATCAAAATTAATTTTTATCCATAATGGAGTTATACTCTACCACAGTGACCAAGTTTTATCCTTATATCAAATGTAATAAATCCCCATTGAGTCATATGAAAAAGAGAAGACGTTCAGCGAAGAGACTCTTTTCGGCGAATTCATTCACATAGCTGTACAATCGCATTTATATATAATTATTTGTGAGGTTTGTCACCTCACCTTTAGGAAGACTATTTCGTATTCTGTAGACGACTTTGAAGTTTGTTTGGGGTGTAGCTTGGTGTCCGGAATCTATCAGATGTTCTAAGATGGAGCTGCGGGGCATCGTTTTTCTCCTTTGTAAAACCATGTTGGTAAGTGTTCGGTGATACGTTTGGAAAGTGAACGCTGGGTACGGCCGACATATCTGGCTGCACACGAGCAGGTGAATTGATAAATACACATTGATGAGGCCAGCAGTCGTAGCTTATCCTTCACGTTCACAAACCTCATGTACGCACACACACACACACAAATAATTATATATAAATGCGATTGTACAGCTATGTGAATGAATTCGCCGAAAAGAGTCACTTCGCTGAAAGTCTTCTCTTTTTCAAATGTAATAAATGTTTGAAAGCGAATATGCTGACAAGAATAAATATATTGATTAAAAAATAGTCGGAAATAACGTCAAGCAGCTATTATAAGTCCATGAAAGTTTAACACCAAACAGAGAAAATACATGGAAATAGAGAAGGCAAAGGTAAAAGTCAGATGGCGAACTACTGTAGAAAGTGATAACTGACTGTTTCTTCTCCCTGTAAATTATCTTTGTGGTATCAACTTAAGCTCAAATCAGCAGAGTAGACTTTTCATAACTTCTCAGTGAATCTGTACAGTTAAACAGTGTTTCGGTAATGTCATGAAAAGTGCCAAGCGTTAAAGCTTCGTTCCCGTGAATACCAAAATAATGAGTGTATCAAATAGAGGAAATAATAAATCGTGAGGACTGGTTAATTTATCGAGGCGATACACACAAAAACTAAATGAACAAAGATCGAAAATACTTTCTTGAATTCAACAGCTTAAAACGAAAATACCATTAGATGGTTGGAGGTAATCGGCCACAAGAAGCCTTCAACCTCGGTTTCGTGCTAGTTGGCACTCACTAGTCAGCAAGGCGTATTCCCAACCTTGAAGGAACTCATGTCCCTTCTGAGATTCGAGCCCGTGTCACCCAGAGGCGCCTGAAGTCAGAGATGTTACCACTGAGCTATTTGAGCTTGCGATTTACCTCCTGTAGGACTGTATTGGATATTTTTAATTGGACACTAGTTACTGATTAGTGTCCAATCAAAAATATAAAAATACCATGTACAAGAGAAAACAAATTCTTAGATTTCTAAAGGATTAGGGGTTACAAAGAAAATGAATATATAATATATCAAAGTCGTGAAGCTAATTTCATCGTAGAAAAAGGTATTGAATTGAATATTTTTGTATAGAAAATATTAGCTTTTCTTTATTGATAGCAAGGGCCTCCTGGGAAACGACTAGTTGGACATCTCAGGGTAACATAGAGGAGACTGTTTGAGGACGAGATAATAGCACATGAAGAATTGTCAAGCCATTAGTGTAAGTGTAGAACTTCGATACTGTGGTAGAATGTAATTCCCTATTAGATAAGATTATTTGAAATAACACGCAGCGGTTTAGTATTAATAACACGGTGACGTTTCGAGCACAATTTATCGATCATAATCATATCAATTTAGTCACACGGCTTCAAAATTTGTTTTATATATATGGAATCGTTGAGCCAGTTGAAGAGGAATGCATAGAGCACGGTGAAATGGAGATATCTTGTTGAAGCCCTATGTTCCACTCGGAGCCCAGGGGAATAATAATACAATATTAACAATAGTAGACTTAAGAATAATACCACGAAGTCAATTTGGGAAACTTTGAGTCAATTTATATATAATTCTGGATGAAAGTTTTGTTAAGGCTTTGTGATTTTAAATAAAAGTATGCTGGAGAATATAACTGCCAGTAGACCTAAATTCCCGTTTTGACAGCCATAGAAGTATTCGCTCCCGAGTACGTCTAGACGGCTGTACATTATCCTAAGTGACTTTTGCATTAGTCTGACAAATGACAAATCTAAAACTTTCAACAACGCAAATAAAACATTTAGTAAATGGTGGGTAATCAAACTTCTCAGAACACTCCATTATGGATAAGATTTTATTTTGATAAATCACACAGTGTTATACAGTAATATTAACTAGGTGGAGAGAGAGGTTGATTACTGAATCCTTGTTCATTGAGTCTACACCCAACACATGCAATAGGAATTGCTCAATATGGAATATATTATTACCGCCAGTCAGATCAGAAGAGGATAATAAATAATCTTAAAATTCTATTTCAGTTCAAGCACATCACAACATTCTAACAGGTTACTAATTATGACTATAAAAACACTCGTCTTATTTCCCATCTGATTGTAATTGATCAATAACACACATATTAATTATTCTGAATGTACATTATCTCATATTGATTTTTATTCCAATATCTAATCGATTCCATACATATATATAAATGAAGGAAAGAAGTTGTGTGAGTAACTTGATATGATTATGAGCAATAGTTTGTGCTCAAAACGTGGTCACCAGTTAATATTACTGTACAACACCACTGTGTGATTTATCAAAATAAAATCTTATCCATAATGGAGTTATACTCTACCACAGTGCCCAAGTTTTATACTTATAGCTTAATTTATTTTAAGGATATTTTGCAATTCAGTAGTAACTTAATTAAGTGAATGATAGGTGATCAAACTTCTCAGAACACTGCAGTGAGAAAATACTGAACATGCCTGTTTTTTTGATAATATAGTCTCATATCAGCTGTACTTTCATCTAAAAATATTCTCAATTTGTTTTCTTTTTGTAGGCGCTTATGTGTCAGGTCTTTTCGTCGATGGTGCTAGATGGGATAGACAAACTAAGAAATTAGCAGAAGCCTTACCAAAAGTTTTACAAGATCCTATGCCTCCTGTAAGTATTTTGTATTTTAATCTGTAAGAAAGACTGTACAACACGTTACTTATTCATCTTATCATACTTATGAATTGTCTGCAAGTGAGTAAACGCATAGAAAAATTAATCGTTTTTAAGAATTCAAGACGGTAAATGTTGTGTGATCACCAAAACAGTATGAAAATTCGATAGTTTTGAAAATCTTCAGTGTAATCATAATGATTTTCTAGATCCCACTATTCACAATAATGAAATCTATCTCAGCTCAATTTACTGCAGTAAGATCTTCACTATGACAAATATCTTGCCACACATTTAGGCGTATCCTTTGATTCATTCTCATCACATAAATTAATAATCAGCTTAGGTTCGGAAGCTATGGGCAGTTGGATTTCAATCTGTCGTCTGAATGTGTTCGTCTTATAATCTGACGGTTACATAGTGACATTACATGGTAAGCCTAAGGACGAAACAGCTGCCCAATCATCCCCGATTTCCAATGATCCTCTAATAGATGTCAATTTTCAAGAATTGGTTTTGTTTGATTAGTTGGAGGATTTCATCATGAACTGACATCGGTTAGACAACCATTGGAAAACCTTCAGGGAGTACTGGACAGCTGTCTTGTTAGCCTAGTTTTGGACCATTCATGAGTACGCACCTACCACAGGGGTTCGAACCCAGGACTTTCTGGTTAAAAGGCTAGCGAGCTCATAGACCATCAAGCCGATCCAATGACCAGACCATGGATTCTAGTTTCTGCCAATTCCTGACATAGCGCGACCACTTCACAATGCCTTCTTCGATGAGTTACTGCCTCACCTTCAATCTACTTTCAATTTGTGGAGAAATTCACCTTCAAATATATAATCAGTAAAATAGCACTACTTCCTAAACTTGACTGTTGTTTCAGTAATTGAAACTACAATTCACAGAAAATAGTAGTTCTCTGTTTCTTCTTCTTCTGCATTTCACAACTTTCTTTGTCTTTCTTGTCTTCAACTTCCATAGCTCTTCTATTCAGAATTTTCTCAGGATAGTTCAGATGCCATGTAACTATCAATCTTTGTGCTGAATAACTTTAGAGATAGACCAGTTTGTTGACTGTCGTTCAGTGACAGTATGCTGTTAAAATTAAATGCCTGTTGATTGGATTATACAAATCAGGAACTATTCGCTACTTCTGTTGATCGGTTTCTACTACGATCACTTTCGGTTGATGTAACATAGGTCGAACGTCTGAATAGGTAATATTTCTATTGGTTTTAGAGGTATACACACTGATGAGTGCTAACAAACACGAAACCTAAAAAAAGCCTTCCTAACAGGTATATCTAAACTTTGAACACCATTTCAAAGTACAACATAATGGTGATATAGTGCAAAATATAGCACAGAGAACTAGCCTACACACGATAGATGGTTGAAAACTAAATCATTAAATAACCATCTTAAAAAATGGGATTGCACCAGAAACGATTAATATAGAGAAAATCTGGAGGTCAGTTTTGACTCTCTGTTGCAATCAGGAGTCGACAGATATCCTTCTCATGTTAACTCCAACTGTGTATACAAATTTATGTGTATCTGCTGGAGCAGTTATACTGAGAGAAAAGAAAGAAGGGCACACCTCCGATTTTCTGAACATGTACCGAAAAGCGTACGTCTCACGGAAACAATCACTGACAAAAGTGCCATTACCAGACATCTCCTTGATACGGGTTATGAGTTGGAAATCGCAAAATCCCTTAAAATTATCGATAGACAAAAGAGTTCAATTCTCCTGAAGTTTGCAGAAGCAATCTCCATCAAACGCTTGAAACCCGATTTTTGGGTTCAAAAAGAAGCAGTTATCAGTCTTTCCTCTCCCTGCCTGGTAACTGGATGTATTTATTCTATTTCATTTGATTACGTGACCTTTGACTTTAACCTCACATCCCATGATATAGTGTAATTTTGCTTTTTTCTTGTTTCTATGATTTGAGTAGAACTCACCATATTGTTACTCAGTTTATTAGTTACTCATCATCTTACGCACCTCTCGTCTTTATCACGTAACTCCTTTACCATTGTATGGATACATTTACTTTGTTTAAACTTGAACTCCCTGTGTAAAAACTATATAAGTGTAATTTTCTGAGCACTGTTCATTAAGATCAGAACCTCCTGTCAACTGACATCATGGAGATTTTGTATGTTAAAACTTTTCTCTACATAAACTTAATAATTTATTTAGGCTGTAAGCAAATGATGAGAAGCCAACGAAATAAATGATGGTACCATATTATTCTGCAAAAACTGTTGTTGTTACTGCTTTATTCAAATTTTCAATTTGTTTCAAGGTAGATTTCATCAACCATCGACACCAATTAGAAAAACGATTTAAAAAACAACAAGCATTGAACAGCTGTTTCCTCATTTGAAATAGACTATTTGTAAACGAACGATGACTGAAATGATTAAAACGAAAAACCTGTGTGCAACTATTTCGAATCCCGACGCAACTCATATCTTCAATTATGATTTTAGTCGTTATCCCCTGTGTCCAAAGATAATTCTCCTACACTACACTTCTCCTAAGTAGTTTGATCAGTAATAATCATTTCCCTGATGTTAATTTTGTGGGGATTTGAAGGACTTAAATATAGATTTCACCAGGAACTTCCATCATGCAGAGAACGATTGCAAGTCAAGATGTATTAGGTAGGTCTGCTTGGTTGGTCTCCATCTGAAGATCTTCAGTCCAATAGTGTGAACCTACGACCTCATGATAGACAAAACGAAAAGCCATCAAATTACGAAACAGGCAATTTACTATCCTTCTACGTGGTCAATATCCACGGTTTCCAACTTTTACAAATTCTCGGTATAGTGTGTTATTTCAATGTAGAAAATATCAGTTCATTAAGAAATTCACCTTAATAAAACGAATATTATTTATTTATATTTACTATATTTTCTAAAAATTTATCTTATTATCATAGATTTGGTTAATACCAATGAAAAAATCTGATATTCAACCAAGACCTACTTATTCAGCTCCAGTTTATAAGACAAGTGAACGACGCGGTGTACTGTCAACAACTGGACATTCAACAAATTTTGTTTTACCAATACTTTTATCATCGGATAAACCAGAAAGTCATTGGATTATGAGAGGAGTAGCATTATTATGTCAATTGGATGATTAATCAATAACATGGTTGGTTAACCACCAATCAAAACTACAATAAACAAAAAAACAAACAATTTAAAGGTGTAATTGATTTATTAATCAACTGCCACTTTAATGGCATACCTATAAAAGTAAACTTTTTGTTATATATATATATGCATATATTACATACATCTATCTATTCATGCCATATACAGATGAAATCACAACAAAGATGTACTAATTTCGTACACATTTATGCACACTTCTTCCATGCTATCTGTCGTATATATATATTTATTATTATATAAAATATACGAATAAATATTACTATAAAAGCTATTCGTATTTTATAATTCTATGTACGATTATCAATTTATAATGTCTTGAAGTTCAAAAAGTGAAACGACTTGTGCACTAGCTGTTATAAGAAATATTTGATTTATGAAAACTGGTGACACAGTTAGTTGAATGGCATATCCCTTTTTTTGAAGTGGCGCCACCTTTGCCAGGTGGGTATAAGGGCATTTCAATAAAGAGGTCAAAGTATACCAGGCATAACGTCATGAAAATTCAATAATATACGTTTAACTTTTCAACTAAATGCCTCCTTTAATCCATTACATTGCTCAGATATCAGTATCAAGCTACTTTTCTGATAAAAGTTCAACAAATGTAACGCAGTCCAATTGTATAATGCTACTGATAATATGTACGCCAGAAAAAACGTTTTTAATATAAATTTTCACTTAAAAAGCATACAAAAAATAGAACTTGTCATTAGACCACCATAGCAAAGGACTATGATGCCACAATTAGCGGGGATATGCAATAAAGCTACTCCAGGGAATAATCTCGTTGACTTAGAATATGCAGATGATATAGTCCTTCTAGGTGAAGACGCTGACAAAATACAGAGTCTTCTGAACACCTTGAGCTGCAATCTGCGAATGTTTGGCATACGATTCGCTCCCGCCAAATGTAAAATGATGTTACAGGACTGAACTACATTGACTCCTAGCTTAGAAATAGGGAATGAAATGGTAGAGCACGTTGACCGCTTCACTTACTTGGGAAGTTGCATCAGCCAGCCCAACGGGTTGATCTCTGACGAAATCTCAGGACGGATACAGAGAGCTAGTTTCGCATATGCCAGTTTACGCCGTCTCTGGCGTAGACGTGATATCCGACTATCGACCAAAGGGCGTGTGTACTGCTCAGCAGTCCGCTCCGTTCTCCTTTATGGCTATTGAGAGTGGAAGACATGAAAAGACTAGCTGTCTTTGATCATAAGTGCCTGCGTTCTATCTCCCATGTGAAGTGGTATAATAGGGTGAGCAATATTCAGGTTAGGCGTCGAGTGCTAGGTGACGAGGGGAAATCAATAGACGAGGCTGTGAAGTTACATCTATTGAGATGGTTAGGACATGTGTTACGTATGTCTAGCCATCGCCTTCCTCGACAATGGGCAATTTTAGCTGATATAGGGTGGTGGTCAAACCAAAACATGGCCTCATCAGTCGATGAAATCCACAACGAGTCAGCCACGTAGGAAGATGTAGACTTCCTGGTTGGGACGGTAAACACAAATGGCTGAAGACAATTGATGATATGGCTAAAAATTGTTCTCAATGGCCCGCGCAGATGCATCCACTCCTTGTGACTTATAATATCCAATAAAACTATATGGATCTTCGATATTACTATTCTTTTTGCCTCATATCTCTGTTTACTGTCTCTATTTTGCGTTTCTTTTCTCCCTTTGTGTGCTGAGTGGTGTGGCGACTCGAACTGCTGCATATCGATGCAAAGTTCTATGTTGAAACCAGTCAGTCCAGTTAGTTTGACAAATTAGACCAAAGTGGAGAGAGAACATCAGCAGAAGTAGGCTAAGTTAAGTTCCAACTCCACTGTGAACCAGTGTGTCAAAGAATGGAATAAATAAACTATACAGTATATACTGATGATTACCGTGAATGGTTGCAAAAACCGTTCACAAAAAAAAAACAGTCAGGACTAGATAGTTGAAGTTATTTGAAAATCTCGACAGCCGTTTTATCATCCGGAGCCAACTTCCACTGCAGTCTTCAGAATGAATCAATCCAAACAGTTCAATAATTCGGTCCATCCAAATGCTGGCTAGCTACTGTACTTGTATTTGGATCTACTCAAATAGACAAACAAAATCTAAGTAACTGGAACAGTTCAGCTGTCTGAGTTAAGTCATTTTGAACATGTAATCATGCTAGTATGAAGTTGAGTAAGTCATATGTGTTGTAATCTAAAGAAGAATTTTAATTTCTAAAAGACGCCACAGAGAGATTCCGTATACTTGTTACGACTGTATCAAATACTCATACTTTAAATCCTTTTGACTACATTCGTGAAATATAATTTCTCACTAAAAGAAATTGGACGGATAAACAGGGTATTTAACATTTTCAACACTACTCAAATACTCAGTCGGAAAATGTTTATACTACATAGTGGTCGTACGCTGTAAATATGACTAAACATACCTTATGGTGTTTTCTTCCTTTGAATAACATGAAGAGAAAATAGGATGTTGAGGAACTCTATCCAAATAAAGGGCCGAAATTGTCCGATTGAACCGAAAATTTGCATTTTCAAATAAAAACAGCTTACTGTCTCTATGCCTAGGGAATATTCACATTGAAAAAACCTCCTTAAATCCAATCAACACACTGTAAATCTGCACATTCATAATAATTTTCCTTCTCACGGCCCCATAACTCCTGAAAATTGCCAGCACAGACTTATTAACTAACCACCCTTAATTTCTAACTATAACAACAGATCAAACAATTTGGTAAAACGCGATTTGATCAAAAGAAACTTTAAAACCAGGAGATATAATTACTATCATCATCCCGTAAAACCACAGCCTACCGCCAAATTGAACTTTTTTCTTTTAAGGATTCTAAGGCTATTGACTAATAGTAGAGAAGGGCATGAAGTTTTTTTCAAATGTGTATTTGAGTAAGTTTTTCTTTTTGTACAGCCTTAGAAAAACAATGAAGACATAGGTGAGATCAACAGCTGGTTATTTTCACAGTAAGAAAGTGAAAAAAAGAAGTTCAGTTCAGTTTTAAAACAATCGTGAGTATTGAGAGAAAGAAAAAAAGAAAGAAAGAAGACACAGTTTCATCATACATGAAATAAATGTAAACAAAACTTTACACTGGTTCAATTTTCATTTGTCCTAATATTAATAAAACTATTGGCAGCAGGTAATTCAAAATGGTGTAAAGTAAGGTATACAAAAAGAAAAAACAACAACAAATATTTGGTTCTAGATGCAAAAGACTAATTTTATCGCTCGATAGCAAAAAACAAGTTCACAAAAACTGGAAATACCAAGAGAAGAAAAAATAGGCAATTGGATTTAATCCTAGAAAAATGGATTGTATAAACAGAGAAACTGTACACAATAGGCGTCGGAGATGAGAAAAATGATGAACTTAAAATATGCTTAAAAAGATCACTCACTTTATAAAAGTAAAATAAACTACTTTCGTTTGTTTTGTTTGTTTGTTGCGTTTTTTTACAAATACAGGCAAGAAGGCTGATTGTATTTTGAAAAGGTAGTCAATTACCTTTTTTTCTTCTTAAAAAGACAACTAATTTAATTCACAATTTTTATATTAGGCTTTCTATTTACTCCATCTAGTCCATTGTATGAAGTTGTTAGAATTGGTTTATCAGATTTAACTGTATCAGATGAAGGTGTAGATGAATCGAATAACTGTTTGATTATTCCTCTTTGTTCATTGGGTACTTTAAAATTATCAGGGAATTGAATATCAATTGTAATATACAATGAACCACGAAGTTTATTATTTTCAAAATTAGGCATTCCTTCATTCAGTTTACGAATGATTGTTCCTGGAGCTGTAACATAATCACTTGACAGAACAACCTTCAAAAGGAGAAAATTTAAAAAAAAACAAGTGTACACAATAAAAAAGAATAAATAAAAAGAAAGACTTTAGAACTTTGAAAATATATGCTTTTTTCTAAGAGGGATTCAATTTACCAAGCATTATAGATTTTCAAAAGAATGGATACTGAACAAAGATTGCTTTTTTAGATAACTTCATCATCAGGCTCTACAATTATATATACATTATAGTGAATGAATGCATTAGTGTTATGAACAACATTAATGTTGTTTAAATAACATCGAATCAATAATATCAATAGATTACAGTTCAATAGCACCAACACAAACTAAGCTGAATGTCAGAAAAATTAGGAAAGATAATATTAGAACTTCATGAATTTATAGTCTCTACTGAAGGCCAAGGCAGTAGTAGGGGCTGGACTTGCTTCTTTTACAAGATTTCTTAGGCGAAGTTCAACAATAGCGTATCACAAGTGTGCACGATCTAACGACCTTGAACGCGGACTAGTCGTTGGCTAACGGCACCTGTCATTATCATAGCTGAAATATCAATGCTATTCACCAAATTGGAGCCAAATTTCACGCAGATCACATTTTAAAGTACTGTTTGGACAGTGTGTTAATATCGCGTTAAGGTTAAGATAAGGGTTAAGGTAAGTATTGGGGTTAGGGCTCAATGTGATTATTTCATAAGACAAATTATTTATTGTATTATATATATATATATATATATGTACGACCTATGATCTCACAATCACTATAAGGTATTTTGTAGACTATGTTATTTCATCTCATTGGGTCAATAACGTCCTTTATTCTGCAGAGTCTGTGGCTTAGTAAGTTTGAACATCACCCTAATTCCCGTCTACGTAGGTTTCCGGGTGTCCCTTTCTTATATGACATTACTATAGGTTATTTATGTCATGTTCAATGATAACATTGCCATTTTTTCATTCAAGTTTTCTTTAACTTCCTAATGAATTTTATAGGATAGTTATTTAATGGCAATACTTCTATCTCTTTCATCTCCTTATTAGGCTGTCTAATGTGCTGATTTGAATTTCCACTCGGTTACTTAAGCATTTAACTAAGACTACTCTTGTGGATATGCGGTGAGATGGCCTAAAGTTGAGATTTTAACTGGAGTGTGATAGCTTTCAACAAACACTGGTGAACAATTTTCCTTGTGTCTGTTGTAATATTCGAAACTTATTGTTTGAGGAAATAAATACTATTTGCAACTTTTCCAACTGCGTAAATTTACCTTTCTACACACACACACATACAATACAAAAATGAACATGATAAGCAATTACTTACGTGATGGCCATCTAAATGTGGGAACGATATATGATATCCATTCAGTGCTTGAACAAGCGTTAAAGTCAGATTAGTGTACAGGTCATCACCTCGTCGGTGAAAAATTTTATGTCTAAAATATCCAAATAGTAAGTAGTGCTCATAATTATTGCGTTGATTATATATATTTTTTTCAAGAAATATAATTAAGAAAAAATAAAAAGATTAATAGTAGTCAAAAATAAATCACTCATATATCTACAATTTTAGGTATTGCGTTTTCTGAGTTTGATAGTCTACTAGCGAAGCCTTCATTGTCTCCCTGGACATCTTTAGCACCATCTCTCAATCACGAGTTAGATATTTTACAGGACATAAATCTAAGGTGTGGTACCTGCAGCATATGAGACTGACAAAGATAATTAGAACAATTAGTGAAATAATGAGATATACACAGAATTAACGCAACCTATGTCTTTATTTTGAATTCCATGCCAGCGTGAAAAAATGACAATTATTTTTAAAAATGGATTTGATTGACCTATCCTACTTAGGCTGATATTGCTTATCGAGGAAGACAGTGCCTCGGTATTCGTGACATGCCACTTAGCTATCTTAATCGACAGAGCCTCACAAACCCATTGATAAGCTCTTCCGCCTTAACTAACTCTGTCTCAAGCCTTTGATTATATATATATATATATATATATATATATAATTAATCAGTCTGCGGCTTGAAAGTGGTTTTCAAAAAGTGAGCTCTTGGTCTATAAATACAAAACAATTTATGTTATCTCCAACTAAATAAACAAAATGTTCTCATACTTTTGCTGTCGAATACGGAATTTCAAATCACCCGAATCACCATCTGGGTGTGGTTCCCCTTCGCCCAAAAATGGGTAAATCTCGCCATCTCTCATTCCTGGTTCAATTTCCACATCAAGAGTTCGGTCTTCAGATACAAAACTAATAACGAAAACAAAAAGATTGAACATAAACATAACAGAAATTTTCTTCATACACTATTTAAAAACAGATTCTTATACGAAGGATGAAACTTGGAAATGAAGAAATAAAACCCAATATATAAAATTCCATAGCTGCGTCATTTATGCCTACTGAAGCCATCAAACTAGAAAGGGGAGGCTATATATATATATATATATATATATATATATATATATCAGTTTAGCCAACGAACGATCTGTCGCTCTACATGCTTTGACTTTCACTTTCAAATGTTTTAACATAAGCCTGCATGTTATCTGTGCTGCTTGACGATGAAGCGAACTCGGTACTTTTTGTCAGTAGTTGCGAGAATTTCCTTCTGAAGAACAAGACACACAAGTGGTTGGTTAATCCCACTGCTAAATGGACTCTCGCTTGCGTTATTGTCAGAGAACTTGACCGTTTCCTTTCGGAGACGTTCCCTATTACATATTATTTAAATATTAGTGGTCCTGGAAACTTCCTGTAGTTTGTGGATGAGTTTACATTTTAGACTAATTGCTCATTAGAATAACTTTTTTCTGATTTGGCTTCTGAAATCTGTCTAAATCTAAATGTCTGATAGATGCTTGTACTACTAAAAGATCCATAAGCACTAAAATAACTGCATAAGCGGAAGCTTAAGTTATGCAGCAGGAAAAGATATATTTTAGGCTGACGACACATGTCAGGCTAATGTAGTAGAAATATCAGTAAAGTATGAGTGACCGGTTGGTAAGTGCTGCATAACTTGTCCAATTAACGTTAACAAAAACCTACATGTGGAATTTCCTGCATAAAACCGAAATTGTAGATGTCGTAAAATGAGCACAATGGTAACGAGATTCTTGACTGGATATGTGGTAGCTTATGAAGCACACGTTGAGTCAGTGACACTCAGTGATGTTCACCACTTTTTTTCATCTGATACAAAGTCGAAAAAATTAAAGTTGAATTTAATACAATATGAAAACAAATACTTAAAAAATGAAGTTGATTGGTAGTAGTCACTGGTTCAAAAGTTTCGTGTTTTATGAATAAATAGAAGTCCAAAATGCTCAAGCCACAATACCGAAATCCTGACCTAAGCTATACACAACTGTATGCGAATTCTGGGAACCCTCACATTTTAAGAACTACGAAAATACTTTGTTTACATCCCATTCTATCCAGATTTCCTCATCACAAATTGTAAACGATTAAGCCTTCATGAGTGAAGTACAATATAAAGGTGTATAATGCGAATTAACTTTGTGAACTGTGTTGAATAATCTTACTTAATATTTGGGCAATCATTGCAGACTTGCTCTTGATGCATCTGGAGACGACCATGGCCCAAGACGGTTGTACGTAACTCCATGTGACAGTTGCATTTCCGAGTTCCAGGTGCAGGGACTTTAATCAGTTTACGTCTGGTCACCTCGAAAGAAACTCCTACATAAAGCTCTTCGAGAGTAACCCATAAGTCCATAACAATATCACCACCGCGGGGTTCTTCGGGGGAAGACTGAGTAAAACCAAATGGATTGAAGTCATGCATTCCTTGGTTTTTCAAACCTTCCTCACCATATCGATCATAAATCTCACGCTTATCATCTTTGCTAAGAACCTAAATTAACAGAAGTATTTTGGAAGAAAAATACATTCCTTAAAAACAAATACAAGACTTTAATGTTCAAAATGCAGAATATTTCATCTCTATTCATCCAGGAAAATAGTAATAACAATCAGGAGCATAAGAAACACAAAATAACCATAAGTGATAAACAATTTGTACTCCCGTGAGATTAGCAATGAAACAACTATCGTGTGAGGGTTGTTCAAACTCAGGTAGTTATTTTTTAGCTGGATTCCACTTCGTATTTTTGGTACAAGTATGGAATTTTCAGCTTGTGATATCGGTAGTCCAAATTTCGCAGGCCAACCATTGGTATCAGGTGTGCGTCGGCAGAAGATAGAACCCCGGACCATGTGCATGGTGGGCAAGAGTCCTAACCGCTGGGCTGCCGACGCACAAGCCAGAGTAAATGCATCTGTGCCACAGAGTGATTCTGAACCATATCATCCAGTGCATAGCCATGGATTTTTGGAATTTCCGGACGCCAGCCAGGCACTCTGAATCTCTCTGCACTACTCAAACAAACAGCAAAGACTTAAGTGAGCAATGACACTTTTTGGTTCGACTAATCCCAACTCTCTCCAGTGTAAGCATTTTACGTGACGCGTTTTTAAACTCAAACACATTTTTTCGTCAGTCTAAGATGTTCCGGTTAACATCACAGACAAAGTGACAGTTCGGGCAAATTGTTCCAAAATAATATTTACCATGTCACCATATAACTGTTCTGATAAAATTTCAGAATACCACAAAACAAATTTCGCCGAAACTACCTCATAAGCTCTATTTAAATCCTTGATTTTCTGGTCGGCATTCGGATCGTCAGGGTTTTGATCAGGATGTAATTTGGAAGCGAGCGACCTGTACGCTTTCCTAATTTCACTTTTGCTGGCGGTGCGAGGTACATTAAGTATGGAATAATAATCAGTTCTGCATTAGAAAGACAAATTATTTGTATCTACTAAAATACCAACCCAGAGAGAACCGGAACTAGTAAATAAACTAGGAAATATAATGTCAACGAGGGGAATCCAAGGTTCATATCGGCCTCGTCGATATGTAGCAATCTGATTCGTCGAGAAGTACCTTGCACTCGAAAAAACAATAACTAGGACGCCACGAGTGAGGTCTGCAGAAACCAAAGAAACTCAGCATTTCTACTTTTATAGATAGATAGCAAGAATTTACTGTGTGTGTAATAGAATATGTGAGCAACAATATAATAAATAGTAACAAAGAAAGGAGAACAAAAGCTAATGGGAACTATTTGTTAGAGTGCCGCAGTAGGTTGATCGTGTCATACCTAACGGATTTCTCATCACATAACAGCTGTGCCAGATAAGGTATTGTGGAGTTTTTATACTTGGTAGTCCTGGCATATAGCTTCCTATAGTTACTTCTAGTTCTACCAGATGATATGCAAGGAGAGGGCTGCGTATAGAGAGGGTGTTGCATTGACAGATGAATTATTACTAACACTATTGGGACACGGCTTCAGCAATACATCTCCATTGAACTCAAATCTATGCTATCACTTTCACCCGTTCACTTGACTGCTAACAAGCTTTCACTTCCTTTCGAAACTTTCACCCACAACGTCGCCATCAAACTGCCAACTCATCCCCAATAGGGTCCTTTTCAAGGGACTGGTGTGTGACGGCGTTTGTACATGTAGATTCAATCCACATTCTTCTACATATTTATTGAGCGATGGATTCTTGGTTGTTTCACTGGCAGAGTTCATTGTTGCTAATCCTTTCCATCCATCCATCTGGTTTCCAGTATTAAGCGATAATGAAAGCACGTAGTTAATCGGAAATGCACTTAATTTCAGTAAAAAGTTTGAGCTTTGTGGAATAGATCAAATCAATTATAATTATATTTCTATAGCTTACAGATAACTTTTGATCGAAATATTACAAAAAATAAAAACTTATCACTGTGTGTAAACCAGTGAAATATAATCATAATATATATGGAAATGCACGTGGTGACACAAGCTCCAAATCTCTTGATTATATAGAAACTCTGACTTGATTCAGATCTCATGGGTGGTGCTGACAGCAACAGATTTTCACACTGAATTCGGACTAATGAACGGCTGTCTTGACATTCCAACCCGATCCGGTTGGCTTTAGCATCTTCATCCGTGTCATTCTTGGTTGAAACAATGCTGCCCAAGTGGAAAGTGTTAGAGATAAGTTCCTTTAGATTTTATTATGGATAAAATTTATTTTGATAAGGTCAAACAGTTTTGCATGGTAATATTTACTGATGAGGTTTAGAGCGTAATCTAGTGCTCATAATTAGCATGATTCCACGTCAATTCGTCGCCTTCGCAGGCACCCTAACAAGGTACACTTTCTTCCATTTGGCAAGCACATTTCCTTATATCCGGATTTTCACAGTAGTGGCGTGAAAGTATGAAGTGAGGTTGAAAAGGATCAGAGAAGTTCGTTCATCCAGCTGAATTAGGCTTTATCGCTTTCAGGGGTCGGTTTGTTTACTTGTGCCGTCTGAATTGGATTGAAGACCATTGGGTTATCAAGGAACAATAGTGCAACTGTGCGTTTTGGTGTGATTGTATACCTATGTACTTTCTTCAAAGCATAATTAATAAACACGTCTTCGAACAGATGTGAGGGCTATATTCCCCTTTCTCTAGTTGTGGTGATGTCAGAAGCAGTATGACTACAAGGTCGGGCGGGCTAGGGTAAATAGTCAGCAGGTAGTATGACCACGCCTCAGGTATAGCAGGAAAGATGGCCACATAACAACTGTGAGCGTTATTCCTAGTTGAAGCCGATCAGGAGCAAGCTAGAAGCCATTCAAACAGCCTAACTGGTTTCCTGGAGGGCTAATGGGTCCGTCGTCAGTGCATATAAGGTGTTCCCCCGAACCTTCCGATTTCTCAGCCTACAATAATTTGATGGTCCTTAAGACTTCTACTTTGTCATTAGTCGATATTCAGTGGTAGCTCGGTATCTGCTGGTGGTATTTATAGACGAGTTGGAGGTGGTACTCCATTGGACAGTCCTTTGGAGTGACCAGCATAGTGTTCGCTTTATTTCACCACTCTGATAACTGGGTTGCCTTCTACATCTTTCAGTGCATTCCCCTCTCCTGCTCTCTCTGGACAGAGACCTGGGTATTTTGCATAGCAGTCTGAGATCCTTCTTACCTGGGGCCTGTACTGTCTCAGTCACCAGTGTCCCACAGAATTGCTGTTTGTCCTTCTAATCACTCCTTTTCACTCTTTGTTCAGTGCGCTATACGGTGAACTCATCTTTCCTTGCGTTGTTTACGTTTGTACTGGTTCATCTCCTCTCCCTGTCTTTTCTATTCTTTTCACCGAAGACGGTTGTTCAGGTTTCCTTTGTCATCACTTTGGGGGGAATTCCGGGGTTCTCTCACACAGTTTTCCTCAGCATTGTCTAGTAGCTCTGACTTTTTGATGATGACCACTGTTTAGGTGTATTCGTAGCTTCTTCTAGTATATGAGTATTGAACTAGGATTGTGATCTATCTCAGGTTTGTTTGAAGTCTTTCGGCTTGACCTGTTCTGTTTCAGCCACTGCATGCATAAGTTTCGCCGAAGATACTAAGTTAAGGACTTCAAGCAAAATATGAATCAAAACCAAATTGTTCGAAGTAGATTTGCATTAAAAACGAAAAATGTTGAAGACACTGCTAAGTTTGTTTTATTTAGAAAAAATACATCAAGTAATTATGAAACAAATCTTCAGTCTTGGGATTACTCGGCGAACAACGACAAAGAGCATAACGGCTGGACTAAAGCTTCCACTGAAGTCTAGGACGAACCACTAAATTGTCTGATTTACATAAAAGTGTAAAGAAGGATATCAAGTACACTTTCGGCATTTAGAAGTATGGCATTAGACGTAGCCGGCTCTTTACGCCAAACAGTAGTCTGAACCAGTATCTGCCCTATTCCTAATTCTTTGTGCAGTAGGCTGCTTCTGGACTTTCCTGAAATTGGAATGAGTCTGTCTGATTTTTCGTACGTTCAAGTGATCAATCCACATCGCCTTGTAGAGGGGCTTGTGCTTGCCTACATTGCCTCGAATAAGCAAATCCTTAAAGGCAACGAATTGTGAAAAGAGTCCTCTGTTCCGATCCATTTCTCTGAGCACTTCCCGACCCACAATGCTTTCCTCCCCGTTTTTCTACTCCTAGTTCGCCAGGATTTATACCGTCTACCAGAATTTCGATGTTGCTGTCTGATTGGAAGCTTCTCAATTACCGTCTTTTCTTGTCTAGGAAATGGACCAACCAGAGTTGTCTTATGGATAGATAGATATAAAACCGACGGACTCATCCTTCATAACGTCTACGTCATCACTCGGTGTATGCAGAATCCTTTGTTTCATGTACATTATGGATTCCTTGTGTAGATATAACTAACCCTGTTGTATATACTCTGTCAAACAGCGGTCTGAGAAATCGAAAAGATCCTGTATAACGATGGTGGCTAGCAAGCAGCACTAGCAATCACAACGTCTGTTACTGCCTCAAGTGTCACTATCAGTTCAACCAAACGATGTTTGTTATAAAAGTTCGAAAATGCCTTCTTCACTGAATCTACGAAATTTTCAGCACTGTACAATTCTAAATTCGCTTCGCTTTCGTTCGGAATTAGTTGTCCCTATCCTTTGGGAAATCGATCTCCACTCACTACATAAGAGCCCCTAATGCTATTAATGACGTCGCCATAACCTCAGTCTTAGTGCGAGAGTGGCTGTAGACCGGTTGACCGGAGTAGATCATTGACTATCCATTTAGCAATTAGGAAAATCCACTTCTATCTCACCCACTATCACAGACTGCTGACAATTCTTAGTGACTGCAACAGGGACTTCTAATCAGCCCACTTCTGACAGGATTTCACTCCTTATCGTGAACGGAGTTCCCCAGGATGTGTCATCTTGCATTAATCAGCTGGGACAAAAATGGTGAAATCCATCTTCATCAACTAAATATTAGCTTCATATCATCAACAGCCTTCACCACCGTTTCTACAGAAGACTTAATACTGTTAAAGACTTACTCAGGCTGTTCACTGATGTTACCTTCGAACAGGTGTTGTTACTGGTGGTGAATATGGATTCGACGTTCAATCAACTTATTTACTGGAACCAGATTCCTGTTCGTTGGAGGCAGTGATTCTTGTCGTGGTTTTGACGTTTACTCGCTGACGTAAGGCCAGAGCAATACGATTACAAGGATTAGTGTACATCATACCAACGTAATTTTTAGACTGTTTAAGTGTAATGATAGTGACCACCTGTGAATCACATGGTCAAGCTGCTGCGTATTTAACTTGCAATATTGGTTCATTCTAGTTTGATCAAAAAGTCTTCGCAGTTATTGACATCTCAGTTCATCAAGAGCGTCCTGGACCACATGTCTCAGAAACTACAGCTGGTTAACGCTGCATAACCCATGAACACCAGTGAGCCTGCAGAGATCACCAGACAGTTGTTTAGCACAACGTTATCTGCAACAGAGACACTGAAACCGAACGAATGGGAAAAGAAAACCGAGGATTTGCAGCGTGAAATAGTGGCACTACGAACGAGTGCCATTAAAGACAGATGCTTTGAATGTGGCAAAGAAGGAGACTGGAGGACGTACTTCCCAGAAATTTTCATACGGCATGATATATTTTTTCATTCTTAACAGACTCGAAGTAGTAGGAGCTATTGAGAGGGCGGCAATGTATTGCAAGTTGGTAGTAAATAGCCAAGAAGTCGTATGTCCCATACGTACGGGTAGGGGGTTTCACTAATAGATAGGAAGCCATGTCAGCGCGTGTTCACTGACAGTTCAAACGGTAGGTGGACACGCGTTAAGCATCGCCGGCACGTCAAACTGTAGAGTTTTTATTGGTGGTCGCGAAGTTATTTTCCCGTTCATTGTTGTGCCCGAGTTACGGCGAACAATACTTGGCGCTGATTTTCTGCGTGAGGTTGGTGCGGTAATTACCATGAAAGAGAGGGCAGTGATAACGAAGTACGGACCTATCAGCATGTATGAGACAAGCGAGATAGGAGGCGTTGGGCATCG